CCCCGGGGCAAGGCTGGCGAGCCTAAATTAACAAGTCACACGCCGGCGAGTCCCAGGTCGCCGACCAGACAGGATGCTGTGGACACAGGCCTCTTTTCCAAGAGAAAGGGATGGTGTGAGTGAATTGAAGTCGTCTTTCCTCCGCACTGCAGTCGCCATCGCCTTCAATCTACAATCCCTGTTTCCTTGCGGTCTTCATGACCATACATATCGATTGAATCGGATCTCATCCACAGAATTGCTCCTATACATGTATACTACAGTAAAGGAACATCCGGGGCTACTGTGGTAGATACAAAAGTGCCGAATTCTAAACGATGTGAGAATCCATCTCATAGCACGTTCTTCGTGCTCACACCGCCCTAGTCTTACCGTTTCTCAGGCTCAGTCCTTTGTTTGGGCAGATTGAGCGAGGTGTCAACTATTTTACAGTCACTGGCCGTTCATATCTTACAGCTTTTCTGGTTTCCTTACTACTATTCTCCGTGCTAACAATCTCAAGCCACCCGATAAAACTTGTACTATCAGACGGGAAACGAAAAAGGGCAATGAAAGGCTGTTGTGTAATTAAAGTTGATGCCAAGGTGGAGAGATCGACCTCATAGACACGTGCGGAAAAAGCTTCGACGGCCATGATCTTCAGCTTCTCCTTCTCCTTCTCCTTTCCTCCCCCATTCTTATTCATTCCCCTTGTTCTCTGCCGCAGAGCCAAGAAACTACCAAGAGGCCACGATTAACCAGCCGCATCTGCTCTTGGCCGGGCTTTGTTCCAGAACTGTGTGTGTGTGTGCGAATATGTGTGAATTGCCCTTATCGGGGGTACATGTTCACCTTGGAAGATGCGAATTGGGCCTGGGATCTGGTGTTGCTTGTCTGATACAGATTCATGCGCGGCAGGGATTGAGCCTGAAGAAAGTACAAGTACTACTAGTTCAGACATGGCCTTCTAGTAGAAACTGGAGACCTGAATCAGGTGCGAAGAAGTGCTTGGCGATTTCGCTTCCTCTTTATCCTTCCTTTTATTTTTCCTTCTTCGTTGCTGCTCTTCCTCATCTTCGGAGAGAGTCCCAACATCTCGCCTCGTCCCCCTTATTCCAGGACAGTGCAAATAGTCCCTCGAATCAAGACATGCCTCGGCCAACGACCGCTGGACTGTTTCAGCTAATGACGTCAATCGACTCCCGTTGCTCTTGCCGCTGCCACCCGCTATTCGTCGGGATAGAAATACAGTGCGCATTTGAGCGTCGTACTCGCGGCAGCCCCACACAGCCTGTGCTGTAGCTTGTACAGTGCCATTCTATAGCCCAGGTGTACTGTATTTCCTGCCACCCGTCCAATCCTCTTCGAGGTTGTGAGACAAGCGGTGGAATCAACAACATGGAAATAGTCGCCCTCAGTATTACTTCGTATCGCTTCTACTAATGCAATGCTCTAGGATGACACTATCTCGTCACCAGGAGACAGTAAGCCCCGTGCGATCTGTCCTTACTTCATCCTTGCTGGCACTCTGTGTACGATGAGATCACTGTGCATGGGCTGACAGAGGTTCGTCGTAGCGGCTATGTAGGCCTCGTAGTATCACGACAAGGGCTCTGTTGTTATAGTATGTACGAGGCAAACTGGCTACGTGAGAACCACATGGCTCTCGAAATATTTCCGTCGGAATACTAGACCATCAGCACACCGTCTTCTCACGGCGACTGAGGCCGCACATTACGACAAGTCAGAATCACGCTCAGGCATCATCATCGCCCGCCCAGCTGTCTTACCGACACAAAAGACGCCGAGACATGGCGGCGCCTCCTTTTGCTTCTTTCAGGTGGCCATTGCACTTTTCTTTCCAGCTACCTAGCTGCTGTACAAAGTACGATCGCGTCTCGCTCTCTTGCACCTCTGTCTGTTGCTCCGAGGAGCTCCCCATCCTTCCCTTGCAAGACGCTTTGACGGTGGTGCACATTTCCGTCACCGCGGCGTTGGGTTCATGTTGCTCATACCAACGATACGCAATGCCTGTTTAGATGACGATGCTGTGACACTCAATGTTCAATAAACCAGCCCCCCGGGTTCGGAAAAGCATACGGATCGATGCGAGGCGGCCATTCACGGTGCGGCTGGAACTCGGATCTCGTGGCGGGCATGCGATGGAGGTTGGTATCGCGACATCCCCCTCCCGAACTAACAGCTGAAAGATGCTTCCACCGCCGCTTACCTACAGGTACTATACTCAGGTGAATGACGGTGAGCATTCCAGATATCGGACAGGTGTCAGATGCTGTTGGTTCGCACCTCGTGGAAGGGCTTGATCGGAAAGGAGAAATACAATCGAATCCTTCCGGACACTACCACGAGACAACTACATCACAGCTTTCGTGGTACAAACCCCGCGCGTGCGCCATCCTATTACTTTGGTGCTTGGGTGAACATCCATCACAAGCAAAAGCGTCTATACTCGTGGTATCAAGGCATCAATCATTTGAAGTCTTCCTCGTCTAGCTGTCACCCAACATCTCTCCCCAGCCAACCCCAGCAGGACAACAGAAAATCGGACATCCAGCACCTTGCTTTTTCTGCCTTGCCCTTTTTCTACTTTTCTCACTCTCCCTTGAAAGCAAGTACGAACTCATTACTCCAACCTGCATGCTTAGCTGCACGCACTGCTTACGAATGCGACGAGGTGCATGCGGTTCCATGCAATCATGCTCCTCCATAGCTGCAAGACTACTGCACGACGGGGGGTTTTGAATCACCCATCCTGGATGCATGTGAGCCGGCATAGGCAACACTGCATTCAGCTTACCTACAGAGAGGTGCTTTTCATCAACTTTTCCCTTTTTTCCTTTGTTTTTTTATCTTGTCCTTTTTTCCGTCTTTTGTGCTGTCTGGTTTTCTACTTGCTGATTGTTTCATTATATGTACCTTTTGTGCGTGCAATATCTAACATTTGTCTCGCCTTGCCTTGCTTTCTCTCGTTGATGTGGGATTGTTGTGGTGCCCGTAGCAGTATCATCGTCCAGCCTTCCTTCTCTCTTCTTCATAACACATATCTTTGTATTCAAGAGGCCGAGACATGCGAATGTAAGAATTGCTTACGCTCCGAACCAAAGACATCGAAGCATCAACAGATTCGGCACACTAGGGTCCTAGGTTTTCGCCCAAGGGGGGCCCCCAAAGCAATTGACTGGTATCGAAATGACGTCAAGCATTTCTCTCTTCTGTCTCGCCTTGTCTCACCTTGAGTTGAAGTAGAACAATGAAAAGTGTGAAGTCGGAGGGGTGAAAAGACGAGTATGATGTTCATGCTGAGAAGATGCGCCGACAGTGTGTGTTTGTTTCATGGTGCGTTTCTGCTCGCCAGAGCCGCAACTTACAAAGCTCCAATTGCCCGCTTGGCTAAGCGGTATAGCGTGTCACTAGTAAATACTTGACATGACAAGGTGATCAGTTCGACTCTGATAGTGGGCAACTTTATTTTTGGGTGCTTGGGCGCCCTTTTTCCCTTTCTTTTTTATTTATTTCGTTCTTTATTTTAGAAGTGATATTGATTTGTCATTTGTTACATTTGCGTGAACTAGAATAACTCACTCTCACCCACTGATAACCTTTGAAGCAACACTTCCCCTGATGACATCTATCATCTATCCAACAACTTCCCATCAACGTCCCCCATCAACGAGAGCACACACAATGGAATCCCACGGGTTGTCTCAAACCCCCAAGTCCTGCTCTTGGAATGTCCCATGTGTTTACCGCAAAACACAAAATGACGTATCGTCTTCTACCCTAGGACACGGTGCACATGAGACGAAACGAGGCGAGGCAAGACAAAAGTATACCATCTTCACCTCTGACAAGTGAACAAGGAAAGTAAAAGTCAAAGAAGAGATGTGAATTTATTCTCACATTCCAGTCAAAGCCAAGCTTCTTCGTTGCCATACTCATTTCTCTCCGAACGAGGAGAAGTTGTCTCTTCTTGAAACGAGGGGTGTCTAAACCTCTTCAGACTTCCGAGGGAGATCTGTCTGACGGTAGACCTGCGAGCTTGATAGTCGGCCTTCCTGCGACAGAGTTATGCAATCAACCTTCATTCACATCACCATAGCAGACACCATCTCTGAAGAAAAGCTGTAGACATATTTGACAGCTAGTCATTCACTCTAGAGCCTATAACAAGACCAATCCAACAACACACATCAACACATCCAAACATCTAATCATCATTCCTCAAAAACCTCTCGCGAGAACGCATTGCCGTTACAATAACTCTAATCATTGCCAACCAAATCACCCTCCACTCAGATTAGGCTCCCCTTCTCCTCTATTATAAACCCCTTCCCCTCCTTCAGATCCAGAGATGTCTTTTGACATCTTCCCCTGGCGACGAACCACATCCTTTCACGGTGTCAATCTCACGTCATCAATGGCCACCACGCAAGACGGCAAGAAACACAACGGAGAACCAAATTATTCTCCTCCCAGCACCCAAATTGCCAAAGGAAACGACATTATAGAGTAATAAGAATATAGACTCGCGACAGTCTTTGTGCCGGAGATTGCCCTGGATATATATGATACAATGAAAGGGGACCTCGAAAAGGTCAAGTGATAAAAACGGTAAGCATGGAAACTGGGTATCAAAGTTGAACCCTGACGCATCTATGCGAGAAGGGAAAGGGAGGAAAAGGAAAAAAAAACAGAAATTAAAACTAGCAGTCATGAAGTCGTAAACGGCGAGGAAGAAGCGTCTTTCAAGAGGAAGGACTCCTTGCTGCAGATGCTGGCAAAACGTCATCTTGCTCGGCAGTGATATCTCGTGGAGCGTAGCTGTCTCGCATCGACACGAAAACGGCAGACCTTCGGGCTACTCTCCTCCGTCTTATGAAGCTCTTCTCGTTTTTGTGTAAAAGTCTTTGACATGTTCCAAACTCCTATCCAAACGCCAAACGCTGAATTGGAAATGTATGCTGAAAAAAAGATATTGACTCGCTTTTGAAGTTGCAGCTTTAGACTTGCGGTGCTTCCCCTGGTCGTGTTCTCTCGAGCTGCTCCAGCAGTTCACGCGGCGGTATCCGTTGAATACCACTTCCGCGATCGTACATGGAGGTCGGTGCTGGCGTGTATCCCTCGCGCTTCTTGCGTATCCGATCCAGGATGATTCCGGCGACGACGAGAATGACGATGAGTGCCAGCGAGATGGCAAGACCGATGAGGACAACAAACACAAGAGGTAAGTGTTTACCTGTGAGATGTGAGTTAGTAAACATGATGTATAGCTGATGAGGGTGAAGAACATACCACTGGAGGTGAAAAAGTTGTCCTTTTGAGAAAATACTCTGGCAATGCTTCCAGCTCCGGTATCCGTGCTGGTCAGAGCATAAGGTAGGTAGTCGGTGCCGTTGTAGATGACGGCCGAGGCCATTCCAACGTTGGGGAAGGGGATGGAGCCGGTGAGCATCAACACTTGGCGGTCGTCGAGGATGTCGGATTTGTCATGCGACTCAGTTACTGTAAAGACCTGGAGACTCTGGACGACGCTGCCTGATGGCGGGAGCACAGGAGGGCTCTGCCACTGTTTGCCATCGTACTTCATGATGAAGACGGAGCCATTCGGCGAGTTGCCCGAGATCCAAAGCTGGCCGTTGTCGTCTGAGCCGGGCGTGATTGCGTTGACAGGGCCGGGAATCTGGCTGGCGCCTGTGAAGTCTTTCCAGACGCCCTTCTTGACATCGTACATGGCAAGGAAGCCAGTGTTGGTCCCATTGGTTCGCAAATCGCCGCCAGCAATGAGCTGCGTCTTGCTATACCACATGAAACTGCTGACACGCCCACCCAGAGTGCTGCCAGGTCTCGACCACTGTGCGGTATCGGCATCGTAGGTGCAGACACCGGGGCAGTCCAAAGCGCCAGCCTTCTCGAAGGAGCCGCCTGCGTAGATCTCAGACGAGTCGGGCCTGACAGTGACGACGGAGACTGTCTGATTGCCGCCTAGAAGCGACGCTGGTTGTTGGCTGGAGTAGGACTTTGAGACAACATCGTAGGCAATAAGCCCACTGACACTGCTGCCGTCCACGGTGCCAGTAACGTTGCCTCCCGCGAAAAGGACGCTTCCATGGAAAGCGAGACTTGCGAAGACTGATTCGGAGGAGATGCCTGAGCCCAGCCCGCTGACGGTGCCGTTGTTGGAGTCGTCGATGATCACCAGGTTTTCGATAGTAGAGCCATTGGACGACCGCGCCGAAAAGTGACCTGCGAGAACTGTAATGTTGCTGCTGTTGCCTGTGTAAAAGGCTCCCGCGAGAACACCAGACGTGGGCTCTGGAGACAGGTCTCGTCGCCGCTTGCTGCCAGCCTGTTGAGCCTTGGGCTGGATCTGGACCGGGAACTGACCCAGTCCTTGGTCGCTAAGCATGATGGCGCCGTTGGCTCCCATCTGCGAGGATTCAATGGAGCCTGCGAAAAGGGAGTTGCCAGTAGTGAGGTTCAGCTTGGAAGCAGTGAGCATGCCGTCAAAAGCGGGGGCTGGGCCTTCGAGATTCTGCAGCCAGTTGTCCTTTGACAAGACCCAGACCGCAAAGCCCTGGACAGGAATTGCCTCAAAGCTCCCAAAGGCATCGCACTCGGTAAAGGAACCCGTCAGGGCAATGGCGTCCTCGGTAACGCTGCTAATGTTGACCTGGAATGCAACCACTTGCTCGACCCTGCCATTGACACCAGCACCCAACGCAGTCCATTCCTGGCTCTTTGTGTCATAGACTGCCACATGGTTCAGCCCGGCTTTTCCATTAGATCGTAGGTTTGTAAAGTCTCCGCCAACAAACAACTGCGTGCCTTGCAGGTACATGTCCAACACCTGGCCGTTGAGACCCCCGTTGAGAGACATGACCTTGCCACTGGTATCGATGGCGACGAAGTTGTGGTGCGCGTCTGAGGTAAAGTTGCCGCCTATATAGGTGATGTCTCCCGATGTTGCCAGCGATTTGACGCCAGTGTTGTGGTCGAAGCTTGCACCCAGCTGGTTGACGGGTGAATCGTCCAGGCTGGTTGTGTTGACCTTGGTTTCGCTTGGGTCGAAGTCGAAGAGCCCGTTGAGGTTTCCAGTCGAGTTGAGGAGAGTGAAGCCGACCTTTTGTGCGACAAAGGTCATTTCACTCAAGTCCTGGCCGTCGAGAGGGGTGAGCGTGACTTTGGGCTTGAAACTGTCCGAAGTCCTTTCAATGTAGCCGAAGTAGATTTGATCATATTTGTCAAAGTTGTTAGTCTGGTAAATTGAAGTAGTAAAGTTTGATTGAATGGTGCCGCTGGACATGATGCCGGTGATGTTGACGCGCCCTCGGGTCAGACAGGAGCCATCAGGCACGCAACCTGGAGTATACATGTTGACAGAGTAGTTGCCAGATTCGATAATGTTGGGCGAGAAGACGACAGAGGCGGATTTGGACGTAATGGGACTGGTAAGATGCGCCGCCAGATATTTTGAGTCGCTCTGCAGAGAAGGCGACTGCTTCCAGGGCCCGGTGGCGGAGGCGCTGGAAGGAAACGTGATGTTGCACGCCGGCTCGTTGAAGGAGTTGATGGCGTAGGCGAACATGTTGTCCTCGAACAGCTGCACGCCGTTGAGACCGGCTCCCTTTCCGTACCAGGCTGAGATGTCAATCTCAAAGGCGTTCATGCCAACTCTATTGACGAAGTGAAAGTCCTGAAACTGGACCTTGGGGTCGTTGCTCAGCGGGCACTCGCTCGTGCAGCTCGAATTCTTGCCGGTGGCAGGATCTATATAGGTAAAGTTCATAATGCCGTTGATCGGTAAAGCCACGAAGCGGAATGTCTTTGTGCCCCGTCCGTCCTGATGCGTATTCCACAGCCGCAATTTGGTGGGCTCGAATCCAAAATCGAAGGCCGCCTTCCAAGAGCCAGGAACACCGTCCTGCGCCAGCCAAGTCTTACCTGAGCCCCCAGAGCCGTCGGTGCAGATGACGTTCTTGGGGTCGTCGAAGCCCTTGGTCGAAGCGGTGCCGTCAGCCGAGATATTCGCGGTCGAGAGGTTGATCGCCTGCCCGTCAGCCTTGTTCGGCGCCGTGACGTTGCCCAGACCAGTGAAGCTCCCGCCAAAAATGACATGCCCATTGGACGCCTTGGTGATGGAGCTCACGGGGGCATTGAAGCCGGCAAAGGGCAGATTCGTCCAGTTGCCGTCCACCTTCCATGCGATAGCGTTTGTCGAGTTGCCTCCCTTAAGGTTCCCGCCCACGTAAACTATCCCCTTGTCGTCGTCGCACAGAAGGGCGTTGACCATGCCCTCAAGGCCCTCGAGCGGTGTAAAGGTGGTTGTGTTGGTGTTGTAAACGGCAATGGCTGTCGACTTGATGCCGTCCATGCTGGTGAAGTTGCCTCCGAGAACGACTCCCTCGGCGCCGTCCTGGAGCGTTACCGAGCACATGGCCAGAATGGACGCGTCGGTCGCGGCGATGGGTGCGAGGACGCCGTTCGGCAACTGTGTCAGCAGGTACTCGCTGCCATTCGTGCTCAAGGGCCGTGCGATTTGCTCCTGAAACTGGTAGAGCGAGATGCCATTGAAGTCTCCGGCAATGCCTATGCTCCCCAGTTGGGAAAAGTCGAGATTCGCCGGCGGCGCTGCTGTGATATTAAAAGCTTTTGATAATGAAGGCGCGATGGCTGCCAGAGTCGCAACGCTCGTACTCGACAGGCAAGGGCGTCGCGCCGCCCGGCGTCGTGGTGAGGATAATCGCATGGTGATGTTTCGCGCCGCGCTAAAGGAGACAAGTCGGGTCGTGAAGAGGAACAAAGAATCGGCGGCAAGTCGCACTCTCAGGGCGCAGAGGATAATGGAGACGTTGGAGCCGATGGAGTTCGAATGGTCATTTCAGGGTCGACTGGAGGCTATCGCATGACGGCTTCGATGAGGGCGATGAAGTAATCAATGGCGGCAGAAGCGACAGGGAGGAAGACAGAAAGAAAACAATTAGTACAAGGAAATAAATAGACAGCGGCCGGGGGTATCGATCTGATCTGGCGGAAACGAGCGTAGCGATGGGCCCTGGAGCGCAATCAGCAGGCAGCGGCCGTGAATAGGAGATGCTCGGGCAGAGTCTCGTCGCCCGCGATGAGGATTTTTCGGCGGTGATGGCGATTGAGAAGGTCGGGGCAATTGGCGATGGCGGCGACAGTGGCTGGTCTGGTTGGGCTCGAGCAAGAGGCAGAGCGTGAGGAAAAGCGGCTGGAATGCGGGAAATTGCTGGCTGTTGCTCTGACGGCTCCTGGCCGGGGCGGCTAGCCTTATAAGGTTAGTGGCCTATGCCGGGAGAGGCGCTGAATCAGGAACAGGTTTCTCTTGTCTTCTCTTCTATTGTGCCTTGCTTTTTGCATGATACGACACCACAGAGAAGCTGCGCAGTGATTGATTGATTGATTGACAGCTGAGAAAGACAACGAAAAGCTGAGCGGTGAGGTCACGTCGCCGGCCGGGAGCGAAGCGAGATTGTGCGCAACGAGATCGAATCGGCCAGCGGCTCTCACCAGGTGTCACTTGCACGGAGCACAGGCACAGGTGCTAAGCCTCACTATTGCAAGCAGCCCGTGATACGGAGTACGGCGTCCTGCAGCTCGTATTACTACTACTACTATTACCGCCAACTACCATTGAAGGGATCTCAGTGCTACAGTACTGTTACTGCTGCTGCCGCTCGTGAAGCAGAGCGTCGTGCGACGGTCTGATGATTCGCTGGCGGATGAGACGCCGCAGCCAATCCAGCTGTTCATTATTCTATGGAAGCACAAGCTAAAGAATCGCTCAGCTCGACTGCCTCGGGATCTCGACTCGATCGTTCAAGAGTCGATGCTCTGCTAGTGAGCTTCAAATTAAAAAGGGCCACTGATCCCCCTCTTCCTCTCCACTGCTGGCAACATATGGTACGATGCACAGGGCAGGACTGCGTCAGCAAAGAAAGCTCTTCTTCTTCTATTAATAACTCGGATTATTCTCCGTCTAGGGAACAAGATGGCGAAGCCTCTGTCGGAGACACCCCTGATGGCGTTTGTGACTGTGAGATGCATCGGGGCACGTCTCTCTGCTCAGGGGCACGAAACGTCGGTCCACTCTAGCTTGGGGGAAACACCAAAGGAGATGCAAAACGCAGCTATGTAGTTGTACTGGAGCACCTAAGGAACCACGCACAACCAGGGAGGAAACAAAGAGCAAAAGCTACCATCTACTACCAGGTTCTACTACTAACCATGGCAGCGGAAGAGAGCCGAGAAACGCACAATCCACGGAGCACTCCCGGCTCGGATCACGGCTGGAATGGGCTCATCGCGGCTTGACCAAGTGCTCAAAGTTACTGAGCCAATCTATCGCTTCTGCACCCGACTGCTCGTTGAGCTTGGAAGCAGCCGTGACCACCTGGTGCCGCAGCCATGTCACCAATAGCCGTCCTGGCACTTTGGTTTTGTTTGCTGTTGCACATCTCAGCCGTGGCTTGCATGCCATCGGTATAACACCCTTTTTCTGGTGATAATGCCATGAGTGACGGCGCCGGTCCGTTTACGCGGCAACCTGACGTTTTGCTGGGATAACATTCGGGTGAGATGCGAGTACATCAAGGCCGAGCCACGGGAGCAAGGCCGTTTCACACTGAACATCAAAAGCAAGGGGGGGGCAGAGTGGTGATAAGGTTCTGTCGTGCCTCGTAGAATCCCTTCAAGACGGGTTACCCTCGAAACGCCTACTGCCACAGATAAGAAGCAGCCACGTACTTTGACTCCGAGCCGTTCTAAGCACTGAGACATCATCCGCATCTACCGAGTACTCAACAAACAAAACATAATCACCATCATCCTGTACTCCGTGCGTACTCCATAGACGGCTGCCTCTCGCTACAGCTACTACTACTGCGTCTTGTCCTGCTGCGCGGCCGCCCACCGTGTCTTATACTCCCTCGGGCTCTCAAAGGCCTTTGGATCGCCCGCCCACATCCCCCTGCGCTTCCTCCTCGCCTTGGCCTCGGCCGCCTTGTACCGCTCCTCCAGCCCGCCGTACTCGCCGCCGCTCTTGGCCTCGTACACCGTCGCTAGCCCGGCCTTGATCATCTCCAGGCCGACGTTCTTGCGCAGCAGGAACCGCCGCACGTACACCGTCGCCACGATGCGCTCGTACTGGTCCGTCTTGTAGATGTACGCGCGCACGTTGCGGTGCAGGATGTAGTTTCGGAGCCACCGCAGGGCTTCGTCCGCGTAGGGCTGGGCCGGCTTTCCAAAGTGCGCTCCTTCGGGCGCATCGATGGCGGCGATGCGAATGGGTATCTACAACAAGATTTCCCCGGGAGTCAGCAATCTCTTTTGCCATGATCACAAGGGAGATTGTCCTTACAGTTCGTCCCTTGAGCTCCTTTCTCGTCTCAGGGACCTTCCTCAGCCATCCCCAGCCCACGGCCCTCCCTCCCGGCGTGTGGAACAGGTGAAAGTTGTCGCCGTCGCCCACGCTCGTCACCCTGCCAAACAGGCTCCTGTTGCGAAAGAAGTTGGGCCTCACGTAGGCGGCGCCTGGGATCCGGCGCAGGTAGTTGGCGTACAGCTGCAGCGCCGCGAGGCCGACCAGCGAGAAGCCGACCATGGGCGCCCACGCTTTGGTGGCTGCCAACGGGCCTGCATCCTCTCGATTGCCCAGCGAGTCTGCCCAGGAGATGGGCCGCTTCTTGGGCTGGGGGTCTTCATGTGCCCGTTTGCTGGAATCGGAGGCTCCGAATGGCCATACCATTGTAGTTGCGACCCGGAGGTCGGCTTTGGGCGTAGAGTTGTGCTGGGTTTGAATTTGATGGTCTCAGTTGAGGCCGTGGCTTGAGGCTGGGTTACCTGCGGGCACCGTTTTTACAGTGGCGTGTTCACTGTAAAGCGCCAACCCGGATGAGCCCCTATCCGCATAAAACAGCTACCTGGGAATGACTTGGCTGTAGATGAAATGGCCAAGCACCTGCGTCCATGGTTAATGCTTAATATCTCGTCTGATGGACGTGGTGATTGTAGCACCAAGAATCTTAGACAATGCAAAAGTTGTATGGAAAAAGGAGTAATGGCTATATAGTTCCCATCATGAAATTCATCTACACCCGCCCATAAATCACCACCCCCAAAACGACTCCCAGCTCCTGACGAGGCTGCCTTTACCGACATGCGACACCAAAATCTACCTTTTGGCCGGAGATTACCTTTTGGAGGGAGAAGGAAACGGACGTCAAGCCCTGACGTCCTCTTTAGCTGCCTTGCACCTTGAAGGTCCTGCCGCTGGCCGTCTTCCTTTCTCGTTCCTCGTTGTCCGGGCGCGCGCGACGCAGCACTTTCCATCGTTAGCATCACGTTGCCATAGAGATGCGGCAAATCAAACTCACCCTGCAGGAAGTCTGCGGTTCGCTTCCTCATTCGGGAGTGGATGTAGGCCTTGGAGGCCTTGATGTGGTAGTGGAAGTTGTCTCGGAATGTCTGGATATGGGAGATGACAGCGGGCATTCTCGCGGGAGTGAGGTGCCTCGGGAAGAGAACTTGGAAGGGTTAGCACGACGAGCCCAATTGGACAACCCAATCATCTCCTTACCGAATGTGACGTATCCAATCTCTCCAGATCCGGTGTCTTGGACGCCGGGGACGCCCTGCAGCTCAAGCGGGGGGTCGTTCCTGAACAGCACCTGCGGCGCATTCTGGATGGCCCGTCTTCGTGCATCGACAAACTCCTGGATGAAGACCTTTCCGTACACCCGATCGGTTTCCTCCCGGAAGATTGTGCTGAAGATGACCGTGACGCGATCGTGGCTGGCCTTGACGTAGATGGCCTCCTCCTCTCGGTAGTGGATGGCCTTGACCTCGCCGCCTTCCATGACGCCCTTGGGGGCATCCTCTGAGCTGAACTTGGATGCCTCCTCCTTCAGCGTGTAGTGCTCCTCGTATGCCTGCTCGAACGGCGCAGCCATGGCGTGGCGCTTCAACAGGGCGAACTGCATCGCCAACGCGTCGCGTTCCTCTATGTGCTCCGAGTGAGTCGACGGCCCAAAAGGCATTTGCTGCTACGCTACGAGGGACAATGGCCTACCCTTGGACTCCGGCAGGTTCTCCAGGTCGACCAGCACTGAGAAGTCATAGCCGGGCTCGACCGGGACGACGTACTGCCCATATTCGCGCTGCAGAACCTGCTCGGCGCCGTACTTGGCGAGGTCCTTGAAGCATCGGATCTGGATAGACAGCAGGATTTTGGTCTTGACCTCAGGAGTCGAGATGTGGAATGTCACGCCGTCGAAGTCGGATACGGTCTGGTCGATGTGGACGGGCGGGGCTCTGTATGCCGCGGTCAGCTGGGCTCTCGCTCAGGGCAATGGGCTTGTGTGTACCCGGAGAAGCGCTCGGTCAGCACCGACTGGATGAGGGCGTTCTGGTAGTCGAGGAGAAGCATCGTGGGCGGCTGGGCTTCAAGGGTGGTGGTGGTGTCTGTCTCAGCGTGTCTTTGTCCGGGTCGTCCTGGAGCTTGGTTGAGCGACTCCGACCCCCGTGGTGGGGCTGAGCTACGTTGCTGAAGACGTCAAGCTCGGGGCAGCTCACCACGTGACAGGGAGTCGTCTAGTGGGCGAGCGCCCGTAAGCTAGCGCTGTGGAGCGCTGGAGGCTGCTGGGGGTTAGTGGGCGGTGCGGTTGCTAGTGGTGCAGCGAGTTGCGTGGCTGTTATCGATAAGCGCAAGGAAAAAAAAAGTTATCTCGACTCTGCGCAATTGGCTAGCAGCGGCATGTAAATGCAAGATCCTCTGGTGAGAGCAGACGTCAGCGTAGGAGGCTGAAAATTGCCAATCATGGTCAAGTCATACCTGTAAGTTGCTGATGTGCTTGATGATATGATGTACAGCAAGGATTAGGACAATTGCTCTGACCATTGGGGCAGCAAGTACGAGCACGCCAAGTCCTTTGGCACGATCCTCTCCGGCTCGTCGAACCTCGTCTGGACGTCCAAAGATCGAACGGGAACCGGCGCCGGCCAGGCGATTACGGCCGCCAACGAGGAGGTTCTCTGCTGGGACATCAAAAAAGGCGAACTCATCAGCCGATGGAGGGATGAGCGGTGCTCCTATCCCGTCACTGCCATTGCGCAGAGCGGCGTGGACAAGGACATGTTTGCCGTGGGCTACGAGGACGGCAGCATTCGCATCTGGGACAGCAAGATCGCCACTGTTCTCGTCAACTTCAACGGTCACAAGTCCGCGATCACGCACCTCGCCTTTGACAAGTCCGGCGTGCGGCTTGCCAGCGGCGCTAAAGACACCGACATCATCGTCTGGGACCTCGTTGCGGAAGTCGGACAGTACAAGCTTCGCGGACACAAAGACCAGATCACGGGCCTCAGATTCATAGAGCCCGAGGCCCAAGTGAGCGACGAGGCTGGGAACAAGGCCATGATTTCCAACGGCGATGACGCGCCCGAGGGCTACCTCTTGTCCACCGGCAAGGACTCTCTTCTCAAGCTCTGGGACCTGTCGTCAAGGCATTGCATAGAAACGCACATCTCGCAGACCAATGGTGAATGCTGGGCTCTCGGCGTGTCCCCGGATCTGAGCGGCTGCATCACCGCAGGCAACGATGGAGAGATGAAGGTGTGGTCACTGGATGCAGACGGGTTGAGCTCGGCGGCCCGGCGGGTAGAGGTCGTCGCCTCCGCACAATTCCTGCAAGACCGCGGGACCCTTTTCCGACAGAACAAGGACCGAGCCACAGAGGTCATCTTTCACCCTCACAAGGACTATTTCGCCGTCCACGGTTCCGATAAGAGCGTCGACATTTGGCGTATCAGATCAGAGGCCGAAGTGAAGAAGGCTCTGGCCCGAAAGAGGCGGCGAAGACGGGAGAAGAAGAAGGACGCCAAGCACGATGACGAGGACATGGAGAATGCAAATGATACGCAGGACGACGTCTCGAAAGCCGACATCAGCGACGTATTCGTTCAGTACGTCATCGTAAGAACAGGCGGCAAGGTCCGTTCGGTCGACTGGGCGCTGCCGACCGGCCAGAAGCAGATCCATCTGGTGGTGGGAACCACGAACAACCAGCTGGAGTACTACAATGTGCAGCCCAAGGAGAAGGGCGATAAGAAAGCAAAGGACGACATCCCAGACTACGCCAAGGCGTTTTCTGTTGAGATCCCCGGACACAGGGCTGACATCCGCGCCTTGTCACTAAGCTCAGATGACAAGATGCTGGCGTCGGCATCCAATGGCTTGTTGAAGATTTGGAACATCAAGACTCAGACCTGTATCCGGACCTTTGAGTGTGGATATGCCCTCTGCTGTTCGTTCCTCCCTGGAGACAAAGTCGTCGTTGTGGGAACAAAGAATGGAGAGCTGCAGCTGTTTGATGTTGCGTCCGCATCGCTCCTAGACAGCGTCGATGCGCACGAGGGAGCCGTCTGGGCGCTGCAAGTCCACCCTGATGGGCGGTCCGTCGTATCTGGAAGCGCCGACAAGACTGCCAAGTTCTGGGACTTTAAGATTGTGCAGGAACAGGTTCTGGGGACAAAACGAACGACGCCCAAGCTCAAGCTTGTGCAGTCCAGGGCGCTCAAGGTCTCCGACGATATCCTCAGCCTGCGGTTCTCGCCCGACGCCAGATTGCTGGCAGTGTCGCTTCTCGATAGCACGGTCAAGGTTTTCTTCGTGGATTCGCTCAAACTGTACCTCAACCTCTACGGACACAAGCTGCCTGTGCTGAGCATGGACATTTCCTACGACAGCAAGCTTATTGTCACGAGTTCCGCAGACAAGAACATCAGAATCTGGGGTCTCGACTTTGGCGACTGCCACAAGGCCTTGTTTGGGCACCAAGACAGTATCCTGCAAGTGGCTTTCGTCCCGCACAACTCGGACGGCAACGGGCATCACTTCTTCAGCAGCGGCAAAGACCGAACCATCCGATACTGGGACGGAGACAAGTTTGAGCAGATTCAGAGGCTGGACGGCCACCACGGCGAGGTATGGGCCATAGCCATGAGCCATAGCGGCAACTTCCTCGTCACTGCCAGCCACGACAAGAGCATTCGCGTATGGGACGAGACGGACGAGCAGATCTTCCTGGAGGAGGAGCGGGAAAAGGAGATGGAAGAGCTGTACGAGAGCACTCTGACGGCTTCTCTGGAGAAGGACCAGGAAGGCGACGAGAACGGCGAGGTTGCCGCCGCCGGAAAGCAAACCACAGAGACGTTGATGGCTGGTGAGAGGATAGCGGAAGCTCTGGAGATGGGCATGGCCGACTTGAACCTGCTGAAGGAGTACGAGGAGGCCAAGCTCACCAACCCTCACGCCATGCCGCCGCAGCGAAACCCCGTCTTCCTCGCCCTCGGCAACATCACCGCCGAAGCCTACGTCATGTCTGTGCTCCAGCGCATCAAGGCTTCCGCGTTGCACGACGCCCTGCTGGTGCTCCCCTTTGCCTCCGTCCCCATCCTCTTCACCTTCATCAACATCTTCGCCATGCGGTCGATGAACATTCCCCTGACGTGTCGGATCCTGTTCTTCATGCTGAAGACGCACCACAAGCAGATTGTGGCCAGCCGGACGATGAAGGTGATGATGGACGGCATCCGCACCAACCTGCGCGCCGCGCTGAAGAAGCAAAAGGACGAGATGGGAGTCAACATTGCGGCGCTCAAGGTGGTGGGCATGCAGATCCGGGACAAGAGCGTCAAGGAGTACGTGGACGAGACGTGGGAGGAGGAGAGCAGGGAGCGGAGCGCAAAGAAGCGAGCGTTTGTACATGTTGCTTGAAGCTGCACCGATGCTGTAGTGAGGAAGAAGGAGTGCATCGTCACATGATAGAGTCAACGGCGAAGTCTGCCCCTTGGTGCTGGCTTAGGAGTTATCTGGTTAGGATTTTGAAAAGAAATAAAGACGTGATTTTGAGTTAATATGTTTGCTACCCGGCAAGCTTTGTGACGTTTATGATTGGGCCATGGAGCTCTTTTTTTTGCTCAGCCGTTGAGTACCTGGCCAACTAACATAGGTATGCAGCTATTTTTGTCTATATGAGCGTCCCGTATTGCCGACTCTTATGATTTTGGAGTGTTGATGGTACAAGTATGTAGGAGCAGCTCCTCCGGCTATCGCCATCTTCTTCAAGCATTGCCAGTCTCTCTAATCGCCGCCATCCCCCAATCCATTAAAACAAGGTCTCTTCTGGCATACACGCATAAGGTAATGGTTGTCGTGTAATAAATACTTCATCTAGCGCAACAGAATTGAGACCAGTTGTCCAACGATTAATAGCGCTGCATCTCTCTAACGTCTAATGGCCCATCTCCCACCGAAGCCATCACGACAGATATCATCACGTGACCTCACAGCTTCTGAACGCCCTCTTCTACCTTTAGTATGGAACTCATGTGTGGGACTTGATTGAGCTGTGACAACTTCACTCGACGAAAAACAGCAACGATTCCCCCCTTAAACACACTGCGATCCCGGCGAAACACTCATACCCGACCATCTCAAACTCTCTTCACTCATTTCCTCTTACAGGCCTATCTGCAGCGAGCAACTCCAGCAAAACTCGACACACGTTCACTTTCGTCTCAAGGAACATCATCACCACCCCGCCTAACGAAAGCTTTCAAAAAACCACATCGCCATCATCATGCTCTTCTTCAGGTATCGTCTCCCACAATCCCAGCCACACATATTAAACGCCCCTTAACTCAAGGCGCAGCTTCTTCAAAACCCTCATCGACCACGAAGTCACCGTCGAGCTCAAAAACGACATCCAGCTCAAGGGAATCCTCAAGAGCGTCGACCAGTACCTCAACATCAAGCTCGACGACATCCAGGTCGTCGAGGAGCTCAAGTATCCCCACCTGAGCTCTGTCAAGAACGTCTTCATTCGGGGGTCCGTCGTGCGGTACGTGCATCTGCCTGCGGCGTCGGTGGATACGCAGCTGCTGGAGGATGCGACTCGAAGAGGTAAGGCACACTTTTCTTTTGAAGAAATGTAACTTTGGGGATCATGGGGTTTTTTCTTGGTGAGACTGACTGTGTTGGTTTTTCAGAAGCTGCTGCGCAGCAGGCTAAAGCGAGATAAGGAGGGTTTGACGGCATGAGATGGGAAATGGAACTATTAGCTGAGGGATGAGAGACGTTCAATGCTTGCTTGAGCTTAAAAAAACCTATACAAATGAATCGTTCTTGGAGCGTCGGCGTGTGATGGAAAACCACCTGCATTTGATGGATGGATGGCTCATCATCTGGGGTTCTGTTGCAGATATAAAGCAAGACATCTGGCGTTTCTCATGGCATGGGCAACAGACCATCGGGTTTCTCACCAGCATCGGTTAGGGACGTGTTAATAAAGCTTTACAACACCCCGGCTTCTCCCCTTTCTGTTATTATAATCCAGGTTCACCACCAAGCTCCCCCTCCCTCGCCGGCTTTCCCTTCCCACAACGGTATGCTCTTTTGATGCTCGTCGTCTTCTCCCTCCACCAACGGCCTCACCAGCCCCCCCTTCCTCCTCTCCGTCATCCATCTATCGATCCAGCCCTTCATCCTCTTCCGTGACTGCTCGCTGCCGACATTGACGGTGGGAATCACTTTGTCAATGCGCAAGCCCATGACAAACATGGCCAGCTCGCGAAAACTGCTATGCTCGGAATACGGCACGCCAAAGCACATGGCTTCTTTCGTGCTCCCCCTCTGCGCTACGAGGTCTTTCGCACCAAATCTTGTCCTCCAGCCCTTCCCGTGGAGAAGCTGCTGCGTCGATATGCTGCTCGGCGGAGTGTTGGCTCCGATCGCCTTGCTGCCGTTCCCAGGCCGGAAATTCCAGCCGCTGGGGCGGAAGCCGATGATGCGACTGAAATGTGGCCTGTAGCTGTCCAGGTAATCCTGCAAGGTTTCCGCACGAATCTCCATGAGCATCTGCATATGCACTTGAGCTTCCACAGGGTCAGATGTCAGCAGCGCGGTCAGCTCTGGGTCGTCGAGCTGCTTGCATATCTTGATCTTCGCTGGAGAAGCAAAGATCTTGGAACCAAGGGCTTTAGCTATGGCCACACAGATTCTCTCTTTTCCGATGGAGTAAGTGCCGCAAATTACGAGGAGGCGCTGCTTCGGTCGAGAGGGTTTTGGCTTCGACTGGTCATCAACTTCTGTTGCCTTGTCGCTCTGAAAGTATTTGCTCATGGTGCCTGTTTCAGCCGACTTCTCTGATCTCTGCCAGACATCATCGGCGCAATTCGAGTCTGCCGACATGGATGCGCACATGTCCGCACAAGCTTGGATGACGTCCCCTTGAGGAGGGAAAGAGTATCGCGGATTCAAATATGTCGTGTCGAGGTAGCAAATGTCAATCCGCTGCTGCTTCGTTTTCCCCGATATTGAGTCTATTACATCGGGTTTGAGTAGGGGGTGCCGTATGTGCTGTGGACAGGCCCGGAAATCGCCACAGTGTAGTATCCTCTTTACCCTCTTGTTTGGTCCATTTCCAAAGGGCTTTTCGAAGAGAAACAGAGAGCTCCCGGGGCAGTGGTTCGCCGGCATCATGGTGACAGTTGCGCCGTCGGTTCCGGGGATGTCGTAGGACTTTTCAAACTCCAGCTCAACAACCCACTTGGCTGCTGTCCGAAGCTGCTGCTTGACCAAGCTGCCCGTCACCTTGCTGCAGTAGATTGGGCCGTGCCGCCAGTTTGCCGTGAGGCCGATGTAGTGGTCGCTGTGAAAGTGGCTTAGGAAGTAGGCCTGGCATCCCTCAACGGCGCCGTAGCGGAATGCATCCACGCATATTGAGAATCCCGGCATGATTTTGTAGAACGGACATGTTCGTTCGTAAGCAGGTCGGCCTCGAGACGCCGTTTCCGTCGCCGCCGCCGTAGCCCAGGCTGAATCTTCTGCATTGCCTGACATGAGCTTGGAGAAGGCGCTCTTTGGCTGTTTGTCGGTGTTGATTTCGAAGGGGTTTGCCTGGCCGGGCCTGGGTACGGCCGCCCGGGCAAATCTTTTGCTAATCTCCGCAGCCTCTATCTGGGCGACCTCCTCCTTGACTCGTGCCTCTTCCTCCTTGATTGGCGTGTCATGTCTCGTAGGAAGTGGAATCGGATTGCCATCGAGGCATGAGTTGACGTGTCGTGTAGCTTCGTCGGGAGAAACGCCGAGCAGGCTGCCGCCACAAATCGGGCAATCCTCCACCGTGGCTTGATCATTCAAGAGGTCTTCAACATCATCGCCTGGAATTCCGTCTTCTTCCGCTTCAAGACGAGCCTGCTCCCGCATGAAGCGCATTTCCCGCATCTCTTCGCCTTCAAACTCATCTAAGCCGAAATCGTCCAGGTCAGCGAAATCCCCGAGTTGGTTAAATTGGGCATCCGTCGAGGTTTCCTGCTTGAGCAGCGGCGGCGGTTCATACTTGACATGGGCATCCTTGGAGGGTGTAGCATCGCGGGATGGCTCGCGTTGAGCAGAGGGCGCCGTTTGTGCGGCGGCGCTCTTCTCGGGCAGCGACATTACAGGCTTTGGTTCGGGTGCGTTGTTGTTTGCGTCATCCACATCGTCATCTTCGCTATCGGATTCTATGATGAAGGGTGTCTTGATCTGACGTTTAGGCTTCTTCGGCTCGTCTCCGTTCGCAGGCTTTGCCGGCTTGATCGTGCTATCCTGGGCGGGTGCTTCTTTTGCATCTGTTGTGTCTTCCTTCGCCACTGGCGGGGCAGGTTCTGGTTCCTGGCTGACTCTCCTCTTCTTGTTCGGCCTCTCAATCTCGTTGAATCGAGCCTCTTCATCGCGGACGTGCGGCTCGACTTGATTAGCTGTTTCCGCAGGCACGGCACCGACAAAGAGCGAGTCCTCCGGTTTCGCAGCTTTCTGGAAAAAGTTGAGGATGCTGGCGTTTGGCTTGGCGGGTTTCTTTGCAAAGCTTGAAGCTGCTGCTGGCTTCTTCGAGAAGCTTGAGCGACTGGCCTTGGTAGACGTGACCATGATGGCGGATTCTGCGGCCGAACGGCTACTCTGGGTTGCTCGTGCTCGGCCTTCTGGGTGACTTTTGGTGGCATTACACGTCGATTTACAGACCCGCGTAATGGCTGGATCGTGAATTCACGAAGTCACGTGCGCCTTAAGTGGCGGGGCTGGCACTAGTCTCTATATCACAAAGCGCGAGGACCTATTTTTAGCCGTGGAGTTTATAGAGAGCTGGAGATCTTTGCGACTCAATTGCAGATTAAGATCTGTAAAGTAGAGATGGCAGATCCAGTACAAGGCAAAGGGTATTGTCATCGGGACTAGGCATTTTATGATAGTATTTTGTCGGCATATAAATGCGCACTCAAGATCAGCTCAGTACTAGCCATGCTCGCTGTTGTCACGGTGCAACACCGCGTAGACGCCCGCTGACGACGAGGTACCCCGTGCGGTCTAAAAGATGTCCCGGCTCAGGCTTCCGAGTTCCCAAGATCTCATCCCCGGATTGATGACGTTTTTTTTGGTAGAATGTCGTCCTGTTGCTCCTTATCAGCGCTGTAAATCCTTACATAGAATCTACTCTGAACTGCGTCCTTGCATCCCTGGTTTCAGCTGACTAGCGCAGGTATCTGGGCGTCACCCTGTTTGTTCCAGGAATAGAAGCGACCATTTGGCTTCTACAAGTGCTACCTCGCCTGCTTCAACGTCGCCGGTCAGCTATTTCTTCCTCTCACCTGTCTCTATCAGCGGAAACAAGCTATCAAAATCACCATCAATCAATACGTCTTATTCAGGAACGTTGATAGTGCGTTATAGACATCATGTCGTGTAAGTTGCACAATCTACTGCTCCATCCCATGGACGACTAAGGTATTAGGACTGACGTTCACTCGTAGCCTGGCTTACCACCACCGCAACGCTGCAAAACGTAACAGCTCTGCCTGCCGGCATCACATACGCCAAGGCTCTTGAGACTGTGCAGAATCAAGACCGTCACATGCAATGCGACTCTCACATGATCAAGTACGAGCCCATCCCTCGGCCGTCCAAGGTCGCGTCTCCCACGGTCCCAGCAGACAGAGGACTCGTCGCCGCCAGCGAGCCCCTGTATTACAAGGTGACGGACAAGGTGCACACGCTGCCCGCAGGGCTGTGGGACTCCAATGTCGAGAGCACGAATGAGTTTGTGAAGCTGGAGAAGGGCATGTTCGTGAGGCTGTACAGTCCGCTCAATGTGGTGATGGAGACGGTCTGGACGGTGCGAGAGACAGAGGGCGGCGGGCTCGAACTGGTCGAGGATGTGCTGATCAAGGCGTCTCGGTTGCTGGTCGGCACGGTGAAGAATATGTGCAGCACCAACTGGACGACATTCCACGGCAAGATGGTGGAACTGATGAAGCAGAGCTCGTCACCATAGAGGGCAAGTAAGGCGTCGTATGGGCGGTAGAAACAAAGCAATGGGGCGACGAGATGCTGTTGCTTGATGCCGCTGTATTTCTGGCTGATGGCCATCAACACGCTTAGGCACTCCTGTAGAGGCACCAAAGATCCCAAACGGTTACCTGTTTTGATACTCTTCCCTTCTCTGAACCAAGGGAAACAAACCATAACTGCTGATTCATCATCAAGCTGGATCATCAAGGAGTCGAATCATTTCCGCAGCCAAAATTGGCAGCTGGAGAAATGAATGGTTGAGGCCTCACCCGGCTAAACCCCGCCTAAGCGCTGCTGCGCCTCAGCCATTCGTTGCCCTCCGACTCGATGGTCAGGCATCGTCTCTGCCAGCTTTTTCTCTTTCGACAAATCATTTGCGTCCACGACAGTTGATTTCCGTCCGGGTGGCTGGTGAGTCTCTTCCTAAGATGGCTGAGGCGAGTCTGGACTGCCCTCTCGAATCCTCTTAAAGAGCGTGCAGAATCGTGTGTCCCTCCTGGTTACTTTGGGACTCGAATTCGGACATCAAAACACCAGCATCATCTGTCCAAGCTTCTGATCGGCATCATCCCTACAGAGGTCCAAGTGGGCCATTTCATGCATCATGTCGCTCCGAGTCCAGTGGCCCGACGTGTCCGGCACCAAGCAAAAGGCCCTTGAAGATGCAAAGAAGATGCAAAATGCCGTCCTTGAGAGCTGCACAAAGGCCGGCAAGGAACCCCCGCAGTATCAGCTGCAAGAGCTCGTCGGCAAGGGCAGCTTCGGCAGGGTCTACAAGGCAACGTCCACCAAGACCGGGCGGCTGGTCGCCGTCAAGATCATCGACATCGAGGAGAGCGATACTCTGAACCCTAAGCTCGCAGACACGTACAGTGATCTGCTCAAGGAAATCAACGCCCTGCAGCTGCTGAGCGACAGCGGCGCCAAGAACATCAACCATGTCATCGAGGCGTTGCCGGTCGGCCAGTCCATGTGGATGGTGACCGAGTATTGCGCCGGCGGCAGCGTTGCGACGCTCATGAGGCCAACAGCCCCCGGTGGATTGCAGGAGAAATGGATCATTCCCATTGTGCGTGAGGTTGCCGAGGCCATTCACTGGGTGCACGGCGCAGGCATCATCCATCGCGATCTCAAGTGCGCCAATGTCCTCGTCACCGAGACCGGCGATGTCCAGCTCTGCGACTTTGGCGTTGCTGGTGTGATTGAGACAAAGGTCGACAAGCGGACAACATTCATCGGCACCCCACACTGGATGGCCCCCGAGCTGTTCGACAAGGAGGCGGCCTATGGAACAGAGGTCGATATCTGGGCGTTCGGCGCCATGGTGTACGAGATTGCATCAGGCCTGCCGCCTAATGTTACCGATGGCATCGATTTCGCGAGGCTGGGAACCCATTTGAAGAACCATACACCTCGACTCGAAGGTGATCAATACTCGGCGGGCCTAAAAGACTTGGTGGCGTACTGCCTTCAGCACGACGCCTCAGACCGGCCCACGATTGAGCAAGTACAACAGCATAGATACATCCAGGGCACAGAGGCATCGCACCCGACATCCTCACTCGTTCACCTGGTTCGAGCCTTTAAACTGTGGGAGGCGCAGGGAGGGGACCGACGGTCGCTCTTCTCAGCTGGCGGCGCCCAGGGCCTGGCTGACCTCTCCATCGCCATCTCCAACGACGAGTGGAATTTCAGTACGACTGCAGCGTTCGACCAGCAGGTCCTCGACCAGGGCGACGCTCAAGATGTCTACGATGTATATGGATCCAAGGTGGACTTCACTCCCGAGGGCTATGACGAGACTTCTCGCCCACCAAAGCCCAAAGGCCGGAGGAGGCCACCCCCTCATCTACCTTCGGTCAAGGCACCCCTCGAGAAGATCTTCGATCCCAATACAATGTCCACATACGAAGAGAACTCGAGAGCTTACTATAGCCAGCCGTTTCAGGCTCCCATCTCAGACCTGCCTCTTCGAGACGAGAGCTCACAGCCGCCGGATGTGAGGGAGTCCCTCATCGACCTCGATGTATCGCTGCATGGGGGAGAACTGTCGCAGTTTGTCGACATGGACACCATCAAGGCCAGTGATTCGCATGCATCGGTGGACTACGGGTTCGACGATCCAAGCTTCATCAATGGCCCGATGAGCGACCCGATCGATCTGAAAGACAACAGGCGCACGCAGGATTGGAAGTTCCCCTCAATGGCCGCCACAACGACTGCAAGCCACCAGGACTTCAAATTCCCCTTCACCAACAGCGTCGCCCCGTCGGACGATGGTCGACCTCAACTCCCCCATCACGTCTCCGAGCCAAACCAACGGACGGCCAGTTTCAGCGAGCTTGCACCGACTCCCTCGGATGATCATCGCGCATCTGTGGGCAGCTTGATAGATCTCGACATGAGCTTTGCCGACTCATCAACGGACTTCACCCGCCCCTCGACCTCTTATTCCGACGTTGGATCCATCAGCGGCTCAGAGATAGGTGGCACAAACCCCTTTGAGCTGGAAAAGCACGCCTCGCTCTACGTCATGAATGCTACGAATCGAGAACCCTCAATTTACATCTCGGACGAGTCGGAGTATGCGCACGTCATCACGAGCATCCCGGACCTCTCGCTCGATGACGAGGCAAAGCACGATGAATCCCACATCAGCAAAGAGTCCAACGTCTCAGCGTTCAGCGAAGGCCGGCCCTATTCCCTGAGCGACTTTGCCGACATGGATCCCGAGCTGCCTCCCGAGCCGGCCCCTGCTCCCAGCACGCCCCAGCATGCGCCGTCGCTGCGAGAATACTCGCCGAAGAGCCGGTCTCCGCAGAGCACGTCCTCGCCTGTTCGGCGTCCTCGTCCTCCCACGCACCAGCTTGACGCTCTTCTTCCTCCGCTGCCGGCTGGCCCCTTGCCACAGGTCATGCTTGGACAAGCTTCTCCCGAGGAGGTCCGGAGCGAGCTGCGGCGTTTGGCTATGAGCCTTGGCGATCACTTGACGACTGTCAATGCGTATATATCTACCTTGCCCGTGCGGAGGAAGAGCACGCATGCGCAGTACTCGCTGGATCCAGAGGGTGGTGCGATTTAGCCTTGTGTTTATTTTTCCTTTCCTATTCGTTTTGAAGGCGGTTGCCGTGACGATTTCTTACACAATTTCAAAGAGAAAGGGGGCTTTTCCTCATGATGGATGCTTGGAGTCACAATATGTCATTTACGGTATGGATGTACAAGTAAATAGCGGGTTATATGCTTTTGTTTACGTTCAAAAAGGGAAGATCTTTTGCAAGTCTGGCAACGGCAGGGTCATACGGCGCGATGTATCTACGCTTAACTTGTTCTGTTTCCATGTCTCAATACATTATTCTAGACACATCGCCCACTTTGTGTTGTGATGTTATACAGACCCATCAAACCCTCCATCCATCAAAATCCAATCATGTTGCCCATCAACAGCGCCTGATACTTTTCAATCGCCTCCCCAAGCTTAATCAGCACCCCCGCCGAAAGCATCTTGACCTCATTCTCCTCTCCGCCATCTTCACCTCTTATCCTATTAAACACCGTCGCAGCCCATTCCCTCGTTTCCACAACCTCGCGTCCCTGCGCCTCACACAACCTGCGCATATCGCCGTCATTCACCTCCAATAACGACGCCATCGCCACGAACCAGCCTTTGAGCGCGCCGAGGTCATCCTGCGTGTGGACTCGTACGGCGAGAAGGAGATCCCACAGCTCGGAGGTGAGCTGCGGAAGGGAAAGGGTAGAGGGGCCGGCGGCGTGGATGATTACGCCTAGCGTTTGGAGGTACAATGCTAACAGGGCGGGATTCAGGATGACGGGCTTGGAGGATCGGAGGGCGACCTGGAAGTGCGCTGTGAGGGGGTAGAAGAAGGATTCTGCGATGAGGGCGGCGGTGGTGTTTGGGATGGAGCGGATTCGGGCGGCCCTTGCTTTGGTCTTGGACTTGTAGCGGGCTGTGAAGGTGGAGAGCTTGAGCATGTCGGGGCCGGTGGAGGCGTCGGCTGCTTTGGCGGCCATGGGCTCCAGGAAGGATTGTGTGAGGGATTGGGCGATCGAGTCTATGGCGGTGGAGGGCAGTGCTTTGAGTTGGGATGGGCGGTTTGCTTCGCCTTGCTTGGATGAGTCGAGGTATAGCTGCTCAATCTTCTCCGGTAGTCGCTTTGAGGGAAACGACGCGGCGGCCTGATACTCGGAGGCGTCGAAGCCGGCGATTTCTCTGGCTGACAAGCCGATGGCCACGAGAACCTGCGTTCGCTGCGATAGGGAGTAGTCTCCCTCGAAAAAGGTCCGAGAAAACCAGGGTGCCATCGATTTCGGCTGGGCGACGATCAAGGCTATCATGCCTTGTAGCTTCAAGTCGCTGAAGTCTTCAATGTCGAACTTGTCTTGCAATCCAACGAGCAGCCCTGCAAGCTCTTCCGCGTGGGAGCTGACTTCCATGCCAAAGTTTGCCTTTCTGCGAATCAATAGCGGTGCCGTCTGCAGGGCCAGCTTTTGTTTGTCGTATGATTCCGTGTCGCGGAGATGTAGGATTAGGTCGCGGATGTAAACGGGGGCCTTTGGCTTGTTGCGCTGGACTAATGTGGCGTCGTCGTCAGAGTCTTCTGGGTCAGAGCCTTTTGCATAGGGTACAAGGTCTTCATCGTCTTCTGAAGAGTCAACCTCTTCGATGATGGCTATCGGCTTGATGGCCGAGATGCTGGGTTCTGGCTTTGCCTTGGCTTTCTTTGCCTTGGGCTTTTGCGTCCGTTTCTGTAATGGGCGACTCGCTGTCTTTGCTGGTGGCCCTGACACCTGTGTCTTGAGGATAGGTTCGATCGAGCCGACCTCGTCGGATACGGTGGTGAGGGACTTGAGCCCCTGCGCTTCTTCGCTCTCCGTCTCTTCCATATGAAAATCAAGCTTTTGACTCTTGTCGTCCATCAGGGTCGAGAGAGATTCTCCGACTACCAAGCCCAAGAATCGAGCTCTTGCCTGGGTTGCTGCTATCCGGTTTGAGATTGCCGTCAGGTAAGAGCCAGATCTCACAATGATTCTCAGTTTGATGGGAGAGAGTCTAGAAACGTAACCTGCACTGAGTAGCAACACCTCGGCGTGGACTAACAAGAGTCAGTGTGATGAAGCAACGGCGTGGCTGATGATGGAAAGACCCTTACCATTTTGCTGTAGTATAGCCGCATGCCTGATGTATAACTGGTCGCCAAACTGAGCCAGGCTCTTCTCGAAAACAGTCGTAATTCCGTCCTTATTCTGAGCTATGACTGCGAGAACGGCTCTTCGAATGCCTACAGCGTCCCCTAGGCCGGCGCCAGAAGATGAAACGCACCAAGAGACAAGGTGGTTGTAAAGAGCTTCATTACCCTTGGTGACTGCGTGAATGACGCCGGCAGCGGCAGAAATGAGTGTTCTGGAAGATGGAGCGTCCAAATCAAGGCCATTCAGGTGCTGGGCGAGGTGCTGTAGCAGGATATTCATCGTCCTTTTGGCGCTGGATGGTTGAGAGAGGCACACTTTGGCAAAGTCCGTCGGGTTGCTCCCTTGTCGAAGGAGAAGGCTGTCAATGACGGTCTTTACAAGGCTTTCTGGTGAGGCGTCAGTGATGAGCAGCGATGTAGACGGACGTGTAACATACCCAGGTAGCCTAGAGACATGGCTCGCTGGAAAACGTCTGAGCAGAAATGCAGCTCATCTTCAGTTTTGGTGACCTTGGCCCAGGCAACTATGTTGTGCGCAAGCCACTGCGTGTATCTGGCGCCATCAGCCGGCCATATCGTTTTGGCATCGACGTTTTCTGAGCCAGCAACTTCGACTGCTTCGGCGGCTATAGACAGCACACGTCCCCCGGTGAGCAAAGAGAGCAGCGCCTGGGATTGCACTTTTCTCAGCGTCTGGGTGGCCAGCCTTTGTGTTGAAGCTGTCCACAAGGCTTGGATAGCAGAGTCCCTTTCCAACACTGTCGCTAACAAATCGAGAAAAATGTTGACATGCAGCGCCAGATCGGGTCGCCTGGTTTCCTTGGGTCCAAGCTTGTGCTCCTGTATGAGAGCCTTGAGATGAGTAAGAACAGCGTTGAGCCCGGTGACGCTCTGTAGACAAGCAACAAACAGATGCAAGTCGTCTCGATCATCCTCGGCACCGTCATTCGCCCCGCCTTCCTTCAACAGAGTCCAGTAGTTTGCAGTTATTTCCGTGACCAGCACGTGAATGATGGCTGCGCTTTTCGGTCCTGGGACGTGGACGTTGAAAGCATCGGGCTGCGCGGCATCCTTGGTGAGATACCTGAGAACTCGGACAAGGGAGTCGTAATCAGGCTGGTTCCGAAGTATCTCTAGAGCCTCATCCGGCGAATTCACCTGAGAAAGCTTCGAAATTTCAGCTACTCTCTTGGTTGAGCTGACCTCGGATAGCAGCGGCTGGGCGTCCTCTCGAGCCTTGAGATATGTGGTGCTGACGGGAGTCAACAGTTCGTCCATGGCCGCTACCTGGGCCTCTGAAAATGGTTCAGAGTAGCGGTAGCGGCATTGAAGGAAGAGAAGAGGATCAGGAGATGATGGCAAAGAGTAAAAGAGATGGATAGGTGGAAAGGCAAAGATAGAGGCAGAGCTTCAAGCCGTGGTGGACGTTCAAGACCCCACATTCACCTGATCTCACCGATCCCTCACCGAGCCACCGAGCCTAAGACGAGCTCCTCCCCACCCTGCCATGCTTGCCTAACAGCTGCACCGAGCTTCCCTCCTCCACAGCACCTCCGGTCTCTACGAGTCTGTCCGGCATCAACTTCCTCTCCTCCTTAATCTCTCTACTTTGGCTCTTGATATCGATACCCTAAGGATCCCTACTCAGCCATCATTTGCCGCGAGATGTCTGTCGAAATGCAAGATGCGCCAGCCATTGACGCCGATAGGGAAGCGAGACGATGGTTAGCCAGCGCCTGAGACCCAACTGACGATGCGCCGCGCGTGAGCATGTGCTGACGGGGAAATGCAGGAGGTACCTCGAGCAGATTAGACGCACGCCGGGTCCGACCACAAATCCAGAAGCCGTAGAGGAAGAGTTTCTAGCCCAGTTCGAGCGCTTCAAGGTCCTGTATGTATCACGAGCACAAGCACAAGCGACGAAGCAGAGCTGGATGGAACATGCGTTTGGCTAACCAGACACAGGGTCATGTTTGTCCCACCTCGCACCGATACTCCTACCTGATCCTTTCAGCTGACGACTGACGACTGATGGCGGCGGCAGTGGCGCAGGCGGCCTGGGATGCGAGATCCTCAAGAATCTGGCCATGTCCAAGTTCAAGGATATCCATGTAATTGATATGGGTAAGGCGCACCATACATGTCCAGGCTGGAATCTGTGGTCTTGGACTCGTACTAACGCGGCGCCCGACGTTTAGACACGATCGACATCTCGAATTTGAACCGACAGTTCCTCTTCCGCAAATCAGACGTTGGCAAGTACAAGGCCGAAGTCGCAGCCAAGTTCGTCGAGCAAAGGGTCAAGGGTGTTAAGATCACGGCGCACAACAAGCGGATCCAAGACTTTGACGACGAGTTCTACAAGCAGTTCCAGCTCGTCATTTGCGGCCTGGACAGCATCGAGGCGCGGCGATGGATCAATACCATGCTGGTCTCCATTGCCGAGGAGTCTGAGGATTCCGATGGGGTGAAGCCGCTTATTGACGGCGGCACCGAGGGCTTCAAGGGCCAAGCCAGAGTCATCTTCCCGTCTTTTACTTCGTGCATCGAATGCCAGTTGGACATGCACGCTCCCAGAGCCGCTGTTCCTCTGTGCACCATCGCCTCCATCCCGAGACAGCCGGAGCATTGCATCGAGTGGGCGCATGTCATTGCCTGGGAGCAGGAGAAGCCCTTTCCGAAGCTCGACAAGGACGATCCAGAGCATGTCACATGGATCTACCAGAAGGCCCTCAAGCGAGCGGAGGAGTTCAACATTCCGGGCATCACGTACGCGCTCACGCAGGGAACGATCAAAAACATCATTCCCGCCATTGCTTCGACCAACGCCATCATTGCCGCGGCTTGCTGCAATGAGGCCTTCAAGATTGCCACGACGAACGCGGCATGCCTGGGCTTTGAGAACAACTATATGATGTACTCTGGTAACGACAGCATCTACACGTATACGTTCAAGCACGAGAAGAAGGATGACTGCCCAACCTGCGGTCGAGAACCCCGGCCCCTGGAGGTTGACCCCAACATGACGCTGCAGGATCTAGTGGACTCGCTTGCCGTCCGTCCAGAGGCTCAGCTGAAGAAACCATCCATGCGAGCGGAGGGCAAGACGCTGTATATGCAAGTCCCGCAAAGCTTGGAGCAGCAAACAAGGCCGAACCTGAGCAGGTCCCTGGCAGACCTGGGGTTGGAGAATGGCCAGGAGGTTGTGGTCACGGATCCTGCATTTCCCATGGAGTTTCACTTCCTCCTTAGGTTCAAAGCCGCCGAGAGCTCCTGAGAGTTTCTTTCTTTCTTTCACTTCGCATGACGGTGGAGTTTTCGTTCATCTTGGGCATATTCATGGCGTTGGAGACATGCTGGCGGGGCGCAAATACAAAACTTTTTTTTACTTTCGGGACGCAAATACTACATCTCTTCTTCCTTTACCTCTGCAGGGCCATGTATCATGTATACCTATACATGTTACACAGACTCGGAGCATTATCAGGTAAATTGATTCTTTTCTTTACTTGATTATATCCATGAGATATACATGATAAATAACAGCCTTGTGTCAAAACACGCAATAACCATGCCCCTCCATTTTATGTACAAAACGCCTTCGACCGGAAATAACACACACAAAAAGAAAACACGTCTTACTGAACCATGTTGATGACCTGCTGCTCAAGCTTCTTGCATTTCAGCTTCAGATGCTTGACCGCCTCGAGGAACAGCTCGTCGCTATCCCACTGCCCCGTGCTCTCAATCGAAAAGATAAAGTGGTCTCTCCTCCGTCCGAGCTTGACCTTGCCCTCGAACTCGGGGTGCCGCAGCGCCTCCCTGCTGACGGTGTCCTTCATCGTGTCCTTGACGACGGCCTTGAGCTCGCCCGCGTGGCCCTCGTACCCGCTGCCGGCCCTGCTGGCCTCTTCGCGCGAAATCTTCTCGAGCCCGATGACGCCCTCGGGGAAGCAGCGCTGGAACTTTTCGGCGTCGGCGCCGATGATGGGGCGGGTGATGTTGATGAGCGGCAGGAGGCGGTACGAGGCGGTGGCGACGGGGGAGAACTTGGAGTGGTCGGCGCCGATGCCCTTGTGCATGTGCATGGCGAGGTTGATGGACTGCTTGGGGCGCAGCTTGGCGATGAGGATGTCGGGGTTGACGGGGCGGATGGCGTTGTCGCCGCTAAAGTACTCGACCTGCCTGCCGGTGGGCACGAAGACGATGTCCTTTGCGTAGACGTGGGCGTGGTGGTATGCCTTGAGGGGGTCCGTCTCGGTGGGGGGGGCGTCGGGGTTGACGGTGCAGGTGACGTTGAGCTCGAGGCGGACCGTGTTCCAGTCGAAGCTGTTGGCGTAGGGGTCCTCGCCGGCCTCGGGCTTCTTGTACCACTTGAGGAAGTTGTGGATTCCCTCGCGGCCGCCGTTGAAGGGGATGAGGCCGAGGCGGTGGGCGAGGACCTCGTCCTGGATGACGGAGGTGTTGTTCTCGATGTAGACGTCCTCGATAGCGAGCGTAGGGATCTCGGCGATGAGGATGCGGCGGAAGGCGTTTGCGAGGGAGGCGTCGATGCCGACGAGCGAAAAGGACGCGTCGTTGGGCTCGTTGCGGTGGAACTGCACCGAGAAGGCGGACTGGAAGCGGTCGATGGAGAAGGCGTGGTCCTCGCCGGGGAAGTGGCCCGGGAAGTCGGTCGAGGCGACGTTGGAGACTGTTTCTTTGTTGATACCGACCGTCTATGAAGTCTTCGGTCAGTACTTTGCCTTGTAAAGAAGGAGATATTTGAGGTGCAATTTTACGTTGCGGCGGAGCTGCTCCTCCGCGCTGGGAGCAGAATGCCTTGAGGGAGCCATTGGCGGTTGTGTGTGGTCTGGAGGGTTTTGGGGGGAAACGAGAGGACAAAGGCAATGGGGGGGTGGTTTGAGGTCGGCTGCTCGGGTGCTTTGGTGATTCTGGGGAAATTTTTTGAATGCGATAACGAATTGACGATTGATATGGAAATTTAGCCCCTCCGAGGTGAGAAGCGTCGGTGGACTCACCGAGTTGAAGGGAGGGTCCCGCCGCTAAGCCGCTTTTGGTGGTGGTTGGCGTTTGCAAAGGTACAATGTACTTGGAGCTTTCGTTCGTGTAAGATGCAGCTGTAGAGAAGAGAAGGAAGATGAAAGTCATGACTGCTTCAATAAAGTTGCTGGCTTCTTTGGGGATACTGCAGTCTCCTGAGTTGATTTGCTTTTCACAGATTGTACTATGGGGATACATTCAGTCTAGCAGCTGCTTACCAACGCACATGCACCTCAGCCAGCTGGTAAGTAAACGACTGCTACACCTCAACCAACCAAGACGCATTCATCTTCATCCTCATTTTTTGTCGTGGAAAAGAGAGGCTGAGTCTGCGTTGATCGTTTCTACATGCCAGATACAACGATGGTAATGGAGGAACGGTGGGCAAAACCATAGCCCGTAATGAGCTGCTTTGTTGCTTCTGTCAAATCTTTTATGACATGCTATCTAAACCGTTGATCCTCCTGTCCAGTACCCTAAAGTTACATCCTCCTCGATCATGCAGCCCTGTAAAGCTGTCCTCAATCTGCTCGTCTTACCTCCATCACTTCTTGCAATCCAGTTACTCAATGTCTTCCATGTTCCACACACTGACGCCCTTCTTCTGTACGCTCTCCTTCAGTCTCCCGAGCACCGCCTGTCGCTTGGCCCTCTTGTCCATCAATTCTCCCTTTTCTTCCCTGCTAAAGCCGCTGACCTTCTTCCGTGGCGTCGCCGGCTTCACCGGAGTCCCAAAGGACATGACGCTGCCCGAGATGCTTTGGCGCAAGCTGCGAGCCGGCGTCACCTCCGGAGAAAGCAGGATGCTTCGCCTTGACTGCGGTGTCCGAAAAGGAGACTCTTCTCTGCTGGAAGGCTCCAGCCGCATCCTTCGCAGTTGCGTCTCCAACACGTCAATGTCTCCGCTGCGCTTCTCAACCATGCTGGTCATCTTGGTGATGGTCTTCATCACAGCCTCCACGGTGGGAACGTTTGTGCCCCCTCTGCCAGAGGCGCCAGAAATCGATGCAATGCGAGTCTTGAGGAGGGTCAGTGCTTCTTCCGCTTCGGCGAGAAGCTTTGAAAAGTTGGCATACTCCCGCCTCAGCTCATTCTGCTGCGCTTGCTGCTCTGCACTAAGAGGAAGCGACCGCGCAGCGTCCGCTTGGTTGGGATCTACTCGCGTCATGATGACCCGCTTCAGATCCTCCTGCTTGGCTCGGAGGCGGTGCATATCTCTGGCAAGTTCTTGGCAGGCCTCGAGCTTGTCGGGCAGGTCCTGCACTCGGCCTTCCTCCAGGTCGCCAAACAGCTCAACGTCGATGATGTCGCCCAAGTCGCTGATTTCGCATAGGACCCAATCGTCTGGATCCTCAAGATCGTCTGGAGACCGACCGTCGGGAACACGATGATCGGTATGGCCTTTGATAAAGGCCATCACGGAGCGAGCATTGAGTCCAAGCGTGTCAATCATCGAGTTGATGTCTCGGTAGACAGCTTCAACTTGAGCAGGAATGCTCTCCTGGGCCGGCGGCACGATGTTGGAGTGTGCAATAAACTCGTCCAACTCTAGCGTGCCTTCAATTTCAGAGGCCAGAACTCTCTGTACTTCCTCATCCTCTTCATCAATCAACAGCCGGCTTTCCTCGGCTTGTTGTCGCTCCCTCAGCTTCCTCGACTGCGCGATGAACGTGTCCTCGGCCGCCGTCTTCTCTTTGCCGGCAGCATTTGAGGCGACGAGCTGCGCCCTCTTCGGCGCCAGCAGCTCAGAAGCCACGCCCGGTGCACTGACAGATCTATTAGCTTCCGACAACAGGGCACGGTTCCGAGCTGCAGCTCTCATGGGGCTGGGCGATCGAGGCTTCGTGGCATCTGGCTGAGGAATCGAAGGGGTGGATCGGCCAACCTCCCCAAACAGTGGTCGAGGGGTTTCTGCGGAGCTCTGAGACGTACGGGCTCCTAGTCCGAGGTCCTTGGCCACGTCTACGCCGCTACCCTCGGAGGCATTGTCGCTCAAGTCGCTTTCTTCCTCTTCGTCGGAAGCCGGCGCCGGAGGAGAGGGTACCTTCGGCTGGGCCTTGTTTGTAGATGAAGGGAGCTCGAAGCTGGCGGGGGCGGCGGCCTTGTTTGATTTCGAGGCATAACTTGACTTGGTTGGATCAGGAGGTAGAGGGGCATCCTCAATGACTGTCGGCTTCTCCTCGGATGGTTTGGAAGCTGTGAGGAAGGGGTTTGGTTTTGACGATGAGTCTGCTGTCTTGCTCTGTGCAGCCGTATCCTTGGCAGCAGTAGAGAAAAGAGTGCTCGGTTTCGAGGCAGCTCCGCTGCCAAACAGACTGGGAGCATTAGATGCAACAGAAGAATCAGACGACTCGCCAATTTGGTACGATGACTTGCTGGTCGCGTCCGGAGGAAGAGGTGCACTGAACGTTTCGACACTTTTAGCTACAGGTGTCTTGGAATCGTCGTCGGGTTTAGAAGCAGAACCAAAGAGCCCGGAAGAGGCGGCGGGCTTGGAAGCGCTCCCAAAGGACCCAAACACACTAGAGCCCGCAGGCTTGGGGGTGGCCCCCCCTGACCCGAACAAACCGCCGCTGGTGGTCTTAGGAGCATCTGTTTTCTTACCAAAGATTGAGGTTGCGCCAGCAGTCGTTGGGGCAGCACCAAACTTTAAGCCCGATCCCAGAGTTGCTGAGGGGGTCTTCGATTCAGCTTCGGTTCCTGGAGATACGTCGCCGGTGTCCATGTCCTCGTCTTTGGCCGTCGCAGAGTCATCGGCAGCCTTGGCTCCTGCATCATTGAGAGCCGATCCGAAGGCGGATCCAAACATGGACGACCCAGTAGGTGCTGATGATGTGTCATTTTCTGCCTGAGCTGGATCAGGCTTGAATGAGCTCTCTAGCTTGAAAGGAGTAGAGCCGAAGACGCTGCCGGACGGCTTCTCCTGGGCAGACCCAACGACGCTTCCTGAAGGCTTTGACGGGAAAGCCGTGTCCGTTGAGCCTGATCCGAAAGCGCTCCCAGCACCAGCTAGCTTGCCGCCGCTACCGAAGATGCTACCTCCGGTGTTACCGCTGCTACCGGCAAGGGAGGCAAATCCACCTTGAGTGGAAAAGCTAGCAAAGCCCCCAGAAGAGCCAGGCGTGGTGGAGGACTGAGCTGCGGTTGCAAAAGCACTCTGAGGGGCCTTGTTTGCGAAACTTGCAAAGCCCGACTGACCAAACGCGGGCTGGGCCGCCGATGTCGACCCCGTCGCCGCACCAGCGGAGGCCCAAGGCGAGGCTCGAGTACCCAGTGGCGCCGCCTGGCCGAATCCAATGGCGCTCGGCTTCCCGAACGCTGCACCGGCCGAGGATGCTGACCCGAAAGCACTCGATCCAAACGCTCCTCCACCCGCACTGGGTGTAGCAGCAGTGCCGGAGCCCCCCGAGCCCCAGGGAGACGCCTTCTGGCCGAGCGGTGCTGCCGAGCCAAAAGCAGGAGCTGCTGGGGTTGCTGAGGAAAAGGGCGATGCTGAAGTCGCAGCTGCTGCCGGCGCAGACGCCGCATCTCCTTGAACCGCCGTCAATCCGGGATAAGCCGTACCCTTCTTGATAGAGTCGGTATAGATGATCCACCAAGAGCAAAGCACACCTTCGTGGGTGAGGACCCAGAAGCCTGGTAGAGGAGTAGGCGACTCTTCAAGCTCTTCGTCGGATGGTATAGGCTTATATACCTTATCCTTACTGGACAAATCCAGGGCGATGCCGATAGGCGTAGAGTCTTCCATGGAATCTGTCATAGGAAGAGTTGGCCGCTTAGAGTCATCAAGCAACTCGGTGGTCGTGAAGACGCCGGTAATGGACTCGGCGGGTTTGTCGGTTGCCAGCGCATTTTTCGATCGCGTCAGCAAACCGATATCGGTTGACGCTGTAGACGAGACGATGAGGAGGTCCTGGAGGTCGGGAGGGAAGTCCCTGAGCCTTAGTATAGAGTGGTGAGGGGTCTTGTCTGATCCAAAAGGCTCAACCGGGTCCGTAAGTTTCTGGTAGGTGAAGGATGAAGGAGGCTGGCGTGTAATGATGTGATAGATGGAAGAGGGGGGCGAGTCGTTGGTTGAGTGGATAGCGAGGAAGAGATTATTCTCAAGCCATGTGAGCGATGAAACTAGTTGATCAGCTGTTAGCACGCGAGTTTGCCGAGAGGAACTTGACGTCTTTACCATGGCAGTTGTCTACGTTGGGGGGTTTGGGGATATCGGCTTTGCCCTCTCCCTCGGGCGTCATTTGGTGAATGGTTCCATCCGCCAAGCCAGCACAGAGCTGCTTGCCCTTTGAGCTCCAGCTGATACAGCTAACTTGAGACTTGAGCGCATTGCTTATTTTCCGTTCTTGAAGATTGGCCATGTGGAGGTTGCCGCCATTTGTGACGATGGCGCAAAGTTCTGGAACGGTAGGATTCGGCACCAGCGACCTCAGCGCCTCGCCATTGGTAGAGAGCTCAAACGCGGAATTCGAAGAGCCCTGGAGAAGACTCGAGACTTCGTACACAGCAAGGCCACCGCCGGATTCTGCAGAGAGCACCAGGTGGTTCTCGTCGGAAGTGAAGACGAGTTGTGAGACCCTCATGGGCATAGGGATCTTGAGCTGAGGCTCAAAGGCGCGAATGTCCGAGTCGCCATCCTTGGGAGATTCGAACGCTTTCCGAATCGATTCGGTTGTGGCGATTACGAGTTGGTCAGGGCCGGCGGCAGCAACCAGACCTCGTTTCGAGGCGACGCTGAGGAGGGAGGACGTGGCGGCAGGAAGCGAGTCCCAGGCAGACGTGAGGCGGACCTTGGCATCGCCGGCGATGGAGAGGAACCCGAGAGCCTGCGAGTTTGCGTGTTAGCAACGCGATCGTTGTCGTCATGTTGATCGCAACAAGAATCGAAGCTCTAGAAATCGTCAGAAAACAAAGAGCGCTGCCTTACCTCTGTCTGGATCGTCTCCAGGTCGGGCCCTGCATTTACATTTCCACTCATGGCGTTGTTCGAAGCGTTGAAGCCAAAGGACATTTCGTCTTGCGAGGGTAGTTATCCGGACGAGCTCCGAATCTCGTTAAATCCCCAGCCTTTCCAGCATGAGTCTGCGGCGCGATGGAATCCGTCGCTGGAGCTCCCACCAGCACCGGCAGATGCAGATAAGCTCACTTATACCGGCCTCGGGAGCTTCAATTCGGATCCAGAAACTGCTGGAAACAGCGATGCCACCAAAGACGCCCCAAAAAGGTGATGAGACGCGTCGATTTGGCCTGTTGTGGTGGATGCTGATGATGACGATAAACTGCAGCGATCAATGTTGCAGCAACCAACTGCCTGCGCCTATCGAATTCTACCGGGCGGTCTGTCGCGACCCATGCACGCAACAAGCAACTTTTTTCTGGAGAGCTCCGAGCGTAATCACGTGGCTGCAAGGCAGCTCTGGCCAATGGCGTCTGCAGCTGGATCTCCATCTGGCCAGCGGGCAGCAAGCCAATCAGAGCAGAGAATTCTGCCTACGGGGGATTTGGGGGCTTGACAGAGGGGCAGAAGGCGGAACAAGCAGGTGGGAGCTTGACGGAAGTACCGAGACCGCTGAAACTGGGTGCTCTGGTACCTTCTCAAGCACTTCAAGGCAGGAAGGCAGCTTTTAGCCTCGTCATCAGCTGGTGCTCGTTGGCGTAGTATAGCCAACCCAAACATCGACCTCTCTCTCTCTCCCCCAGCAACACCGCGAACAAATCAACCACCAACCGTGCCGGCCTCATAGCGAATGCAGATACTGCACAACGGCTCGACCTAAAGGCATCACCAGAGCGATACATCTTTGATCCAGCGGACACACGCAAGATCTAGGGCGAGACCGGGCACGGCTGGACAGGGCATCAGCACCAACAAGCAGCAACAAGATGCCGGGCTTCGACTTCTCCAACTACAACCGCAATGCGGCCCTGCACGCCCAGGGAGTGCCTCTGCCCAAGGCCACGAGCACGGGAACGACCATTGTCGGCTGCATCTTTGACGGCGGCGTAGTGGTGAGTTGGCAGCTGTTCCTCCACGTCCATACCGTCAGAGAGTCTCTACTAACCCAGCATCACCATCCTCCCAGATCGCCGCCGACACGCGAGCCACGTCGGGCCCCATCGTCGCCGACAAGAACTGCGAAAAGCTTCACTACATCTCCCCCCAGATCTGGTGCGCCGGCGCCGGCACCGCCGCCGACACCGAGTTCACCACCGCCCTCATCTCCTCCCAGCTCGAGCTGCACTCCCTCTCCACCGGCCGCAAGCCCCGCGTCGTCACCTGCATGACCCTGCTCAAGCAGCACCTCTTCCGCCACCAGGGCCACATCGGCGCCTACCTCGTCGTCGCCGGCTGCGACCCCACCGGCACCCACCTCTTCACCGTGCACGCCCACGGCAGCACCGACAAGCTGCCCTATGTCACCATGGGGTCCGGTAGTCTTGCCGCCATGAGCGTCTTTGAGACGCAGTGGACGCCCGATCTGTCGAGGGATGCTGCTGTCAAGCTGTGCAGCGAGGCTATCCTTGCCGGTGTGTGGAACGATCTGGGTTCCGGTTCGAATGTCGATGTTGCTGTTATTACCAAGGAGAAGACGACGCTCCTGCGAAACTACATCAAGCCCAACGAGAAGAGCGCCAAGCTGCAGAGCTACCGCTTCCCCAAGGGCACTACTGCCGTTCTGAACGAGAAGATTATCACCAAGCGGGACATTGGCCGATATGTCACCGTTGTCGACCTACCAGTTGAGGGGGAGAAGATGGATGTTGATACCTAGAGAGATGGGACGATGGAAGCGTGAGGCGTGCAATAAATATGGCGGTTGATGTCACCATAAAATAGTAAACGAATGCTAAGAAATCAGACAAAGGAGAATTCTAAGCTACTACACATATGATCTGACAGCGAAATTGTTTCCCTTGGATCTCCTTAGGGGAAGACAATAAAGGTGCTCTGTCGATTGCTTGGGAATTATTGGATTAATAACTCTTTGTTATCGCCTTATTTTGCCCTAGATGCGAGACGTTTCCCACAACGTCCGCTTTTTTGATTTGGATATATCGAAAACAGCCCAACGCCCGGCGCAGCAAATAAGGGAAGAAGATTGGCCAGCCGCACTCTATACGGACTCGGAGTTGGAAAAAGAAAAGAACAAAGGAAACGTAGTATATGTACGCCGCAGAGCCAGCCTTCCCTAGAAACAAGCACGAAACGAGAAACGAGACACATCCCCGGAAAAGGGAAAGGGAGTAAACAGATGTGGAAAAGAGGAGATAGAAGGAAGAAGAGAAGAAAAGTAGGAGTCGTGCGCTCCAACAATGTAGAAGGGGAAGTAGCAGAAGCGGAGAAGGGGGTTCTAATGAGCTCTTCACAGGCCCGAGTGTGCTTTCAATAGTACACAGAATAACGCAGGTAGCAAAAGATCCCGCCTCTACTAATACGCTGACAGAAGAAGCGCGAAGAAAAAGATGAAGAAACGAAAAAGAAAAGAAGAAGATAAGAGGAAAAGACACAGAAGAAGTGAAAGGGCTAATGGAGGAGAGAGAAGAGAAAGAGCAAGACAGGCCGATAAGAAAAGATCCCCAATAATCCTGGATGCGAGAACAGCCGAAACCCTCCAAAACTCCGGTATAGATGGGTGAAAAAAGAGACGAAGAGATTCATCATCATCATTAGTTTGTCCCCCTTCACTTTTTACCGAACATTGCGCGTGAGCGAGACTTGCTGCGGGCTCGAGACTTCTTTGGCGGAATCTCGGGAGCATCCTCATCATCCATGTATTTCGACTTGTGAATCCTGAATGGCCGGTCGAGTTAGCAACACACGAATAGAAAGAGGCTTGGAACGCAGTCCTAACGTACCAGCTGTTGCCCACCATGCTCATGCCCTTGGCCTCTGCCATTCGGTAAAACTTGGCACTCTTCTTCAGGTTCTTCTTGCAGCCGATTCCCTGCGCGTAGCAGAAACCAGCTTCCGCCAAAGCATCAACATCGCCCCACGCTATCCATAACACATTAGCAAGACGATCTTCATGACAGGGTATCGCACAGCGTCAACTTACTGCCAGCGATTTCAAAGCAGCGCAGTGCAAGAGCCTTGTCTTGCTCAATGCCCCAACCGTTCATGTGGCTCACGCCCAGCTCATAGATGCTGAGGGCAAACTGGGCCTTGTGGGTCTTGTTTTCAGCAATATTGATGTGCTTTCCTTCCTTGACCATCCCTTCATCTTCGGCCACCTCGCCACTGGCCATGTCGGCAGCTTTCCGTAGCCACTGTACTCCCTCTTTCTGGTTCGGCTTCATGCCCCAGCCATGGCGACAGGCAAGAGCATACAAAAGCATGGCTGTCGGGTGGTTCATCTGGGCGGCGTGCCGGAGGTGGTAAGTAGACTCGTTCAGGGAGCCGTTCTCGTGGCATTCGATTCCCTTGGCAAGATGCTGCTCGGCTGTCATTTCAGCAGCTGTGGGCGGCGCAGTGCTGGCCGCGGATCGTACAGACATGCTGGGGCGTATCGTCTGGGCCGAGTCGCTTGCGCCGACTGAAGCTGGTGTTCTGCCTCGAGGCGTCTCTGCTGCAGCGTGCAAGGTCTGCGATCTCCCTCTGGACGACTCCTCAGACGGTCGCCCAGTTTCGTTAGAAGGTCTGCCACGGTTTGGTGGGGGATGTCCCATCTCTGAGCTGAGCTTGCCCGCATCACTTCGCTGTCTTGACATGGCACTGGAAATGCTGGCGGCATCATCAGGGACACCGCGAGCAGAGGAGCTGGAAGGTCGCGTGGGAGGTGAGGGCGGTGCCCCTGCTTGAGGTTGGTTGTCTGAGGATTCGGAGCGCTGGATTGACTTTCCTCGAGGCAGAACAAATTTGGAGTAGGTATGAGTTGCCCCATCTGCTGGTTGCTCCATGAAGGCCTCGCTGTGCATGCTTATGGGGGTTTGAGCCGACTCATCGGCCAGGATAAAGGATGGCTGACTATCCGAGGAGGCTTGTCGAATAGGGTGGTCCAAGTTCGGCGTACCAGCTCTACTCATGGGCCGAGAAAAGTTGAATGCAGGTCGGGGAAGAGGAGCGGACGATTCAGACGCGACGGATGGTGATCGTTGAAAAGGGGGCAGGGTAGAGGATGCCATGTGTGGCGGCAGGGCTGCGCTTCCAGACGAGAGTTTTCGGGAAGGGAGAGACTGAACAGAGCTAGACATATTGCCAAAGGTATCCTCCTCTTGGAGTGCTGGAGAGGACAAGGCGCTTGGCGACCGTCCAGGAAAGAGGCTTCTGGGTGGCGCCAATCCAACGTCGTCAAAGGAGGAGCTCTGCTTAGGCCTGATGCGAGGAGGAGAGGAGGAGTTAGGGGGGACAGGAAAGGAAGTTAGCGGGGGAGCAGGTGATTTTGTTGACTGGCGGTCCAGCTGAGAGAGGCCATCGCTGAGTAGTGGTGATGGGGAGCGGTCCTGACGTGCTCCAAAGAAGTCTATTGTGCCGTTTTGCTGCCCCAGCTGTCGGCCCCGAGCAAACTCGGGAATGTCTGGCACATCCGGCATGTCTTCCGGAAGAGGAGGTACGCCATCGTCGGGGGTGGGTGGAATTCGACCCATGCGTGGGTGCATTGATCTAGGCCTCTCTTCGCTCGAAAAAGCGTCTTGCAGTCCCAAGCCACCCAAGCCCGCAGAGAGCGGAGGAGCAGGGGATTCGCCGCGGTCAGATCCGGAGTCCTGCGACATGGATCGAAAGTACTCGGACCGGCCTTGGATAATTAGAGGGCTCTCGGCCGTGAGAGGCGGTAGACGGCTGACACGGTTTCCATCTTTGGTGGTCGTCTCCTGGAGCTGTCGCGCCAACAGCCGACTCTGCAAGGCAAAGGCATCCAACGGAGACAGCTCGGGAGGCGCCTCCCCGGCAACATGGAGCCGCGGTGATCGAAGAGCTCGGGAAGAAGATGCCGCAGAATGGGAGGATTGGGATCGCAGGTCCAGCAAGGACGGGCGATTGGTGACGGAGGAGTCTTTCATGATTGTTGCTTGAAGCCCAAATCCAGCAACTGTGTCGGAGGATAGCAGCAGAGAGCGCAACCGCAAGGTCCTGTGCTAGACGGGATAAATAAACAAGACACGCAGGCTCCGAAACGGTATCATGAAAAGACCGAGTGGGACGCCGAACGATGCCACGATGGCGAGCAGGACAGCGAGCGAATGGACTTGCGGGTCGATTGGGCGCAGGCTATTCGCGGTGTCGGTGTCGTCGTCGTCGTCGTTGCTATTGTTGTCGCTACCACTGCGGAAGCACAGGCGCAGCTGCAGTAGCAGATGCCGTTGCAGGTCTAGGTGCAGACGAGGGCGCAGGCTATCGTGGCAGTGCGCGATGTTCTGATGACCAGATCAGCGAAGGCGTGAGATACGGTAAGGTATCCACGGGTGTCGATTACGAGCGTCGGTGACGGGGGGCTCGTTGGATCCGAGAGAAGAAGCGAAGGGACAAGGACAAAAGAGAAGACGAAGAGAAGGCGCCAAGGAGGGACTAGGGTGAGTTATAAGGGCGAATCGAAGACGGGTCGAGGAGGCAGAGGCAGAGGCAGAGGCGCGGTGTCAAAGATGTCGGAATCGCAGCGAGGCGTCGAGTTGAGTTTTGAGGCTGGCGATGTGCAAAGTAAGAGGATACGAGGCACAGAATGAGGGCGAAGCCACCGAGTTGGTCGTACCCGACTTGGCACTGGACAAGGTGCGGTGCTGGTCACACGAGGGGCTGCAAAAATAGTCGCTGGGGGGAGAGAGAAGAAGAAGAAAGGAAGATATGGTAAAGAGTAAAGTAGAAGAGGAGGAAGAAGAGAAGAGGAGAGAAGAGAGGACAATGGCCCTGCTGGTGTCGCAGCAAACGACGGGCTCGAGGCAGAAGAGCAGGGCGAAGAAGAAGCAGAATGGAGAAGAAGAAGAAGAAGATGCAGAAGAAGCAAGAAGCAAAAGCACTGAGGCCTGCTACAGAAACTCGTTTGGCGGCAAGTTCAGCGCTTCCGCCGTGCCTTGTCTCACCGATCAGATAGAAAAGGCGGCTGAACGCTGTTGGACGGAGAAAGGAGGAGGAAGACGAGATGGTAAGGTTAAGGCAAGGCAAGGTAAGGCGAGGTACAGGTCAGGTACAGGCGCCATAAGGTACGGCGGAATGGATACGAGAGGCGCCGCAACAAAAGGAGGTTTAGCACTCGTTAGCACTTCTTTTAGCACTCTTAGCCCTCTGAGCAGCCCGGCCAGTGGCGCCCCGTAGCTGCGGCTGGTGATTGGGTACTGGGTACCTGCGGGCGTCGGTAGAGATGGCGGGCACGACAAGTACAGTGCACGGCTGCTGGACCCTACGGTTCCTTCTCGATACCTCGCCCGAGTTTGTGGCTTGACGTTAAGCTTCAAGGCACAGAAAGGCTATTTGATCTGCCATCTCCGTGCTCCGTGTTGTTTTCAGGGTGTTTTCAGCATCGGCAGAGATGCCTGTTCCTGTAACAGGCAGAATCGCTTAGGGTCTGCTCAGACAGGAGTGTATCACTGCGCTGTCATGTACCTGGAAGTTGATTGTTCTGCTCCATCGGCTGCTGCTCACCTGTAATCACAGATGCAGTCAAGGTGAGCATACCGACCGTGATGGTGTTGGCCCGCATACAACAACAAGACGGCATTCTATTACCTTATTTCATGAATATCACCGACGAAAGCAAAGCAAATCCATCACCATGACCTAACAAGAAGCACCCCGGTCCTGTGGCTTCAATGGCTGCAGCCCGTGGGCAGATGGTACATGCACTCCGTAATCTCGGGCAATCTCCCCAGCATTGCCGTAGCCCTTTCAGCATCCCCAGCCTGCAAGTCATCCGACTCTTGGTCTCTCTCGCTACAGACAGCTGTGATTTCACCAGGATTGCCATCGAGTTCACATACAACTAGGTGGTCCTATAGGGCAATTCTTCTCATCTTGGTACATACATCAAGGAGAATGTCGTTGCTCGCGGCATGTCCTCCTCCTTCACGATCCACCCCACTGAAGCACCTGCATCCAGCAACCGCTGAAACTGATGCATCACTCTAACCATCCCATCTCGAATTCCTCCCGGTTACAGCACTTGAGCACCTGCATGCATCCCATCGGTGCCCATGTCACCCACTCCCGCACCACATCCATGTATCCTCTACGCCCAAAAGCCCTCCAAACTCGCCACTGCTGGCCAGTCGCAGGTACTTGCAGGCGAGTTCAGGGTCCCCCTGGACTTGGATGGGCCGCACTGGCGACAGCCATCGTCTGGGGTGCAGCAGCAGCAAGATTGAGAGCAGCGACGGCTCTTTGCTAGCTCGGGCGACTTGGATGGAGCTTTTCATTACTTTCAAACATTGGACGGAGAGGCTAAATTGGGCCACCAATCCTTTGATTGCCGATGCTGATTTGCTCATCAACTCTGCGGATATTGACACTCACCTACAGACCATTGGCATACAAGTACGAGTCCGGTGCTGTACAATAGACTACAGGACAGCTGATGTGTCCGGTTCTATTCTGGTCTCTTCAGCACATGCAGCCGCATCGTCGATCTCATCAAGTGGCAAAACCTCCCATGCATATGCCGTCAGGTAATACGTACGTACATATCTGGAGCTGGAGTATGTACCAATGTCCACGCAACTCAGCTGCGCCGTCTTCGTGGCAACTGATGCCCTCGCAATGTCTATAAATACGCACACATGCTTCATCCACGTGCACAGCCTACATTTCCAGCTCTTCAATCGCATGTCGTCGGCAAAATAAGCCACAGCTTCAAGCTACACGCACCCATCGAGCCATGTGCAATCGCTTAACAAGGGGGGGCTGAAAGCGAGAATCATGGAGCAACGAAATTTGGACCCTTGATGCTATAATTGTACCCAGCAATGTCATGCAGCTTCACAATCTCTCGTCGTCCTCCACAGCATCATCTACGTGTAATGGCTGGTGCCACGGAGTACTCACCAACTCGTACGAGATACGCTGTGCTTGGCTTGGCTGCAGCACCGACATCGTAATGTCCTTTCCGCGGAATCTTCCATATGACGAGGCCCGGTCGCACAGGAACATCGGCAGCGCCATGCGCGATTAGGTCAGTCCTGCGACCTGACGCAAGGGGGAAGTCCATGAATGAGACAGCCAGAAACGCCCATCTCCGTCGACTTCAATCCTACGGGGCCTTGACACGGTGTTTATGAACTCCAAACTGGCGGCCCAATCGACCTCTTGACTCGTAACTTGGACAGGGACGATGAGAGTGAGTGAGAGAGAGACACAGAGTGGCAGAAGAGCATAAGGACAGCTTGGACTCAGACTCCGCCACGGCAACGAGTGAAACAACTGGTGCTGCAAAATGCCAAACAAAACCCCCCAAAAGACGCCGCATATCCATGCACCCTTTTCTGAGACCCAGATCAGGGCACCGCTGCGTGCGTCACACGGAGCCGATGACCCAACTTTTGCGCTACAGTACCTTATGGATTTGCTTTCTGAAATCAGCTCGTCAACGATATTCCACATTCTCAGCTGTTGCCTCGGAGCAATTGTCGCGGCGGGTTGGCAGCATCTCCGCTCCCTTGCCTCACGGTAATAGTAAAGCCCGTCCAATGTCGGTTTCGAGGTCACGAGGCCACTCAGCCCCGGGTCCAGGTGGGTTTGCTCGGCACTGAAGCTCCGTCGTGGCTCGTGGATCAAGGCAGAGCTAACGGAAGAGCCCGCCCATGAGTTCTATTTTTATCCATTCTTACATACTTGTACGAGATCGCTAGTCGATGGATTTGAACGTCTCTCGATGATGCTTGATGCTCCAATGGCAGCGAAACTCGAAGTTCCAAACAATCAAGAAATTGACTCTGAGGTGCCACCTTGAGAGACAGTTGTCAATCACCGCCTAAACGTTCAGCCAGCTCGTTTACAATCTTTGAGCAACTTCTATATACGATATACTGACAGGCCCTTTTCAAGAGACAAGAAAGAATACAAACATTCATACCAGCCAAAACGCCCTCGTCCATGCGCCTCGAGAATCCATTCAGAGCATTGAACAGTGAGACCTTCTTCTTTACTTTTTTTTTGTTCTTCTTCTTTATTTTGGTAGCGACAGTCTTACTGATCCTTGGATCGGAGCTTCTTCAGCCTGGTAGCACCCTCAAACAGCCCTCGGTCAATAGCGGCAGCGACAGTCAAGGTACCGCCGACAATCGCGCAGAGTCCGGACAGGAATCCGAGGAATGTCTTGGCCCGCTCCTCGCGGTTGATGACCTTCATAGGGGAAATATCCTACACAGTTTTAGTTAAGCATATAACATGCAAATCATGGTAGATGGCACTTACATATGAGAAGAAGACGCCAGGGATTCCGTTTCTTGCGTGCAGCCTCTCGGGATGACCTTCCTTTGCATCATCACCGCCCATCAGGCTTCGCTTATGGCTGGTGACGGAATACTGATGCGTTTCGATGCTGCCGTCAGAGTAGAACGTCGTGACACCGCCGTTGGTGGTGCTGGGCTTTCGTGTCTCCCAACCCAGGGGAAGATAGGAGGTGGGGACGATCTTGACAAAGTACATGTAGTTATAGTTGGGGTCCCGGGTATCCTGACGAGTGTTGTCCAAAGGATTGAGATGGTGGTTGGACCAAGAATTCTTACCGCCCAGCCTCTCAATGACGGTATCCGGGAGCTGGGGTCCAAATCGGAGAGAGTGGATGATGTGGGTGAAGTCGTGCGACTTGCCCTCGGGGAGGTCCCAGTAGTTCTTAAGATCGTGGACGTGCATGTTGCCATTGCTGAAGCTTCGGCCAGGAGCAAGGTGGAAGTTTCCGATAACCTTGTTGACCTGCAATAAACCCTCGATTCGGCAGCCCTCCTCTCTCTGTTGGTCCAGTCGCTCGGAATAATGCTCTCTTTCGCACTGCTCCACGCCCTCGCCCCTACCAAAGGCCCAAGAGGCCTGCGCATATGCTTCTCGGACCTCGTCGCATGTGTTGCAGCAACCAGGCTTCTGCGCCGTGCTGGGGGCAGTGGCTCCGTAGCAGGCACCGCAGTAGTTGGGATCCAAGTGCTCGGCCTTCTCGTGCAGCTCGGTAAGAGACTTGCTCTCGATCTCGCCGCCACCAAGCGCTGCGGGCTGTAGACGGATCTTGGTGATTCCGTGAGCGACACCGTGCTGCTGCTCACCAGAGACGTCCATGACATCGAGCGTCAGCAGCTCGCAGGGCATGTTGGGGAACGTCATGTTGAGGTGGATGTCCATTCGCTCGCCTTGGTAGTCGCATGATGTTAGCTCATCCGTGCTCGAGTGTCCCCCATGCGCAAGGCGCATATTCTATACAAGAGACGACGGCGTTTCCTTTGCCAACGTACCTCTGCCCTTGTCCACGACCAACTCCGGGTGCACTACGATGCGCCGGTAGTCGGTCCATTCTCCCCACGCGAGAAACACCACAACCAGCAGCGACACTATGGTGACGATTCCTCCGCTTGTCGTCCGAATCCGCGCCTCGTCCACCGTCTTCGTGAAGGCATCGAGCCTTGTGAATCGCGACTTGGGAGGCATTTTGAAGGGCAAGTTGAAGATGCCAGTTTTGACCAAAGCTCGAGCCGCTAAAGCAAAGGTGCTTGGACGAGAAGCAGCCGCTGTCAATCCTAGATTTCCGTCAAAGCGCCGTCTCGTTTGAAAGAGCCGCAGAAGCAGAGGACCAGGGACTCAATCTTCCTCGTCAAATGCATCGACGGCGAGGAACCATGGGCGAGGGCAGCGCAGAGGAGCGGCTGACACGAGGCGAGGTTGTCGACTGGATGTCTTGAGGCCACCTTGTCGCAATCGAGCACCTGAAGCAGGCTACGGTCGCTATCAATGGTGCTAGGGCGCTGATTGTTCACTAAAACCCGGGGTCCCAGGGCGTCTAGGCGCCGCAGAGGCCCTGGAGCTAATGCGGGCTGCAGCGACAGGGGTTCTGGGTGGGCTGCCGGAGAATCTTCGGTAGAGGCAGCTATAGCGATCCGTTGCCCGTTTCAGCGCGGTGCTGTGAATGGCCGTATCATGGCCTGGGCCGGCTTTCTTATTCTTGCAGAAACGCGAAGCTCTCGATTCTTACCTCACAATCACCCAAGCTTCTCTCGCCATCATCACCTTCGATCTCTCCCACCATCCTCCGATACCCATTTGCGCCTTTCCTTGACCATCTCGCTCATTCGTATCTGACCACAGAAAAGTCGCGGGCGGCGAGATAGATAGTATCGAAGAACCCAAGAAGAAAAAAGAACAGGAAAAGGCAGGCCAGAGCTTCCAATTCGGCATCCTCAGCCAGACGTCCAACCCTCAAGAACGCCACATTCAGACCTTATCCGACCCCTCAAAAGCCCAAGATGTCGAGCAGGCCCCCTTCCAGGGTCGTGTTTGTGGGAAACATTCCCTACGGTCAGTTGCCGATGCGCCAATGGGCTGATGTGATGCCTGCGCCAGCAAAGCATGTGACTGACATCTTGGTTTGACGACAGGCCTCTCCGAGGAGCAGATCACCGACATCTTCAGCAGCGCCGGCAAGGTCGAGCGCTTTCGCCTTGTCTACGACTCCGAGACAGGACGGCCAAAGGGATTCGGATTCGCAGACTATCCCGATACCGGTACGATACACTGGCCATCCCATCCTCGTCGACCAGCTGGCTAACCTTGCGCTTTCGCAGACTCGGCCTCCTCAGCCGTCCGCAATCTCAACGAATATGAAATAATGGGCCGAAAACTCCGTGTCGACTTCTCTAATGAGCAGAAGACCGGAGATGATGATGGCGTAGTATGTTGCGACACTTTTTGCTTTATGGCATCTGGGCCTTTGCTGACCGAAGTAGACACCCGGGCAGAACACTGGTGCCTCCAATGGCGGCGCTTCTTCAGGCTACAGCTCTCAATCGATACCCCTTCCTCCCCTCCCCGCCGGCAAGGAGATCCCGCCAGGCTTGACATGCACCGATGCCATTTCAAGAACACTCAATACCCTACCGCCGCCTCAGTTGCTAGACATTTTGAGCCAGATGAAGACGCTGGCCACTTCGGAGCCTCAGCGGGCGACGGAGCTTCTTCAGCAGGCTCCTCAGCTGGCCTATGCCGTCTTCCAAGCTCTCCTGCTGATGGGGCTCGTATCCCCCGAAGCAATCCAGTCCGTCGTTGACCCGAACGCGCCGCCTCCAGCGCCTCTGCCAGCTGCCAACTTCCCACCGGCACCGGTTGCTGGATTCCCTGGCGTCCCCGTCGCCAACCACACGCCCCCGGTCACCGCAATGCCCTACGCGCCTCCGGCAGCAAACAACGCGGCTTATGCTCCTCCGGCGGCAGCCCCGGCGGCGGCTCCTGCAGGGATGGCCCAGGATCCTGATGCTCTGATGCGGGCAGTCATGGAGCTCCCTCAGGCTCAGATTGACATGCTTCCGGAGGCTGATAGGCAGCAGATTATGGCTCTCAGAGCCACGTTTGCCAGCCAACGGCGCTAACCTTGCGGCCTGGACCGCTGAATTTGTCTTCAGCACCGCTGACAGTATTTCAAGATGGCATTTTAGAAACCTGCGATATGCTTCTTAGAAGCTTCGACGATGTCACTGGACATCTAGAGCGCTTGCACAATAGCTTCATAAAGGAGAGCGATTCTCCAGCATTCTGAGGCAGCTCAGGGTCTATCAGAAGAGACGCAGTATACTTCAACTCTCAGGATATTTGAGCATCTAAGCAACAGCCATCACGGAATGAAAGACCAGGAAATCAAAGTCATATTCGGCTTCATTCTCATTCACGGGTGAGGGGAAGGGGGGTTTCAGACGTGGGCAGAACAGCCTGCAATTCGCCAGCAATTACCACCCAGGACCGGGAGTAAGCAAGGTACAGATATATATGTATATATATATGTCGCTTACAGAGGCCTGATAGCAACGCAGGCGCATAGAAGATTGTGCCTGGAATCGAGACAAATAAGAACGAGAAATAGGATCGTTTTAGATATCAAACGTGCTATGGAGGCTCTTGTTGCCACGCTGTGTGAAAGTATGATGCTATGATGTCGGAGAACGGCTTGTATAGGGACCGCTTCAAGCCAAAGAGTCTCGCGCTCTACCGATGGGACCATGCAGCGTTGACAGCTCTATCGGTAGAGCGCGAGACTCTTTGGGGGATGCCGTATTGCGTTAGTTCCGGGAAGCTCATTCGGTAGCAGAGTGTTACCCTAGACAGCCCTCGTGATTTCTGCGGAAACGCTTGATGGACAACTTTTAATTGAATTGAAGTACTCTTGAAGGTAGAAGAGATGACAGACCGTAAGTAAGGCAACCGAGGCAATTGATTTTTATAGACGATGTAGAGGTAGAGATGAGAGTGAGACTCTGCATACAGCAGTTTATCTATAATAGCGCTATATTCATTATACTGCCTTGGAACACGATAGAATTAGTGAGATCAATATAACTGTCTTTGATAGAGTAGAGTAATAGGCCTGTACAAACTAAACTAAACATCATATTGATATAATGTATAGCTACTTGTAAAATGACTTGTAAAGGTTATGCCTCCCAGAATGCAATGTTCGATCACCATCCCCTCCCGATATCCTGTTCTATGTATCTAGGGATGCCATTCATTCTGACCCAATATAGGATGCGCTGTAGGTAGCCAACAAAAGAGAACCAAATCAACATTTACAACGCCCCCTCCTTGTTCGCCTCGAACGTAAAAGTGAAATAAAAAAGAGAAGCAAAAATTGGCACGCGCCCAGCCAAATCAGACGATATTATACACCCTCTTCGCAATCATATAACACGCCACTCCAAACAGCAGCAGCCCCGCCGTGATGCACGCAAACCACGTCAGGTCGCCCTCGCTCTCCTGCCCCGGCACCCAGACGTTCATGCCCCAGAGACCGGTGATGATGTTCATTGGCAGCACAATGGTTCCGAGGACGGTGAGCTTGCCGAGGACGTCGGCGGTCTGTTCTTGGCGCTCGTTCATGCGGATGTTGATCTGGGCCAGGTAGTTGCCGTGTGATCGGGCGAGAATCCTGGAATCAAGGGGTTAGACTCAGTTGACCATATCTAATATTAATGAAGGGAGAGAGGGATGTACTTCTCATAGTGACTAAGGTTGGAGGTCATAGTCACAATGTGGTCCTGAATATCGCCGAGATACAGGCCAATCTCTGATCGGGGGGCAACCTCCCATCTCTCGTTGCAGCGCTTTGCGAAGCCCTTGATGACGTCCGCCTTGTTGCCCAACAACCGGTACAGACTCATGACTCGCTTTCGGCAATCTCCCACACGTCGAAGCATGTCACCGCTCGAATCTGCAATAGTCGCAGCGTCATCGTTTCTGGCAGCCTTCTCATCGTTGAGTCGCTTGTCTGCCGATGTGTGGAGCTGTAAGATGGAGTCGTCGATTTCGTCAACCTCGTCCTCAATGTTCTGTATCAAGGGCTGGAAAACGTCGGTAATGTCGTCGATGATGGCATACGAGATCCAATCCGACGATAGAATCAGGTAGTCTCTCAACTGTCGTATCCGCCGGCGAACGTTGGCGGGGTGCGGCGTCACGGAAAAGTGGAAACTCAGAACGCCCTCCCGGAAGACAATCACATACATGTTGACGGGCTCCAGGAAGTTGTCGCTGTTGAAGTCTTGGTCAAAGGTGCGATAGTTGACAAAGTAGTAATGGCGAAACAGCTCGACCTTTTCACGGGCCTCCTGCAGCATGACGTCTTCAGCCGTGAGAGGATGGATGCCAAAGGCCTTGGCCAGGACCTTCATCTCGTCTTCTGTTGGGCTGAGTACGTCGAGCCACCACACTGGCCTCTCTCCGTATCGCACCGGCTTCTCAGATACTTTGGGTACGCCCGTGTTATTGGTGTCGTTGCTCTCTTTTGGCGTAAGATGGTCGGGCGACTTGTTCCCACGGATCGAGGCAGATCTGGAGCTGGAATTTGTTCCGTCTCTCGCAGGTGGCGACATGAAGCCTTCCTTCCTCGTGTCTACCGAGGGCTGCCGCGTTGGAGGCTTGGTGTCAGCCTCGAGTCCCTCCCCCGAGTATCGCGGTTTGGACGGCTGGGACATGATATCCTCGGAGTCGCTCTCCTCGTCTGACGAGAGAATACGTGGATCGGGAATGAACAGGCCCTGAAAATCGGTCCCCTGTTGGACGAGCCCTGATATGGACTGGCTGTGAATTGTGCTCTGAAACTCCTCGTTGAAATATGTGAATCTAAAGGGCGCCTCTTCCTCAGTTTGGAACCAGCCCTTTCGGACGGGCCGCAGACGACCGTTGATGAGCTGCGGCTCTGTGATCGTCTTGACTCGTCGCTCATTGCTGCTGTCTTCCTTCTCAAACTCCGCCCAGTCTTCCAAAACAGAGAGGTCCGGCCAACGACCGCGGCGCCGGCGCGTCCTGTAACGTCGTCGATTGTCGAACCGGGATTGGACCTCGTCATCGCCCATATCGGACATGCCTGGCCCAGGGAAACAGACGTCGCCAGAAGCTTGGGGCGGCAGCCTCATCTCGTGGTCGGGTCGATGGGTGCCTTCGGCGTCGGAAAGCGCCTCATCGCCGCTCTCCACGGTGAGCTCATCTCGCATCATGACATCGCCAAAATTGAGGTCGATGCCGTCCGACGGGCCAAAGGTCGGGGAGCCGGGGATAGATGGCGGGTGGTTGATGTCGTACTTGTCCTTTGCGCTATAAGCGGTCCTCAGCCTCGCCTTGGAGGAGGAACTAGACGTCCTCCGGCTTCGATTGCGGCCCTGGCGCGCATCGCTTGTACCGTAGCTTGGGACGCCCTGGGATGCCGGACGCCTGACGGACTCTGAAAGCAGCGGCGCGGACTCGTCCCAGCGGCCAGATGGGCTCTCCTCGCCGCTCTGGGCGTTCTGCATGGATCGAAGGCGGGAGGTACTGAGCGACGAGAAAGGGTTCTGGAAGGAGCCGGGCCCGGCTATCGTCGACGAGCGGCGAACTCGCATCGGTTGCTGTTCTCTGGAGGACTAGGTCAGTACATGGCCATCCAGCCAAAGAAAGGCAGAAGGACATGGAGTTAGTCACGAGTGCTTACCTGTGGTCCAGGAGCGTTTCGCTGTCGATGCTCGTGCCGCTGAGGTTTGCCTGCGAAACATTGTAGAAGCCATTCCCCGAGGACTCGCCCAGCTCGTCATGGTCGTGCAGGAGGGCAAAGCTCTTGCGCCTGGACCGCTTCTTCTTGCCGCCGCGATGGTTCTTTTTCTTCTTCTGCGTCCGCTGCGCCTGCGACTGCGACTGCGACGGCTGAGGCGACGGCTGAGCTGCTGGCGGAGCCGAAGCCATGAGAGTCGATGTGGGAGCTGACGATGTAGCGGCCGAGGGACCGGGGCCCAGGGGCGAAAAGCGATTGCTGCTCGACATCTTCAGCAGCGTCCTCAGGGTGTGCAAAGCACCATGATCTGCTGTAAGCGTTGCGCGAGGGGCGATTGAAGAATGAGTAGATAATGATATCTGGAAGAGCGCAGTAGAAAATAGGGGCTGAGTCTCGTGGAACAGCGTCTTTGTCCAGGGTTGCTTGTTTGTTGGTGAAAGAAAGCCTGGAATTAACTGGTGATGTCAGCACAGCTCATAAGCTGCAGCCCTGCTGGGGGTTTTGCCTGGTATGGGCGCAGTTCCAGTTAATTTAGCTGCCCGAGTGTTTACGGAGTTGCGGGGGTGGCAGCAGGCTGTTAGTGGTCATGACTAGCGCAGAGCTTTGTACTGCTTCCAGCAGGTTTGTCTTGGATTTGGGGCTGCTTTTGACTTTGGACAGCGAGATTCTGAACGAGATAACCTTTGCATGCTAGAGCTGCCGTCTCCACTAACAGCCACCGAATCAACTTGTCTCTTGCGGAGAGGGTGCTCCGCCTGTCGATCCGTGGGTGATCCTGCTTTATACGCATGAGAAACCAGGTTTGGTGGACTTCGAGATAAACAATGAATTAAACGTCTAAATAACCAAGAGATGCCCTTTTTCCTTTTCCATATCCCGGCCCATGCTTATTCTTCGATGCTCCTGTCAAGTAACGGCTTGTTCCGGACAAAATCACATGCACTACTGCACTTCACCCCGGTCTCTTCATGCAGCCGCAACACCCTTTGCCGGCTCGCCAAAGTCCCACAGCTTCACCAAGAGGCTGTCTGGATTGGTGGCGGGTTCGTCCTGGGGCATGAAAATGCGTTTCGGGATCTGGAACTCCACCACCGGGGCCTTTTTGATATCCTTGGCCATCTCTGCGTCCAGCAACTGCAGATGCGTTAGTAAATGTATCTCAAGTTGTTACTGACGAGAGCAATGTGGTATTGTACTTACACTGGCATACGAGTGGTCAAGGAAGTCTTCCATGTTGTACGACTGCTTGGTAAATTGCTCAGAGATGATCTTGGCAATCGTTGCAATGTTGGGGTGGTAGTGCGACTGCAGCTGGACAACCTCCCACAAGCAGCTGTCGATTGCGCCAGTCTTCATAGGATCTGGTTCAGTCGGGTTGAACGCATCTTCCATGCCATTGTTCTGAATGTGCTTCTTCAGCTCCGGGTCCTGAGCAGGCCGATGGATCATAAATGTGCATGTCGGGTGGCGCCTCAGGAGGTTGTAAATCCAGGGGACGACTGTTGCGATGGCGCTCGGCGGAGCGTTGAGCGCAAGGCGTGAGAGTCTCTTGATAAAGCTGGCGACGAGCACGGCTGGAAGATGCGTTGAGCCGAGGAAAGTATCTAGGAGGCGGAAGAAGCGCGAGCGGTGCTTGGAGTGCAGGATGTCCTTGTCGAGAAGGGAGTAGAGCTTGGGGTAGAATGATGGGTAGTCGAGGTTGCGCTGCTGGATGAGATAAAAGACACCGGATAGGGCTAACAGGGACATGGAGCCGCCTGTGTTGTAGCAGCTCGTGAGAAAGTCAGACAGGAGCTCTGGCTTGGTGAACCACGGAGCGATGTTTGTGGAGATCACGTTGAGGATGCGTTTCCGCTCCTCCTTGGTCCGGACAATGCTCAGGATGGCCAGCCAAGCGTCCTGGCCTTGTCGCTTGTGCTGGGTAACCGTCCTTAGATTGTGGGTTTTCTTCTTAGGGCGCGGGACGTAAAAGTCCTCCAGCTCCTCGGCAGACTGGGGGACGCCATCCAGGGCTGACAGCAGAGCAAACACGTTGTCGAACAGGTTATCCGGAATGTCATCCTTGTCCAATCGATCCAAGATTGCCCTATGAATTGATGAGTATTATCACTGGACTTCAAAGTCGTCGGGGTTGCTTACTTTACTGCTCGGAAGGTGTAGTATCGGATATCATCGTACTCTTCGACATAAGACTCCAGAAACGCCTTTCTCACATCCTCATTGCCTGAGGTGATGAGAACTTCAACAATGTTCTCGAGGAAGGTATACGGGAATGTGTATTCCTCCTTGTCATAGAAGTGCTCACCCTCTGCCTTGAGAAGCCTCATGCAGAGAGTCAGTGCCGTCGCAGCAAGGTCTTCATCCGCCAGCATGTTTTGCAGCAGGGACTTGAACTGAGCAAACTGGTCCTTGAGCCAGCCAACGACGATGGTATCCTTCTCTGACAAGCCCTTCTTGGCGATAAGTGAGCCTTGGGCCAGTAGCCGCAAGAAGATTCGGCAAAGCGCAACCGCGGCAAGTGTCGATTCCTCCTCTCCGTCCTCGTAGCGGCTGGCCATGTTTAGGAGAGTGACGATGTCGTTGTAATTTTTCTTGGACTCCAGGATGCCCTGTTCCATGAGGAGGATCTTTGCGTTTGGGTCTTCGGCGTCATCGTTTGATGAGCGGCGCCGCTTGGCGACTTTGTTGGCTTTGTCTCCCGTGGAAGCCCTTTTGCGCTTTGCGCCGTCTTGAGCGCCGGCAGGCATTGTGAGGATTTCAAGAAGGAAAAAAAAAAAAAAAAAGGAATGCTAGATAGGTCGAATATTCCAGTGAAGGCGTATCGGAGGGACCAGAGGGGTAAAAATGCCTTGCGTTGATCTAGAAAAAGAGTTGCTGTGAACGAAATGGCAAAAGATGTCTATCAATCGCAGTTTAATCTGAGTGACAGACTGAAAATCTCATCTCATGAAAAAGATATTGAAGAATTTCACTGCAGCCTTGCATCCTCTGGCCAATGGCCGTTCCAGCCTTTTCCGCGCCAAGCCAAGCTCCCCACAGCCGGGAAAAGCTCGGCTCCCATTGAAGCTGCTCAAACTGAGGTGCCTCCCACCACTCAAAAGTTAACCACTCAAAGTCACCCATCACGTGACGCAAACGTGTTACCGAACTAGCGCGATAAAACCTCAAACCTCATTCCCAGCTCCCGATTCAATGACAAGGCGATAAATCCCCGTCGAAACCCATCTTCACAATGGCGTCCCGCTTGGTGCGAAGCGCTGTCGGTATGTTGTCGCTTCACCCGCAGCCCGCCGCTGCCGGTCCAATTGGTTGCTGTTGCGCCGAAGTGAGGCTGACCGAAGATGCGAATCCAACTCAAAAACAGGCGCTCCCCTCCTCCGAACCTCCATCTCCCGAGCCACCGTCCCGGCCATCTCCGCCGCCGCCGTGCGATACTCGAGCAACGTGCCCGCCGAGGACCCCAAGAAGAAGGCCCAGAGCATCATCGATGCCCTGCCCGGCAGCAACCTCGTCAGCAAGACGGCCTTCCTGAGCGCCACCGCCGGCCTCAGCGTCTACGCCCTCAGCAACGAGTACTACGTCATGAACGAGGAGACGGTCGTCGCCGTCTGCCTGCTCGCCGTCTGGACTGGTCTGCTCAAGTACGGTGGCCCTGCCTACAAGGAGTGGGCCGAGGCTCAGAACGAGAAGATCAAGAACATCCTCAACAGTGCCCGCGCGGACCACACCGAGGCCGTCAAGACCCGCATTGAGGACGTCAAGCAGATGAGCGGCGTTGTCGACATCACCAAGGCCCTCTTTGAGGTCTCAAAGGTATAGCAAGTCCCGGGTTTAACCACGACTACGCTTTGCGAAACAAGACAAATTAGAACATGTCGTATTGATGCCCGAATTATAGGAAACTGCCCAGCTCGAGGCCAAGGCTTTCGAGCTCGAGCAGCAGACCGCTCTGGCCGCCGAGGCCAAGGCCGTCCTCGACTCCTGGGTCCGCTACGAGGGCCAGGTCAAGCAGCGCCAGCAGAAGGAGCTGGCCGCTGCCGTCATCGCTAAGGTCCAGAAGGAGCTCGAGAACCCCAAGGTCCTGCAGCAGATTCTGCAGCAGAGCGTGGCCGATGTCGAGAGTGCGTTTTCTCCCTCCCCTGAGCTATCGAAGTGGAATTTGGGCCACGATTACTGACTATGATTCAACAGAGATCGTCTCCTCTGCCAAGGCCTAAATAGATGACACGAGAAACAAAAAAAGCTACTAGAGTCTAGATTAAGGTCGCCGCAAACTTTCTTTCCTTTGTCTCTCGAAGCAGAAACCCTCCCCTGTGCATATAATAGCACCTGTGCATTAGCCAATCAATCAAAGACACTAGTCGATATTTCGTCGTCATGAAAGGATGATTCTTTGACTGAGATGATGAATGCGCGATATCTTAGCTACAAGGCAGTGGATGGAGAATTGCGGCTGTAATATACTGTGTATGTTCTAGATGATCCAGAAAATGAAACAAAAGATACATTTGCGCGGATCAGAACTGCCATGATGTCGGAAGAAAGTGAAAGGCCAGCGAAAAGGGTGTGCTTGTTTATTCCATGTTATTTCATTGATACTACCTAAACCCTGATACTCATGTCTACCAGTCCCGGTTTCCCTTCCAAACCACCAGTAAATAAACACATGCGCACATTATAAACACATCTTGACAAGATAGATAAATACAGCGGTTGGACCAGAAAAAGGCAAAAAAGAACCATCCCTTGTCTTACCCGGAAAAAGAACACCCAAGTTCTCGCGAACAAGGCAAGTAAACACAAGAATGAAACCCATCAAAAAGCAAAAAAACCCTCCATTAGAAAATCGGCCTCGACTCAGTCCACTTCTTAGTCTCCGTAGCAGGCCTTGATTCAGGGGAATCAGCAATCTCATCCCGCGTCCACCTGCCGCTGGCACGTCTCCTCCTGACGCTACCACCGTGAATAGGCCCGATCCACTCCCACGCTCGACCAACCTCGCCGCTCCGGCCCTCTCGCTGGCCCGTACGGACATTGCTGTTCTGCTCAACGACCTTCTTGACCCTCTGCCAAATCCTCTCCCGCTCAGCCACTTTGTGCACGGAGCGAAGCACGTCATCCCTCAAGTTGGGCAAAAACAACCAGGGGTCATCCAGATCCTCCTCGCCCAGCTCCTTCTGGTTCGCCAGCCTCTCCAGCACCAGGTCGACGAGCGCCGGGACCTGCGCCGCGTCCATCCGGTGCTGGCGGTAGCGGGCGCGCAGGTACAGGACCGCGAGCACGACGGACATTAAAAGTCCAATTGGGAATCGATATCTTGCCAGCCCGAGGCGGACGGAGCGCTTGAGCGCGCAGGCGAGCGGAAGGCGAGCGAGAGAGCTGGACGAAAGCTTGCGGTTTGAAATATCGGGGCCACCGGGCGATCTGTGGGATCAGGAGCCGCTCTGATTAGCTGCTGTGTCAGAAAGCGAGTTGAGAGAAAAAAGGAAGATTTGTTATAACTTACGAAGTTGTTACCATTTCCACGACCACTTCATCGCGGGAGGTGATTTCGCCAATGGCGGCCACCCAGAGGTCTTCGAATTCATCGCTGTTGAGCCTCTTGCTGCGCTTCCTGCTAACGGATGACTTGAGCTCCTCTTCGCCGATGGCGGGGGACTCGACCGTGGCGCCGGAGTCGTCGACGAGTTCACCGCATTCGTACTTGGCGCGACGCTGTCTCAGCTCCTCAATGGCCTTGTCGGCAACAGCCTGGACGCGCCGCGCCTTTTCGCCGTCTGGCTCGCACGTCGGGGGAAGCGGCACAAGGCCACCAAAGGACAAGGGGTGAGGCTTGAGAACAAAGTCGCTGTGGCAGCGGACGGAAAAGTCCTCGTAGCAATAGGCATGTGCAGGGCATGGCTCGCACTGAGGTTCGACAAATGGAACGAGGACATCGGGGACGGGAAGTTCGGGCGGGATGATTTGCGTTGCTGGCCGGCCGAGACCGCAGTAGCCAACAGCAATCTTCTCCTGCCGATACCACGCCAGGTAGACGCCCAGTAGAGACATGAAGAGGACGAAGAATGGTGTCTTGAGGTTCGTCTGGCGGGGAGGCTTTTGCCTTTTAGGCACAATGGTGGTCTCGCCCCTCCGCTGTGCCTCCTCCAACTCCAGCTGCGCGTCGGGGGTGAATTCCTCGCCGGCGTCTAATGAGTAATCAGGCGACTCGTGCCTCGGCTTACGAGCAGAGAGTTCGTATGATGGCCTCGCAGCGGTAGACGGCCGTGGGATGGAGAGAGGCTCGATATACTCTTCCCGTCGTCGACTGGGCCTTTCGCCTCTAGCGAAGTCGTCAAATCGTCGCCGGCTAGGAGTCTTGAGAGCGGGAGAGCCCCTCTGAAACGGGTTATCGTCGGTGAAGACGCTTTCTTCTTCCTCGTAGGTGGCAGAGGATGGAACAATGGGACTCTGGTGCGCGGGATAGTAGGGCGTGGCACCATAAGGAGTAGCAGCAGCATATGGAGTGTTCTGAGCCGTAGCATATTGCGTTGCCGCAGAATAAGGCGTAGGCGCGTAATGAGAAGACATGGGCGTCTCCTCCTCCGCTTGCGGCTCGTCCTTGACCTTGGGCGTGGTTGATCTCCGAGAGCGCGAGCGGCGCGTCGACCTGGGCGCCTCGTACTGCGGCGCTTCGTCCTCGTCATAGTGGGACGGCTGGCGACTGGACCGGCTGACGGATCGCGCGCTGCGCTTCGTCTGGCTCTTGTAGGGCGTGGGCGTCGGCGCGGCCCCGTCATCGTCCTCCCTCTTAATGCGAGCCGATGCCTTTCGGGGCGACGCCGAGCGACGCGGCTTGGCGGGCGTGGGCTCCAGGCCGTGGTCCTCCCATCGGCCGTTGTCCTCGGCGCTGCCGGCGTTGACGATGCCCGAGCTGGACCGCTTCGCCTTGGCGCGCTGGGCGCGCAGCTTCGCGACCTGCGGCAGGACGTGGTTCTCGACGAGCTCGACCAGCTGCGGCTTCTTGGCGGTCGCGGGATACTCGACGTTATGCGTGACGAGGATCGAGCGCAGGCGAGGCACGGTGACGCTGCGCGGGTCGAAGCCGTCCTGGAGGTAGTCGTCTGCGTCTGCCATGGTTGGCAGCTTCGCGAGCTGGTGCTCTTTGGTGTTGTGGGAGTAAAGGATGATTCAAATTGATCTGCCAGAGAACAGAACAAGCATCAAGCAAAGATGAAGACAAATTGACTGAAGCGCAAGAAGGATTGCGATGCAATGTCAAGCGTTTGTCTCGGGAACTTGACAGCTAGCTGGAAATAAAACAGCGTGCAAAACACAAGCCGACCAGGTCCCCAGATCCCACCAAAAAAAAGAGCCGGGGTCTCGCCAAAAGGTGAAACTAGTTCGTAGTCTCACACCCTGGTCGAGAAATTGAAACGCGGCAGCTTTTTGTTTGTGATCCTTGAAGCAACGCTGAATTTCAACTTGTTATGTGTAAGGAGTAAAAGTGTGGTGATTGTTTAGCTGGCCGTCGAAGCTATTGTAGGCCCGTGAATCTGCGCTCCTCTGACGCAACGTGGTAGCGCCGTTGTCTGTGGCAACGTCTGGAGCCTAGAATGGTAAAAAAAAAAAAAAGAGGGAAAATTCGGAGGAAAAAAAGAAGATTGGTTCCCACATGGTTTGACAGGCTGGAAGCGGCTGTTTGTTGGTCGCCAATCTGCGGGACGTTTGATTTGCCTGAAGTGCATCTCGCAGTGTGGCTTGCACAGCCACAGCCACAGCCGTTCGTCGCCACACCCCGCCAACCGCGACTTTCCGTCATGCCATTTCCAACTTGGTAAGGAAATGCTGCAGCTTCAACAGATTGGTGACGAGATGCCGGTTTGTCGCATCTGCCATTGAGGGCTGAATTTACCTCCTTTCTCGCTATAATGGCAGCAAATAGGGCCTTAGTAGCGAGCCCTCGCTTCGTCTGCCGCAGCTGCTCTCGCCAGGCGCGCGGCTCGAGCTCTTACCGGAGGTCTTATGCCACGGCCTCTTCGCCGTCCCACGACATCTACGATGTGGTCTGCATTGGAGGTGGCCCAGCTGGGCTGAGTCTCCTCACAGCACTCCGTAAGAAGCAAACCATACTTCTACCATATAACCAGTTAACGCTGATGCTAACTCAACATCATCCCAGGCGCCAATCCCACTACATCTCGCCTCCGCGTCGCCCTCATCGAAGCCCAGGATCTCTCCAAAACAGCTTCCTTCTCCCTCCCGCCCACCCAGTTCTCCAACCGCTGCAGCTCCCTCACGCCCACAACAGCCCAGTTCCTCAACACCATCGGCGCATGGCCGCACATGAAGCGCAGCCGCATCCAGGAGTTCCACGAGATGCAGGTTTGGGACGGCGTGACGGATGCGCGCATAGAGTTTGACTGGCAGCCTGGCTCGCATGTCAGTCAGGGCAACGTCATTGCGTACATGGCTGAGAATCTGAATATTACGTCTGGCCTGTTGAAGAGGATCAAGGAGCTTGGCGGGGTAGACGTTTTCGACAGCTCGAGGGTTGAGAAGATAACGTTTGGGGAGGAAACTGAGGATTTTGACCTGAGAGAGTGGCCTGTCGTGCATCTGCAGAGCGGGAAGTCTCTTGCGGCACGACTCCTTGTGGGAGCTGACGGAGCCAACAGCTCTGTACGGTCGTTTGCGGGTATCAAAAGTCGCGGCTGGGACTATGGCAGGCATGGAGTTGTCGCGACGCTCGAGCTGGAGGGCGACGGATGGGGAGGCGAGTATCGCAAGACGGCGTATCAGCGATTCCTCCCGACAGGACCGGTTGCCATGCTTCCGCTGCCTGGCAACTACGCGACTCTAGTCTGGTCCACTACGCCTGCAAATGCCGCGCTGCTGAAGAAGCTGGCTCCGAAGGACTTGGTTGCGCTGATCAACGCTGCCTTTCGACTGAGTCCCGTCGACCTGGCTTATATGCACACTCAGACTACAGGGCAGGACGACGAGCTCGCGTGGCGAACGCAGCACACGCACTTCGACCCCGAAGCCATCCCGCAGCTGGTCGTTGGCGTGCAGGAAGGCAGCGTCGCATCGTTCCCCCTGAAATTCCGCCATGCAGACACTTACATCGGCGAGCGCATCGCCCTTGTCGGCGACGCAGCGCATACCGTCCACCCACTCGCTGGCCAGGGCCTCAACCAGGGCCAGGGCGATATTCAGAGCCTGGTCAAGACGATTGAGTATGCTGTTGCCCATGGTCAGGATCTGGGCACGCAGATGTCGCTTGAGCCGTACAACAGCGAGAGATATGCGGCGAACCATGTGTTGATGGGAGTGTGCGATAAGCTTCACAAGCTGTATTCTGTAGAGAGCGGGCCTCTGATTCCCCTGAGGTCGCTTGGGTTGAAGGCTGCGAATGCGCTTGGCCCGCTGAAGAATTTCTTCATGGAGCAGGCTTCTGGCCGGGGGTTGAGGGTTTGAAAGGAGATGCCCTGCAGCTGTTAGGCTTTCATCATCAGATGCTCCTCTTAACAGGGAGTTGCCCAATGTATTAATACCACCATATCACTCTTGCAGTCTCATGATACGGGCTTGTAATAACAACAAAACGAGCCACCGAATATGAACATGACGAAAATTTGAGAGTATTTACGAACTTCTCCCAGTCAACTATGGCTACAGACAAAAGGAAACGGAATTCTAATATTTTTTGCCTTCCACCCCCTTTAATTTTACCTATCAACCTCACCTGTGCCATCGAGTTAGTAAGACAATTTCTCAAGGAGTGAATGATTGTTTGAGTTTTGGTGATATACGTACCGAACACAAGATCCATGGTACCGATCAAAGCAACCGCGTCTGCCAGCAAGTGACCCTTGGCAACGTGATCGAAGCCACCCAGGTGAGCAAAGCCAGGAGCACGGATGTGGCACCTGTAAGGACGCTCGCTGCCGTCGCTGACCACGTAGACACCCATCTCGCCCTTGGGCGCCTCAATGGCGGAGTACGTCTCTCCAGGGGGCACGGCGTAGCCCTTGGTGTAGAGCAGGAAGTGGTGGATCAGGGCCTCCATGTTCTCCTTCATGGCAGTTCGGGGAGGAGGCGAGATCTTGTAGTCCTCGACGCGGACGGGGCCGGCGGGCATCTGGTTCAGGCACTGGTGGATGATGCGCAGGGACTGTCTGAACTCCTCCATTCTGCACAGGTATCTGTCGTAGCAGTCGCCGTTGACGCCGACGGGGACGTCGAACTCAACCTTGTCGTAGGCGTCGTACGGCTGGCTCTTGCGGATATCAAAGGGAACACCGGAACCGCGGAGCATGACGCCGGTGAAGGACAGGTTCAGGGCATCAGCCGCGGAGACGACACCAATGCCTCTCAGACGCTCAATCCAGATGCGGTTGTCGGTAAGCATTTCCTCGGTCTCGTCGATACGGTCACCGAACTGTGTAGCCCACTGGTAAATGTCGTCGAGAAGGCCAACGGGGATATCCTGGTGAACACCTCCAGGACGAACGTAGGCAGCGTGCAGACGAGCACCGGAGACTCGCTCATAGAATTCCTACGCAAAACATCATGATTAGTCCCACCAGCTCAATCCCAACATTCCACGCCTTCTCTCCTTTTGCTTTTGGAGTCGCATACCATGAGCTTCTCTCGCTCCTCGAAACCCCACAGGAAAGGTGTCAAGGCACCAACGTCCATGGCGTGTGAGAGGACAGACATGAGGTGGTTCAGGATACGGGTGATCTCGCCAAACATGGTTCGGATGTACTTGGCGCGGTCGGGGATCTCGATGTTGAGCAGCTTCTCGACGGCCAGGGAGAAACATTGCTCGTTGGTCATCATGGAGACGTAGTCCAGACGGTCAAAGTAGGGCAGGGCCTGCAGATACGTCTTGTACTCGATCAACTTCTCGGTTCCTCGGTGCAGCAGGCCGACGTGGGGGTCGGCTCGGACGATTTCTTCACCGCTGAGCTCGAGAATCAACCGGAGCACACCGTGGGCGGCAGGGTGCTGGGGGCCGAAGTTGACGGTGTAGTGCCTGACTTTGCGACCCTCGACGCTGTTCTCGTCGCGCGGCTTTTTGTCGGAGCTCGAGGGCTGGGGCCGGGTCGGGTAGCCGTAGATGTCGCCGGTCGAGTTGAAGTGCTCGTCGGTGGGCACGATGCGCGTGCCCTGATGCTCGGGCGTCGCATATCGTCGGGCGGCAGAGGCTGAGAACGGGCGAGCGGCGAAGGAGGTCGCAGTCGCAGGGCGAAGGCAGAGGCGCCTGGCACTCTGGCCAATGAGTCTGTGGACGGCGGCCATTGCGGGCGGACTGGGCGGAGAGAGAGACGGGACTCGGGAGGCGAAGACGGTGTTCCAATCCCCAGAGGAGCCTCTGCTGGCCCGAGATCAATGGCTGGATTTGGGACGGAGGATGCTCGCCTTGGAGGTTCGTGGCCCGTCAATGTCCGGGATCGAAGAATCGGGGAAGCTTGCAGTTCCGTGATGGTGGGGGCGCGGAGTATCATTTTTGCGCCGCACCTGGGGGGCCGAGGGCCAATCAGCGCGTTGACATTGGCAAATTGCCTCTTGTCGTTGCCTCATCGACTTGTGGCTGGTGGCGATGACTTCAATATGAATTACAGAATAGATGAATTTGCTGAGAGAAGAGATGCTGTCGACTTTCTTCATTATCTGATGATGAACCCGGATTTGATGGTTGCATCTCGAATGCTCGTTTATATATCACAGGTACTCCAGTTCAACTGCACTCAGCTATAGACGCTGATGGAACCGCGACGTGTGACAGCCCAGATCCTAAACCGCATGCTGAACTCTTTGTACACATACCCTCCCTTGATACACGACTGTGCATTCATGTCTTCAATGAGCGCTCAAACCGACTCCAGGTCATCTCTCAGAAGCCCGAAATTAATCTCATCCATAATCCTCCCACCCTTCTCAATGGCCCCCCTCCCCCTCCCCTCCAGCACAAAGCCGCACTTCTGCAGCAACTTCTGGCTCGCGGTATTGCTCTCATACACATGAGCCTGTATGCGGTTCAGCGTTGGCCACGTCTCAAACGCCCATCTGGTGAATGCTTTCAGCGCCTCTGTTCCGTAGCCCTGTCGCCACACTGACGGCGAGAGGTAGTACCCCAAGTCCCACGTCCTGTACAGGATATCTGTCAACGCATGAGTGCCAATTCCACCTATGAGTAGCGCATCTGTCGCTGAAGAGTTTCCTGGGAATCCGGGCTTCAATAATATTGCTGCTCCATGTGGGTATGTCGCTGTATCGTCGTCGTGGAAAGTCTGCTGTATGAACTTTTCGGCGTCGGCAGTTGTGTATGGACTGGCGAAGCGATCGCTCATGTAGCTGGCGACTTGTTCGTGGTTTGCGGCCAAGGCCAAGGCTGGAGCATCTGAGACGAGATATCGCCGAATAATGAGTCTCCGTTTCAACTAGGAGGGTGCCGGGATCGCTGCTCGGCGGGCATGGCGACGGCAGAATTCTGTTCTTCTTTATGCTAGGCATGGCAATGTCGATCAGATCGTGATGTTAAGAAAACGTCAACTTTCTTTTGAGTTTCCTGTGATAAATATTCAACAAAGGAGAATTTGTTCGGAGATCATGGAGTTGGTCTAGGGGGACTCCAAACTGAATCCAAGTGAGTGAGTCACTCCATAGCCGAGTACGGCTAATGGTGTATGACTCCGTGTCCCATGGTTTACAATGGCAGCAAATGCTTTCTAAACTTCCTCGCATGTAATTTTTATCAAGTTGACTTACCAGCACCTCGAAAAGCTGCGGTAGAATTGACGTAGGAGATTTGCTGTGCCTCTTACGATCTCAGGGGTTCAAAACACTCAAATACATGTACGCTTCGTTGTGACCGTTCTATTATCGGAGAACCTTTAATTCTGATCAGACCAAACGAGAAGAAGAGCGGAGCTATATTCAAGATTCTATACAGAATAATCTGAATTGTTGTTTGAACGTTGATACACTCTGACAATGTTGCTGGCTCTACAGGTAAGTTTACAACATGAAGTCTCCTGCCTCACGGCCTCGTTCTTGTGTCCAACAGCCCTGAACCGCCCTGTCCTCCCTCCGTGTCCTTTGACCCTGATGATAGCCTGACCTTCCAGTCATACACTCCTCACAGACATGTCTTGTAATCAACAATTGGCCGGTTGACTGTCGTCTCTGCTTTCGAAGCCGTTGTCTATGCACTGTCACGATCGTTGAGTCACCGCCAAGTGTCATCAATTTGTCTCGAGCAGGTATTTGAAGCTGCACGGAACACTTCTCCTCAGTGTCTTGTTTGAGCGGCCTGCGCTGCCTTGAGTCCTCTCATTCTCTCGTATCGCAAGAGTTCACAGCTTCTCATTGAACTTCTTCAACCGGCATTGCTTCACACAGCTCTTCTTCTGTCCTCTACAAGAGCTCAACGTGCACAGCCCATTGATATGATTCGAAAAATTGACTCTCAGGGCGTTGCTCATGGAAATTCTGGTCCATGAATGATTGATTCCGAGGGAAATGACACCGAGGGAGCTGATTCCGAACTGGAGTCTCTGCCTCATCCCGGATTGGCCCAGATGCCTAGTCTTGCCCGCCTGGCGACGCAGCGGTAGGACCTGGTGGATTGATGCTTAAAACTGATGGGCCCAGGCACTCCGGGTCGATGCAATTCTCAGGAGGTGTGGGATACCAGCCAAGGTTGTCCGCCGTACTCGCATATATGGATGTGTTAGGCGATGTCTCTGGCTGGCTTGACTGTCTGCTCAAAGGAGGAGTGAGCATCTCGAAGCTCTCGTCGGCAAGCTTGCGCTTCTTCCCCTGGGAATGAGATTGGTCGTATTCCCTCCGCAATCTGGCCTTTGTCCTCCGCCACAGCAAACCGTCTCCAGGATTCTCTGCCAACCACTTTCGATGGGTCTTGGCCACGTAGGCCCAATCCTGCACCAGCGCAAAGTTCGAACAGAGAGCTTTCCAGAAGCATGGCTGACATGTCCGACAGGTAGACTTCTTTGTTGAGACAACTCGCGGGACACCACAATCGCTGGTGCTGGTGTTCCAGTTCAAGTCGCGGCTCCCGTCAAATGCCGGCGGCATGCCTTTATTGGCCTTGAGGAAGGGCGTACATGGCTGCACCACGAACCACCCGATGGGCCGACAGCAGCTGCTATCGCGGCAGTGGATTTCGCTTGCTTTGCACATGGTATCTGGCTGCGATTTGCTCAGTGGACTATTGATGCTTATCGACCAGTGGGAGAAGAAGCATAAGAGTAAGAACAGGGAGAAGATATTGTTGTTGGATGAGATTTCTCTTCCTTCTGGGCAGGGCCAGGGGGGGGTATTTATACTCGTGGCCCCTTGAACCTTCTTCACAATACTCGTGCCCCTTCAAACCTTCCGCACAAGTCTCCGGAGTGTTTCGGTAACATATGGGCTAAGGAGAGCCCATAAACCTAGTAGTACCATATGAAAATTACCTCAAAGTTAATTATTCCATCAAGGGAATTTGTCTAGGTACAGTGGCTATTGGAGACGGAAGCAAAACGCTTGACATGGCAAATGCTGTGAGATGAAGTTTCCGACTCAAGTCCATGCTCTGCCATGGCTTGGTTTTCTTGCTTTCATTGAGAAGCCCGTATTTGTACCTTTCTATGAGGACATATATCTTACAATAGTGCTGATTCCCCTTCCAAGGCAGGCGCTCGAGTTATTGCCCAGGGGATGCTCTCATCCTTCACATGAACTCAGGGACAGCAAAGTATAGGAACAGTCGAAAAACTGGAACATGAGCCAGTGGGTTCCCGGTTAGAAAGAGAGGACCCAGTTGGAGTAAGGAAGGGGCGAATAAAGCTACATGAACATCTCAGTCGAGAGGCTTGCAGAACCTGGAAAAGGGGGAACACCGGCCATTCAAAACTTCTCACTCACAGTCAGGGCCGTCGGAAGCAGGGCAATTTCATGAGCACCTTTCAATCTTCTTTATGCAGAAAGCTGTAATAGTCCCTTCCCTCCACAATCTGCAGCCCCTTCTCCGAAGTTCGGAGCTTGTAGATGGACATTCCGCGGATTGTGATATCCTCGCCTTCCCGGGCGCCCATCTTCGGGTTGTCCTTCTTCGAGGTAAACGTAAACCGGTATTCCCACCCTATTAAGTCGTTGATGTCTCCGAAGACGTTGAATGTCTTGACTCTCATGTTGTATACTTTGGCGTAGTAGTTCGCGCAGTGATTCAGCCAGCCTTGCTTGTTCATGCCGACGGTGGTGGGAAGCACTTTATCCGTCAGTCTCAACACCCTGTATGTCTTCTGATTTGATGAATGATGGGCTGTACTTACTGTAACAGAATAACAAGATCATCGGCGAAAAGCTCATCTAGTTTGACCGTGTCGCCGCTCCCGTGAAAAGCAATGGCTAGTTCAGCAATGAAATCCTGCGCGTTCGTGGCCTTTGACATTGTATCAACAGAAGGACCAAAGTTAAGGCTACATGTATTCTCTGATGCGTTTCTCAAGGAAGGGGATATCATCTGTTGGAGTTTCGGTAATATATCAACCTTGACAGTCCCCCAGCCTTTTTATGCATCTCGATTGCTATCACTCCGCCACCCTCGGGGAGTTAAAAAGGGGCGTATATTACCCCGAGTGAGAATCTTTCCGTCTTATGGCGGATAGATCTATGCTCTTGAGACTGCTCTGCACCACGTAGCGGGGCGCTTCAGTAAGGGAGTGGTAACCGGACACCCTAACTTGGCTATATAGCACTTCAGGCTTTTGTCTGTGGCTCCAAAAAGCCAGTTCTTACATAATGATTTCAGTAAAAAAAAACTAGAAAACTTCTACAATACTTTGAATAGTGGCACTAACAAAGGTTAATGCAGCTTTATCTGGATGCTTAGTAGCCAATGTGTGCTGTTTAGTTACATCTTGTTAAGAGCACTGGAAACTGGGAAGGATGTTTGAATATCGCTAGCCTCAAGGGCATTGCGAAAGATAACTCGGCCGATATAATCGAATCCGTGGTTGCCAACCTTGGGGACCATGCTCTCCACATAAGAACATAGATATCTGTGTGTGTTTGAATAGCATAGCAATATTCCATCAGAACTATCCTATGGAAACAATAGTGGAAAAGAAGAAGTAATGAGAATAGGGTGAGATAAATGGAAGACGAAGGGTAAAAGTCAATATCATTAGGAGAAGAAGAGACATGTCCGAGTTCGTCTCGCGCCATGTGTCTGCCATTTCAAAGGGAGTCCGTATCCGCACTCACAATCACTGGTTGATGAATACATGGAGATAAGTTTACAAGAAACTAATGACCGTTTATGAAGCCATCATACCATGACGTCAAAGAGTGTTTCTCATAAAGAGGCTGACACTGGTGATTTCTCCTTCAAGTACATGTATGCTGATAACATGTCCGAGTCACGAGTCGAGCCCAGCACTCTGTCTTTGATCGACTAGTCTAAACCGTGCTGACTGCTAGTTTGGCCTTCGTTGAAGATACATGCAGAGTTAGCGTATCATATCTGACGCGGCCAGCCTAGTTGGGTTACACCCCCTTTCAGACGCCGCGAGATCAACTCTGCATACCTTGAAGGATTGAAAGTGGGCTTGCAGGGAGGGTCCCCCGGGCGAGTAAGCCGGGTCACGCATTGATATATGACAGAATAGGAGAACAGAATTGAGCGTCGGGATGTGGGATTATAAGCGGTCTAGAGACATTTCAAGTGCCGGTGACATTGAAATACACACTTCATGTTTCTGCAACCTCGCTTGTGCCTTTTGTACGAGGCTTGAGAGCGTTATACTCGGCTTCACACCCGGCAGCCACCTCCCTGTCGAGTTAGCAGAATGCAGCAACCAGGGGTTCCAACTCCGATAATGGACATCCCCCAGCATATCATTGACTTATGAGGCAGGCTGTCCTATGCTATCTGGGAAGTAGTATCCCGAGTGTTCGGAGTATGTTGGAGCCTGCCGAGAAAACCGTTCGGGGTCTTGGCTCTTCTCCTCTGTTACATGTGATAAAGCTGCTTGAGGGCCCTTGTCCGGCTTCTTTTTTTCCCTCTGCTCATCCTCTTTTCCGAGCCCGAGTCTCGCTGGAACTGAGCACGATGGACGAGCTAAAGGCTCAGTTTGCGGAATCGAATCTGTCGGCAGTACAGAAGCTCTTGGCGTTAACCGGACTTCCTGTGCTGTACATCCTCGGCCTGACGATCTACCGTCTTTACTTCCATCCTCTTGCCAAGTTTCCTGGGCCCAAGCTGGCTGCAGCTACACGATGGTACGAGTTCTATTATGATATCATCAAGAAGCCTGGGGCCCAGTTCTTTGTGCGAGTTGGAGAAATGCACGATGAGTATGGTAAGTGAATGTCTCCGAACGTTGTCGTTGTTTGGCTTCAGTCGTCCTAAGTACTCGCAGGCCCCATTGTTAGAATCAACCCCCACGAAATCCACATCCGTGACCCTTCTTTCGTCGACACCCTCTACGCCACCAATCCAACAAAGAGAGACAAGTATCTTCCAACTTCGGAGATCGCCGGGTTGTCATCTGGAAGTAAGCAACCCATGCGAACATGACACGGCTATTCCGCCCAGTCCTCGCTAATGACTGTCTCCAGGCAATGGCACAGTTGACCACGATCTACACCGTCGTCGACGCATGGCAAACTCGCGTATGTTCTCCAAGCGAGCCGTTGCAGGCGTCCAGGAGCTTATCCGTGGTCATATCAAGGAGCTTACTCAAGTCTTTGAGAGAAAGGTCGGCTCATCTGAGCCTATTGAGCTGCAGACTACGTTCCTTGCTTACACTACGGACGTCGTCTATCACTACATGTTCAACAGGGACGCTGGCCTCCAAAAGGACTGTAGCAAAGCCCAGAGCTGGCGACACTCCATGGTGGCAGTGAGTCAGGCAATTCCCTTTTGCAGACAGTTTCCTTGGCTCAACGCCAAGCTCTTGATGTTGCCTGACTGGATCCGGGGAAGCCTTGTGGCCAAACTTCAGCCTGATATCGCTGGTCTTCTCGCTACCCACAAGGTCTGCTGAAGCTATCTTGCTCAAACGGTCCGCAGAGGTCTTGCTAACTTGGCTCTCTCGTCTAGCTTATGGGTAAAATTGCTGCTGACTACGTCGCGCACCGAAATACAGAGAAGGGTAAACGCGAATTTGAAGAAGACTTGAATAATGAGAAGCCCCTGACTATCTTCCACTCCATCGACCGCAGTACCCTGCCCCAGGAGGAAAAGACTTCGGATCGCCTCATGCAGGAAGGTCTCATTGTTCTGTTTGCTGGTAGCGACACAATTTCACGACTTCTTTCTCACACAATATATCATTTGCTGGATAACCCCGAGCTTTTGGATAAGGTCCGCAAAGAAATCCTGGACGCTGCCGGAGACTGCAAGGATTTGCCCGATGTCAAGGTTCTTGAAACACTGCCATGGCTTGTAAGTCAACAGTTTCAAACTCTACATTTTCTAACGAGCGAAACGCTGACTCCTGCTCTTTAGGCTGCTTCTGTCCGCGAATCCTTGCGTCTACGCGCCGCTGTAACATCACGATTGCCACTTGTGTCAAGAAAGGATCTGGTTTACGAGAATTGGGTTATCCCTGCCGGCGTGAGTTACCTTGCTGCATAAGCAACGAAGCGCTCATTCTTACTGACTTCCCCGACGACAGATCCCTGTTAGCATGAGCCATCCAGATATTCTTCACAATGAAGAGATATACCCTGAGGCTTCGAAGTTCAAGCCTGAGCGGTGGTTCAATGCTACGGAGCAGCAGAATAAGATGTTTATCCCCTTTGGAAGAGGATCTCGCATGTGCACTGGTATGGAGTAAGTGCCTTATGCTGGCCCTCCCACCACCTTTATTGACGAACGGGCTGCCTTCTGACTTGTTGCGCGAACAGCTTTGCGTACACTGAATTATACATGTCGTTGTCCACTCTCATTACGCGATTTGATTTGGAATTGTTTGACACTGACTGGGAACGTGATGTTGCGTATACACGGGACTGCGCCTTTGGCGAGGCTTCTAGAGGGAGCCCTGGGATACGAGTCAAGGTGCTGGCCGATAACAAGAGGTGGTTTGCGGAATAACATGTAGGCTTGATGGACATGCCAGTTATTTCAGTGGTTTCCTAAACCAAGGAATGTGTCCTTAACTCATGAAGCCCTTATTTCGACGGAACAGCTTTCAGCCGTTTACAAGGTGTACCCATGATGATAGCCAGCGCTACAAACGAAATTTTATGATACTATTAACTACTCCGCGTGGCTAACTAATACGATAGCTATGTATACCTAGGTAGACCAAGACAAGATAAGTCAAACAAACAGACATTCCACCATCACTCCTCACTCATTTATGCTAGGACTTGCCAACCTACGTGACGCTTACTAGGCCAGTCTCTCTTCAAAATACAATCTGGACATGACATGGTACCATTCTTCAACCCTCTCTCATTGTGACCTTGACCTTCAATCCCTTCAAGAAGACGAGGATACTGAACAGAGAGATGCATTAGCGTGACCAAGTCATTGAACGCAGCAAGCTCTAAAGATGAACACTGACCTGCAAACTTCAGTAATGTTTGCTTCATCGACAAGCTCAAAGTTGTAACGCATCAGGAGAGTGGAAACCAGCTTATCCATCTCGAGCCAGCTGATGTCTATGAATCTTCGTCAGCATCCTCGCTATTCCGCTGGCTTTGTGCAGAGCGTGTGTGCAGGGTTTATGTCTTGGGTAATCGCATTACGCTTACTTTTTCCAATGCATGTCCTCGTGCCGCCACCAAAAGTAAAGAAGAACCTCTCTGCGACATGGAATGTCAGTTATGTCCATGTATTGGGGCCTTTTCGATATTGACGTTGGCTTTTCTTACTCAGATGGCTAGCATTCTCTCCCAACCAGCGTTCGGGCTTGAATTCCTCGTAGTCGGAACCCCAGATTTCGGGCGCATGATGGATAACCCAGGGGTTACAACCAACAACGGTCTGTTTTCAGAAAACATTAGTATTAGATCAAATTGTCAGTAAGCCAATGTGATACAGGGGAGACGCGGTGGTTGTGATGACTTACACCTCCAGGAACGAATTTGCCGCAGATCGTCATGCCTTCCTTGGGGACCTCTCTGTCGGGGTTGGCACCGACTGGGCTAAAGACCCTCAACGCTTCGTAAATGACGGCCTGCAGATAGGGGCAAGCTTCGGCTTCCTGAAAGGTGACTGGGTTTGAGAGCTGGCCTGCCTCTTTACGCTCGTCGAGTTCGGCTCTGAGTTTTGCTAGGACACGGGGGTGCTTGAGGATGTTGAGGAAGATGCTGCGAAGGCCGATGGCTGTTGTATCAGACCCTGCAAAGACATTGCTGGTCATCATAAAGGAAATGGAGACATCATCCCTGTTTCCCAGTTAGCATATGGAATCGTCGAGGTAGGCCTGGAGGATTGAGCATACAGTTGGGGCTTGGTGCGTGCCGTCTGAAAGAGTTGTCCTACAATGTCTTTGTCGTTGCCTCCCTTGTCCCTTCGGTCTTGCACTTCAGACTTTGCAACTTCGAAGAAGTAGCCGTTCCGATCATTGGCAGCCAGGAAATTTCCAAAAACGGGCAAGATGAATTTCTGATGGAATTTGAAGACCCACGGTGCGTACATCAGCCAGCCAGTGCTGCTGAAGGTGCGCTCAATCCGGCCAAACATGCCCTCGTCGGTGCCCTGGGCGACGAATCCGAAGGGCTTAGAGAAGGAGACGGCGCCAATTACATCGAAGGCAAAGAGCTGGAACCAGTTGCCAAGGTCGATGGGTCGTGGAGAGAGAGCAAAGGCGTCGAACTTGACGAGCAAATCGTCGAGGACACGGTCAACCTGCGGCTCGAGGTGGACGACCGACTCCATCGAGTAAGGCCGTGCCACCAGCCGTCGCTGGGCCGCATGGATCTTTTCGTTGCGCTCGCCTGCTAGGTCAAAGGGTCGTGATCCTTGGAGCACTGCAAAGGAGGAGGATTTGGCAAAGGCGCCGCTGACCCCTATTTGATGTGTGAGCAAGGAGGTCACGAAGTAGGGAGTAAGGGGGTTGACAGGAGGAAGGATTTCATTTTCCCGCGTGGAAACATAGCATCTGTCGTACGAGCGGCAGAGATATAGACTGAAAATAATGTACAGAAACGGGGAGAGTGAAGGAGTAGGGAGGGCCGCCAGCCTTACTGTAAATCGTCCGAAATGCTTCAGGATCACCCACGCTCCTAGACGTATTGAAGGCAATGGTTAGCCAACATGAGCCATTCAAAACTACCACATCACACATGAAAGTACCGACTTGTAGCAAACTACAAAGTAATTTTGGGGAAATTGTAAAGGACGGCAAGATGCAAAACTCACAGCTGGTTCGGTCCGATGCGCACAACACTGCCGTATCGACGATGCAGTTCGCCCAGCTTACGATGCCACTGGCCTCGAGAGGTAATATATGCTCGCCATAACGTTGTCAACTTGGCCGCGAAAGGCCCTGGAAACGAGGCCATGGGTGAGAAATAGCATTGGTAGACGACGTAGCCAGCGAAGGCGGCAAGCAGGGCCAAGCCGGAGGCCAGAAAGGGGAAGAGAGCGTGGGACTCGGCAAAGGCGAGCCTTTCTCCATGATTGAAGAAAATCGAGTCCAACATGTCTGCTTTTGTGAGGCAGCCACGCAAAAAGAGATGGGCTGCGGAGCAAGCTGGCTAAAGTTTCTGACCGTTTGACACTGATCTGAGGGAATCGAGTCTGATCTTATGGGAATCGAGTGTGCTACAGGAGTAACCTTATATACTCGCTTTCAGTGGGACCGGAAGCAAGAATTGCGATCTCGCTGAAAAGGAGATCTTCAATGACGAGATGTAGCCACTTCTTGCTTCCCGGCTATGTTACAATTCATGCAGAATAGGCTACCTGAAGCTATCACCGTCCCACCATGAATATAGACACTGTGTATACCAACCTTATAGAGGCTATGTTTGGCCGTATCCGGCGATCTTTCTTTCATCTTTTGCTCGGTGTTTTTGGCCCTTTGTGTTTCTTCTAGAAGTCTGATTGAAACTCGAACTTTTTGCATATATATACCTGACTTTTTGGGTAGTCCGAGAGTCCATGGAGCTGTATCTCGAGGTACGTTTTTGTTTAGTCGCACGGACTTTCCCCTGTAGCACCAGTTGACGAATTACCGGCGTTCTGGTACAACAAGTGTATGTTACATACAACGATTCTGTAAGCGGTAAGTGAACAATAAAACACTGCCGGCTGATCAATCTGGAATCAGATATCTACAAATATGACTTCCGTTTGAGAAATCTCAACGTCTTAGTGGTAGAGACAATGGTGCCTCCAAGACATAATTCTCCAATATCAAACAAATAAAGCCTGGCCAATAAAACATTACGATTCTGTCTTCTCATGGCTCTATATGAAGTACACATATTATATCTGATTGTCAGATTGTATACTACGTGGATGATAACAGCACTTGCAGTCGCAGCCGAAGCTGATGAAACCAGAGCGGCAGTGAATACCGTGCTCAATCTCAAGATTCCGCGGAAGATCCGGCTACATAGGACAACTATATAGATATTTATCTTATCCCATGGAAAAAGAAGGGGGTCAAAAAGCTGATAAACTCGATCGACAAATAAAATACAAAATAATAAGCCGCGGCACGAGTCGTGTACGGGAAAAACTCTACGCAAGTCTGCCCCGTAGCCTGTGTGACTCTCTTACAAGGAAAGCCCTGAACTGTTTGAGCGTCCCGTAAAGAATATGCCCCTTATCCATTTGATCGGCATCTTTGAGCCGGGCTCGAAAAGATCGTATCATGCGGCGTAGAGAGGCTCGGGATTTATATCGATTTCCTATTTCGGCAATTCTCCTGCTTACGTTGTGTCAACCAAGATCAAGAGTCGTCAGTTACGCGTAAACTACTGGCGTAGAAAACCACCCAGAACGATCAAAATACCAATAGTTGTCGGAGTTGGTAAAGCATGCAATGCTGCAGAGATGTATATTGACCTTGTATAAGAAGCAGATTGCCACTAACGACTTGCCTACTGCAGCTCGGGGATTATGGATAAACGCACAAATGAGGGCATGCCTTCATGAGCCAAACACCATATCTCAATGCTTCAATGCTCAACGGCAGCTGTCGATTTCTGAATCTCCATCAACACACCAAAGCGTCATGCTTCGCATATCAAAAGCCGAGATATCGGTGCCCCTGCTTACATAAAAGTGCCGTCTCATGCGTATTTCCCGAGCTCGAGAGGAGGAAAGTCCGACCAAAAGGATCTGGGGATCTGCCAGCGACTTCCTCATTTTCAGGCGGCCCGTGCGCCAAAAAAGCCCCAGCTTTAGCGGGATCTCGGGCCGCCGGGATTATTGTTCTAGCGCTTCTACAGCCGCTAAGCGAGGCGCTAGAAGGGAATCAAGAAGTGACCTTCATCTAGACACTTCAGTCCATCAGCCGTTTGTGAAGGGCTTTTTCTGTGCCTTTCAACTGGCTTCAATGGTATGATGCTGATGATGCGAGTTCTCTCTTGTTGGTACTTAGTTTTGGGATCAAGACTTTGCCATGGTTACTATTAGAAGCTTCAGATTCAATGTTGAGAGACGGCAGAGATAGCCAGCCGTATTCACGATAGCTTGGCCTCTTCTGGTTCGCCTGGATAAGCACGAGTTATCACATGGGAGCCCAAGGGCCCGCCGGCGTTTCACTGGCACAGGCTTGTCCATCATATTGATGCAAATGTTTTTATATTCGACGCGTATCTCTGAAGATGCTTGTAGTCGCTAGTGAGCATGCGGCCTTGTTCTGTCCGAGAACACGTCCTTCTATGTTTGTGCAGAGATGATATTAGGCCAGGCTTCAGCAAAGGGATGCGGGCTGTATATATTCTCTTGCTTTGATAGCTGCATCTGTGATTCCCCACCCAACACGTTGATATGGCTCTTTCACCGCAGTCTGTGATTTCGGCGCCGTACAGCTTTACTCCACGGCCTTACTAGTAATAGGCTCAAATACCCATAAACTCGGCATCTTCGTGGGGAGTTCTGGCGAATCACAGCTGATTGAGCCTTTTATCTCATTTATCATCTGCACAATCTACAGCTTTTTGAACTTACAAGCTGCCTCCAATCCCAACATCTGGCGGCGAACATGGCCCCCTCGGTTAAAAGCATTCTGAGAATTTTGCATGCCGCCGGCGGGTTCATCCCCGAAGACAGCGATGCCAGCTGTTATGTCGTCGTGGAAGAGAGCAACGAACTGAGCGAACAACGCTGGGTCGAATCCCAACTTGCTAGTGAGACCTTCATCGCGTCAAATATCAGGACTAATTCGCCAGCTGTTTATTCCGTGCATGAAGATACAGTGAGCTTCAGAGGCGTCTCACAGAAATTGGCTCGAGCGGATCTGATCAGTGCTGTAGCGGTCCGTATTCTGCATCGGGGAGAATAATGCGCTCAGGCTTTTCACGCTGGTGGAAGACGAGTGGCACGAAGTTCATCTCAGCGGAAATGAAGAGATTCTAGTACATCAATCGGGCAGACTCAGTGGATGCGTTTATGGTGGTGACAGTGTGGTGTTCTTCGAGGATGTGAGAGGCTATATTCGAGGCATCCGGGTCAAGAAGGATGGACGCTGGAGGTTCCTTCGCCCTCTTTCTGCGAATTCTGTACCGGGAAGCCCTCATTTTGCCCAGGTCCAGGAAAATGTCGTTCACTTGAGCTACGTGAACTGGGATGGTTATATCCATCAGATGGGCATAAGGACTGCGCCCAATATCAACAGCGGTTTGCCCCTCCCAGCAATTTTCTGCCCCGTTACGAGCTGCTATCTTCTAACAAGCCAACAGACAACCCTCTTTCGGGTACAAATTTTACGAACAGTCGTGTCGCAAACTTCACTGTCCGCGTGCAGGATAAGATAGAGGATGGGAAACGGGACGAGGCAGGAAATGAGCCGCGTGATGAGCCGGAACTATACCTCTTCGCTCTAACTAAGAAGCAAGAGGGGGAGCCAGAGGAGCTAGTGTGTATCGATAGCAAAGGAAAGCCCATGGTAATGGGCAGAATTGTCGATGGTGTGTTTGAACCTGCGTCGGACAGAGAGAACAACAGGCCTGTTATCAAATCCGCATCGACTGCAGTGGGCAATGCCACAGGAGGAGGAAAGGGCGGGAAAGGGAAGAGGAGGTAGAGACAGCCTCTGCCCTGCTTGATCTGGTCGTCAAAGCAGATTACCCCTCATCTTTTCTCATGAAAGCCGATGCCGTGGATTGGCCAGAATAGGAGATTGCCGACAAGCGATGATTTGCGGTCATTGTAACGATATCCGTTCAAAGAGCTTGATAGGACTCAAGAATAGGAAGCAAGTTCTGGAACAGGAAGAGCAGTCCGAACGTTTGCGAGCAATCTCGAGGCACTCATGCAGATGCCCAACTCATGCGCTCAACCGGTGATTGGCTGCATCTTGTTGGCTCTTGGAGCCATGATATCCACTTTGGGCAACGAGAGTCCTCTCGGACAAGGGGCAGAAGTGCATTTCCTGGATCCGTAAGCAATTGAAAGAGCATACTGAGTATAAGTTGCTGGTCTGGTACTGGACGCTTCTTACGCCTCGTAACCGATTGCATCATGCGGCTCAAATCAGAACGACATATTGGTCAAAAACTGCGATGCGGCTGAAATGGAGAACAAGGCATTGGTCAATATTCCTGATACGGCTCGACAGACAATGCGATTATGGCCAACCATCTCACGCATCAGGTATCAGCAGCCGACACGATACCGAGCCCAGGCCGCCGGTGACGCAGTTGATCCAGGCTGTCGGCTCCGTCTATCAATCATCTGACACCGAAATCCTTTTTCTGGGCTACTGTGCAGTACCAAGACGTAGCCTCGAATACCCAAATGCCCGATATTCTACTGGCGTCTAAGGCGTCGGTGACGATCGGGCACGAACAGACTGCATTCTAGACAAGGAGCCGCACTAAAGCTCCAGCCTTGGCTGAGATTGCCGTTATCTTCCGTGATGACGAGACTTGAGACTTAGATTCCTATAGATGGTGTCGCCGTGTAGGGATGTATTAAACCAAGTTGGGCGCATATATAACGGCTTCCTCGTCATAAGGGTCGGCCTTGAGAATTATCAGGTCAATAGGCTGCTCTTCTTCCATATTCATGTCTGCTACTGCCTGGCACAATCATCTTACGTGATGTATTCCATATATGACCTCGCGTTCGATGGGCTTCTCAAGCAGAAGGATCTTATCGGCAGAGAAAAGGAAATAGACGCAGTCGACAAAGAAACTCTCTTCACCCCGCTCGGTGCGGCCGTCTTCCAGGGCAACAGAGACGCAGTCAAACTTCTTCTCGCCAATAAGGCGAATCCCGATGGCGTCCCCGAGTCCTATCCGCCGCTCTGGATCGCAGCAGCCCGAACAAAGGGGGACATTGGCAGCATTGTCGGAATGCTTCTTGCACACAAAGCTGCTGTGAACATAGCTTCGGATCTTACCAATAAGTCGACTCCTTTGCATGCCCTCGTCAAGCGGTACAGGAGTGAAGATGACCTCTATGTGATGGAAGCTCTCGTGGATGCCGGTGCTGATCCAAATGCCAAGAACGATAGGGGGGAGTCAGCCAAGTCCGTGGCCACTGCGCGAAATGACAAAAAGATATTGGCTATTTTGTCTCCCCAGGAGTGGAAGCGTAGCCACATCAAAGACCTCCTTTTGCTTGTATCACTCATCATGTTTGTATTCGCATGGGCAAACAAACAACCTCTTATGAGGACTGTTGCCGGGGTGAGTATGGCTGTGATAGGTGCTTCAGGAGCTGTCAAGAAAAGAGCTATCAAGAAAAGATTCAGGATCAGCGGTATTGGTGATCTGTTCAAAACAAAGATCCCACCGGTAAGATACCTTTTTTTGCGCTTATAGACGAGGTTATATACTAATAAACTACTTAGCATGTCCTGAAGAAGATTGAAAAGGAAAACACTGCAAGAAATTTCAAGGAAGAAATGAGCAAGTACATCAAAAAGGCCCATCTAGACCACTTCTTCAAGAAGGGAAAGGAGGACTTCCTCGATAAAGTCATCAAAAAGGCCGTTGACTTGGAAGATAAGCCGAAAAAGACTGTTCGTACTACAGACTTGATCAGTCTTGCACTCTTTCAACCTGTGCTGTACTGCGGTACGTTAATAGTTTGATCCTCATTTGAGTTATTGTTGAATTCTCGTTTCATATTACACTAACTAACTATTGTCTCCTGTATAGACGATAGCCGTTCAATGAAGAGAGACAACCGGATACAGCTGCAGGCAGACTTGAGTGAACGGATCACCAGTCTCACCACGAGGCTTGTTCCTGACGATACCGGCATCGAGTTGCGACTCATCAACTATCCAACCCAGGACTTCATGTCAAAGCCTCTTCCAGAGAAGGTCAACGATATACTCATGAATATTGTCACATACACCGGTCCAACTGAGATCGGAACGAACTGCAGGACAAAAATTCTCGAAGAGATAGTTTATCGACCGATAAGGGAGGGCAGATTTGATCGTCCGGTTCTCATTTCCATCTTGACTGATGGCTGTCCTCTGGGGCCTCCTGGAAGCAGTGAGACGCATGATACGCTGAAAACGGTTATTTTGGAGTGTGGTCAATTTCTGGAGCAGAATGGTTTTGACAGAACTGGTAAGACAATTTCGTCTACTGAAGCAATCACGTCTGACATAGCTTTATAGTTGTCCGCTTTCAAATCAGCCAGATTGGACAGGATGCAGCCGCAAAAGAGTTTATCAAGAGCCTTGCTAAAGAATCCGACTTGGAGAAGGTTTTATACTGCACTACACGTAAGGAGCCCCCCATTTCAGATGCCGCTTGCTTTCTCATTATTCGCTACCCGGCATTGGATTTTGACTGATTTGTGTGATTAGGACAACTGGATGATGAGTTCAAGGATCTCCGACACAATGAGCATCGCCTTGAACAATGGGTCAGTCACTATCTTCTTTTCTTTACCCTTCTTGAACTACTCTGGGTGCTGACATGTCGTATAGCTCCTGGAACTGTTGATGGAGCCAATTATTAAGGCTGATAAAGAGGAGTGAGTAACTGTATGACCTCTAGGCTGGAAACCCTTTCGGCCTGAATCTGGGCGGAAAGAGCAATTTGGATGGATGAATTGTTATGGAGGAATCAGCCCCATGGAAATATCTTTACTACTAGTTCGAGAGGATATTAATCATACCATGATCTAAATCGTTGCCCGACGACGAAGTAATCGTACGATATCCTTATGCCCTCTCTCTTCAGCCCAATCAATTGGCCTCACCCCCTCTTCATCCGCCTTGTGAACATCATCAATATGGCTTGCATTCAAGAGCAGATCCACAACCTTTGTCTCCCCGGACCCGATTGCGGCAAATATCGCTGTCCGTCCATCTTTGTTGCGTGCGTGGACATTAGCCCTCTTCTCTAGAAGCCACTCTACAATATCTGCGTGACCCAGAGCTGCTGCAAAGAATAACGGCGTGCGAGCTTCTCTGTCTCTGGCTTCGATATCGGCGCCTGCCTCGAGCAGCATTCTGACCATTTCGAAATGACCAAAGGCACAGGCGCTGAAGATGGGAGACTGGCCGTCGTCATTCCTGGCATTCACATCGACGCCTCTGTCAAGCAGCATCTGCATCACCGGCACGCTGCCTTGCCAACTTGCTGTGTGGAGAGGCGTGTGGTTTGTGTGATCCCTGTTGTTGACATCGGCGCCTTTGTCTAAGAGCGCTCGAATAGTTGCCTCATGTCTGTTCTCAATGGACAGAGTCAGAGCTGTTTCTCCTTCTTTTTGTTCCTGTACGTTGACATCCGCACCCGCGTCGAGAAGCAGCTTGACAATGGATTCATGTCCGTTTCTGGCGGCCCGTATCAAGGGCGTTTCCCCGTGTTGTTGATCCCTGGCGTTGATGTCCGCTTTCCCAGTCTTGATCAGCATCTCGACGACTTGCTCATCTCCGCTTTCAGCGGCTCTTGAGAGCAGCGTTCGACCCTGTTGATCGACCTCACCGATGTCGTCGTCACCATTGAGCAATCTCTGCAAAGTCATCTCTGAACGATTCTCAGCGGTATAAGGGATCATCTCGTTCTTCCCATTGCCTCCCGATTCGAGCTGTTGCTCATGCCCAAAAAGCATCCCAAATACCTTATGATGTTCCAGGCGAGTTGCAAGCAGCTTCACCTTGCCAGCCTCATCGTTCGGGTGGATAACGCCTCCTCTTTCCAGGAGAAACTGAATAATTGATTCGTGCTTGTAATAAGCGGCTAGCGACAGCGGTGTTCTCTCGAGATGATCTCTCGCATTCAGCTCGCTGCCTCTTTCGAGAAGGAGATGAACAACTTTTCCATGACCATTGCGCGCAGCCCAGATCAGTGGCGTGGCGCCCTGCTCCTTGTCTCTCACTTCAAGCGCAGCGTTTGAGTCTAGTAGCAGGTTGACAACTTCTTCGTGGCCATTTCGAGCTGCCCACGATAAGGGCGTCTGATGGTCGCTGTCGTGTGAATTGGGGCTGCATCCATATCTTTGTCTGTCCTCAAGCAGAACGGTTGTTACTCCAGTAAGACCAAAATATGCTGCCAGATGAAGTCCGTTCACGTCTCGCGGCACCTCCTGGCTGTAATTCGAGTGAGACGAGTAATGCTTCACAGCATGTTGCGCCTGTATCGATGATTCAACCTTTGCTGCATTGCTAAGGAACTGTAGAAGCTCCTTGCTGGGTTTCGCATCCTTCGGAAGATGATCCCCCCAATGGCTAGCAGCATAGTTGCAGAGTGGGAAGCTTTTCTGTCGTTCTTCGAACTCTTCATCTGTCTCGCAGAATCCGCTTTCAAAATCTGTAAACGAGAGGTAGGTAATGCAGGCTCCGAATAGAGCAGATTCAGCCTCGGGGAACCAGCTCGTCTGTACGCTGACAAGGAATTCGTATGCAGTGTAGTGCACCAATTGAATGATGCCGCTCTTCTCATCAAACGTCACCAACCCAAAACAAGCTCGGCCAATGTCATCAAGATGGGGGAGATAATCTTCCCCTATTGTGTCCATGCCTTTGTCTGTTGCCACACCGTGCTGGAGCTCGGAGGTGGTCAGTTCCCTTTTGGCAAATGTGAGCCATAAGAGGACCTTGGTAGCAAGGTCCTTGATTCTGGACTTTTGTTTCTCTATCCTTTCAAAGACGCGCTGGTATGCCTTCGTCAGCACCTCGTCGCTCCGAACCTCGGCGTCATCCTTGAAACTCCGTAGCTGGGCCCGGATTCCGTAGACGGTTGTCTCATCTCGAAGCAATTCCATATAAAGACGTGCTAGGAGAAACCTATCATGGATTCCTGTCAGTACACATACCACTTAGCCGGCTTTATCCGTCACTGGTAGCAGTCCAAAGGAAAGAATACTTACATCCCATCTGCGGCTTTGGATACCTCTGCTTTGATTTCTCCTTGTATCGTTGGATTGTACCTGATAACGTTTGTCGACGCGTCTTGCATTTCGGCTTCCAGGTACTTAGCGACGTCATCCGGCCGAGCTCGGATTTCGAGAAATGAACTTTGAGCTTCAGTAAACCATTGTTCAATCTCTGGAATGACCCTTGATGTTGCAAAAATATTGATGTTGCAGCGTTTTTGAAGCTTGAAGAGCGCACAAAGGGAATAGCGTACAAAAGGTAAATGACACTCGTCAATTGCATCGATGGCGATATAAACTTTCGAGTACACCTTTGCCACGGCTTTGATGTGTGTCAAAAGCTGCTCCTTGGATGGGCGAGTCCCTTTGGCTTTGTGTTGTACATACAGCTCTCTGGTGCTTTCTGGAAATTGAAGACATCCGTGAGCCAGTTGCCTGAGAATGCTTGCGAGTAGTTGCTCAGTTGTCAGAGGCTTTTGATTGTTGTAAATGCAATAGAGGTAGGCTATGCCGATGGTGGAGTCGCCCATAAATCGAGTCGTCAGATGGTCGACAACTACCGAGGTGATGATTGTTTTGCCGGATCCCGGCATTCCTTGACAGAGCAGAGTCCTACTGCCTCCGTCCAGCCAGTTTTGCAACTCTTCTGTTTGGAAGATCCACTGGCAAGTGCCTTTGCTGTAAGTCGCCCTATTCTTTGTATGTTGGTGGCCGTGGTTGGCGGTTGTGAGCCAGTCGAGGATCTCGCTCACTTCAATGTCCTGGATATATGACTCAACATGGTTTTCAATACGTTCCACTTTCGAATAAGTATCCTTTGCAACATCATAAACTGTATGAAGTCCGCTATTAGACGAAAGACTCTCTACTCAACGAAGACTGGAAATAGCTAACCTTGCTGTAATTTACCTGTGATATCCTTGATAGGACGCTCTTTGGAAACATCCGCCGACCGCACATGTTGAAGAAGCTCCTTTGTGAATGCCGCTGCCAAAGCTGCAGCATATTCCTGCCAGTCCTTGTTCTTCTGAGCGTCCGCATAGTCGCATATTCCCCTTATGACAATGCATGGGAAGTTGTTCATCAAACCCGCTGCTTCCATCTCAAGACATAGAACCTTGCCTCCCAGGTCCCTGTTGATCCGATCTCGCATATCACTGTTCTTGACAACTTGGTTTCCGGACGCAATCAAGCCATAGTGAATTTCCGTCTCTCTGGGTTGCTCGCCGTCATTGTCGAGATCCGACTTGGTGGGCATTCCTTTCCCTTCAGGCTCGTAGCGACCTGACAGTAGTCTGAGCAGAACAAGAAGCATCTCGTAGATGACCAGAGCGATGCTTGTCCAGAGACCATGATTTTTCCGTGGTATTTTAGGTTCCAACATAGGATCTTTGAGGCGAGGAGACCACATATATTTGTCCACCATCTTTGGGTATTTGGCTGCCATCTCCTTCATGTAGTCGGGTATACGTGTCCCATGCATCTCGTGAGCCGTTTGCAATTTCGCAATGGCCCCCAATAACACCCTGGGGGGGCGATCTAATGCACCCGTTCGCTCGAATTGATCTTTTTCTGACTTCCCGGAATCCCACTGAACAACTCCAGAGAAGGTTCCAATTGGCTTGCTAACGACAATGTCTCCAAGCCGCACCTGGGGAGGGACCCCCCCTCCAATGCCGACCATAAGGCAAAATCTTATTGATGGAAAGGTGTTGATCATCTGTGTGAGAAGGTTTGCTGCCGGATTGGTGCCGATCTCGGGAAGACAGGCTATCACAACGTTGTGATCGCGAATAGATCCCAAGATGTAAGTGTTCTGGTCGCGGTCGAGCGCCGGGAGGGGGTCATGTTCTGCATCCAGCATTGCCCGGGCTGCTGCTTGCTCTTTCGGGAGAGCGCAGATCCATCCCACACTGTAGTCCCCATGAGTGAGGGCTATTGGAGGCATTGCAATGTCATTGGCTGCTGACATTGCGACGTGGATGATGTGAGGTGATTGGTGATGGTGAGTCGAATGGCGCAGAATCTTGAAGACACTCTTGGGCCTATTGCTATTCAGGCACCTTCTGAAGGCAGTAGTTATGTTGAAGCAGCAAATAAAAGCCAAGAGATGGATTATGACAGGTCAAGAGATTCAAAAAGTGTCACAAAGAGACATGGGAATGCTTGTAAATATGTAAAGTTGGGCAGGGTTGATCCTTGAGTACCATATATGCAAGATGAACAGGGCCGCAGATATTCCAACGGCTTCTTCGTAACTTAAACCAATCAAGTTGGGCGCCGTAAAGAAAGACAGCATACTCTCACTGATAAATTAGATGCATATCGGTGTACACGCTGGCAAAAGTCGTTCATCGCTGTGTAAAGAATCCGCCTTACAAACCAGTAACACATGAAGCAGCTGCCACCACGTCTTCATGTTAAGCCTCAACTTGATCCGAATAATACGTGGCCATACATACATAACACAGCCTCAATATGCATTGGTTCAGCCACACGTCGTGTCGGTGATGAGCAAACTTTTATGCTGCATGCATACCCAAGGCTTAGGCGTCCACCCACCTTAACCTGACCACGCCTGGCCTCTCCCGTTGATGCCCAAAGCCGACACAAATTGTCGTCAGCCTCATTTAGCTTCAAGAGCCGCTTTCAAAATTCACAGCCTCAATTTTGACACTTGATGAGCAAATCGATTGACCATTTACATCATAGCGAAGCATAATGGGCCTGGAAGATGAAGAAGATGACTCTCGCCCCCAGCTTGACGATGCAAACATGGACCCTGGCCGGGATGACGATTCCACTGATGATGAAGAAGACGAAGGAACGAGGACCTCCAGCACTAAGGATCGGGACAAGTGGGTGGTGAAGCTTCAGTTCAAACAAGACGGTTCGTCATTACATACCTATGAGATATCGAACGGGATTTCACATCTAATACCTGGGTGCGAACAGGAGAGGAAAGGGAAGGAACCGGTTTCTATGTTAATATGCCACATCCGACAAATTATGTGATCTTGACTGCTGGCCATAATCTCGTCGGCGTGAAGCGAGAGGACCTAAAGATATCCTCGGAGTCTCCAGATAAACCATATCTCAAGGCATCCGCAATCTACGTCTCTGCAGCGTACGCGAAGAAAATGCAAGAAGAGGACGATTACGGCGTCATCTTGGTCCCAAAGAATCCGAATCGTCCTTATTGGGGTTTCGGGTTTGCTCTGAAGCGTGGCCACGATGATCTTCTCCACAGCTCGCTCGTCCTCTATGGTATAAAAGAGTCTGACGACGGCTATGAACAAACTATGAGTAACGGCATATGCGTTGATTGCATGCCTGATCAGCTTGAATATAAACTCGACACAAACAAAGGTTTCAGCGGGTCGCCCGTGATCATGCCGTATAAAGACCTCGATACGGCGGTTGCTATTCAGTGAGTTCATCGTCCTTACACTACATTTTACACTCCAGCCTCCAATTAGTTACCAACTCAGCACAGCAACTATGGTCACAACCTCAATGAAGCAGCCAGAGGCTCTCGGATCAATGAGAAGATGCTTAACGAGATCTGTGGTTGGCTCAACATTGGCTTCTTCTCCAAGGCCATCCAGGCTTCCATCACGAATAAAGTTCGACTGGACCAGCGCCTATATCTTATCTTCATCGAGGATAGTGACCGCGCAGTGGTAAGGCTCGGCTACGATGAGGAATCTGTCACAAAGTTTGACATTCTGCCCGCCTACGCGCCGCCGTCAAATTATGACTTTCCCAATGACTTTCGCTATACCTTCCGCCTCAGTCCGAAAACAGGCTCGCTTCCAGACGAACGATGGGTGCTCTGGAACGCCGATAGACACACCGTCAGCTTGACCAGCAAATTGAGGGGATTTTGCGCTGCTACACTTCTCGAGTATAAGGCGCCAAAACCAGGACAACCAGAGATGAGGGCCGATCAAAAGTTCTACTATATTCACCTCGAAATGACTAACCACCAAGGAGAGTCCACTGAATTGAGGGAGCTTCGGATGAGAGCCGCGGATCTTACCGCAAGGGACCTTCGTATGAAGACGTTCGAGACACCTGAGATTTTTTTTGCGAGACACAAGCGAGGAAAGTACTTGTTTGGAAAGATTCCATGTAAGCCAGGAGCTCCTAGTAAGCCTGCGTCGGAAAGGGAGGAGCTTGATTTCAACTTGTTTCGCTTTTTCTCTGGATGATTGCAGTCGTCGGAGATATGTTTAACTGTATACATTGACTAAAGCTTTCAAGCGCCGAAGCGTTCTTAGAGTAAATTTGATCGCTGCTATCGTGATAACGAAGTCAGCAACATATGTAGGTGCTGAGACTTTTGCTCGTCTCCTTGAGTTTAACGGATTATAGGGAGACTGTAATCTCGACGAAGCCCAACGCTTAAATTCGCCGAAGGAAACAGTAGAATAGGCCTTACCCGTTACCCAGTCAAAAATCTAATTGACTGGATATAGTTATTTTGTTTATTCTTCTTGGTCGAAGCTTGATTCCTGCAAATCTCCTGATAAAGGGGTCGAATTGAGGCTTCTGAGGTCGCCCTCACCTGCCGAGTCAATGAGCTCGCCTCATACTGGGTTTCTATGCCCTGTCCACAACGTAGCGAATGCACTACAGAGCTTCCAATCATAGAGTAGCTTCTACCCTTGCTACAGTCAGGATATGTACTGTTTGTTTATTATCAAGGTCCATGACTAAAGTCGAAATCGAGCGAAGATCTGGATTCTGTATCAGTTATTGTATTGCAGGGTAGGTTGCCGAGGGAAATGCATAACACGCCCGCGATTGAGCGTTCAGAGTGAGTTTAAGCCGAAGCAGAAAAGTCGCCATCAAGCGCGCGCCGCGGAGTGTATCTGGAGCTTTATTTCACGTCTAACCTACAAGAGCTTACCAAAGTATCATCCTATCATGAAGACTTAATGAGTTTTCTCTCGGCGACTTGCGATTTGACTTTCCGCATGGCTGAGTGCAGGGGCGAGGAGATGATACACATGTTCATTTACTGTCCGAGTCGGAGATTTTCCTGTTCCTTTGTCGCTTACGATTGCTTGAATGGGTGGACAAAACCTTCCTTAATTGACAGAAAGTATAGTATTGTGAGTTTCCTCCTGTTGAACGGCACTTCACCCGATATCGCTCTATTACACGGCCTAAGTACCTATAGGCCTGGGTGGGATCCATTGTGTAAACAACAAGTCCTCTATTCCACCCCTATAGTGTCAAAGAATTCACAATAGTGTCGCAATTTAAGGCTTCTACTTAAGGCAGCTGCTGCTTACTTCAAGATTATGCATCGCACCCGAGCTGTACTTGACATAGTCAGCGAAAAGTTCTGTATGATGCACCACAGACAGATCAAGTGATTATTTAAAGAGGTTATTATTGCAGAGCACCACCTTTGACACTGTAGCTTAACGACTTACATAGTTCGAATACAATTCCTTCTGCGTCGGGAAGCAATTGACATGTCTTTTTGTGTGAGTGGCAATCCAGAGCTATTACGTTCCAGTCAGCAATAGGAGCCACTGAAATTCGTATCGTTCCTTGACTATCATGATCTGTTCGCACGAACAACATAGAAACAAAAGCTCGAATTGGTAGATAGTCAATAATTAGTATACTAGTTCCGGAAGACGGCAACAGCATTCGCCGTTCATAACTATTCCTCATGCCTCGATAAGCGACGGTCAGAAAGATCCTGTTCCATCCATGATCGAATATGGAAGCTCGGAAGTTGACCATCCCAGCATGCGGGGAGAAAATCGGATGAGACGCGCCCAACTTGGCAGGCGAAACAGGACATGAGGTGCTATCAGGGCTACATATAAGATGGATGCTGGAAACATGCTTCCTCTTATGCTGTGCGCAAATTAAGAGGCAATTTGCCGTCTCTCTGAAGATCAGAATGGTGGCATATCTCCGTCTGCTGCCCATTTTGGGCTGCTTGATTACAGGAACAGCCCGTGCGAATGCTCTGAGATCTGGTGTTGATGAGCCTCAGACTGGAGGCAATTGGGGTTACGTTCGGGGTGCCTACATTATTGAGTATGAAGATGGCCATGTAAGTTTGATTAGGATGCAAATGAGGAATTGCTTTCTCAAGGCCGTAAAAGTGAACTAATGCGCCTCAACAGGAGAATGAGGCTTCGCTCTTTAGCGATCTTCACTCACGCGGTCTCCCGGCTACCAAACGAATGAACCTATCGTACTCATTGTTCAAAGGAGCTTCTATTCAGCTAGACGCGATTGACTTGGACCCCAATCACGCCTCGACCAAGATCGCATCACTCACTTCCGTCAAGAATGTCTGGCCCGTCCGTTACTTCCAGAACTTAGCCAGTGGCAAGCGTACATCTGGAAACAACCATATCGGCAACTTCGACAATTCATCCAAGCATTTCGCAAGAACAACGGCAGACAATGGCACTGATGGATATGCGCCACATGTTTTGACCCAAGTCGACAAACTCCATGAAGAAGGCTTCACCGGGAAAGGCATCCGCATCGGCATCGTTGACTCGGGGGTCGACTACAACCACCCTGCTCTAGGAGGCTGCTTTGGTGAAGGCTGTATCGTCAGCTATGGAACGGACCTCATTGGCGACAACTTCAACGGCACAAACACACCCGTTCCCGATCCTGATCCTCAAGACTGCCTCGGCCATGGAACGCATGTTTCTGGTATTATCGCCGCTCAGCAGAACCCCCTGGGCTTTATCGGTGCTGCATATGGCGCAAACTTGGGCATGTACAGGGCGCTGAACTGCGAGGGCATTTCTTCCAACGATGTGCTTATTGCCGCATTCAACGAGGCGTATGAAGACGGATCAGACATCATTTCGCTTTCTATCGGAACCATCTCCGGCTGGAAAGAGGATCCTCTATCAGTTGCTGTCTCTCGAATCATTGACGCTGGTGTTCCTTGTGTCATCGCAAACGGCAACAATGGCCCTTTCGTCTTCACCTCGGCCAGTCCTGCAGATGGCAGAGGGGTCATGTCAGTGGCATCGATAGAGAATACCATGACACCCTTGCTAGGGACTGAGGCCTTCACCAGCTTGGATGGCTCTTCCGACAACCTGACCTCCTTTGTATGGGTGCCCGGAACTCCCGCGTTTCCCAACATCACTCTACCGCTATGGGTTGTCACTCCGAATACCACGGTAGATGGCAGCTGGAATGCCTGTAGCCCTCTCAATGAGAACGCGCCAGCAGACCTCAGCGATAGGATTGTTCTCGTGGAGTTGAGCGGCTGCAGTGACCCTGTCATCGCCAACAGTCTTTTGCAGAACAATGGAAAGTACATCATGTTTTACAGCCCCTATGATGACTTCTCAAAGTAAGATGCTCCTCTTCTTTAATAAGTCGGTTCATTGATGCGCTAACAACCCGTTTCTTGCGCTGCTTCCAGCCTATACAGCGTCACCACTACCCCCGACACACTCGGCGCCGGGATGGTTCCCCTACAGCAAGGCCAGGAATGGCGAGACTTATTAGGAAACGGTACAGAAGTGTATGCGACAATGGTTGAGCCCCAATCTGCCGGCACTACCGCGGCATTCTTTCCCAATGACTCGGATGGCGGCTATATAGATGACTTTTCGAGCTGGGGCCCGACATGGGAGGCGGACCTGAACCCGCGTATCGCAACGCCGGGAGGCTCAATCCTTTCTACCTATCCGTTGTCGATGGGAGGCTATTACGTCGACTCTGGTACTTCCATGGCCACGCCGCTCATGGCTTCGATTTATGCCTTGATCATGGAGGCGAGATCCATCAAAGACCCCAAAACTCTTATGAGTCTGGTCTCATCTACGGCAAAACAGACGAAATACCATGACTATTACACCGGCATCTTCTATGATGGATTGGCTCCCGTAGCGCAACAGGGCGCTGGCCTAGCCCAGGCATATGATGCGGTTCATGCCACCACGTCCCTCAGCGTATCGAGCATATCTCTCAACGACACAGACCATTTTGTTAACAGCACGGCTTTCACGATTAGCAATGGGGCTGAACAAGCTGTGACTTACTCCATCGGCCACGTACCGTCTCTATCTCGAGAAACTTACAAGACTGGTCAACCCACAGTGGCGAGGTCTACAAACCCTAGCAATGCGACAGCAACCCTCACCTTTTCGGAGACAAACCTCACAGTTCCAGCGGGGGAATCCGTCAAAATCATTGTCGAAGTAACCCCCCCTCAAGGGCTCAATGCGTCAAATCTCCCCGTCTATGGAGGGTACATTACTCTGAGCGGTTCCAATGGCGAAAGTCTTGTTGTCCCTTATCTAGGAGTTGCCGCAAGCCTGAAGGATTCTAGGAGCATAGACCCAGGCTATAGCTTTATCTATCATACTACCGGCCGGTTCCCTCAGGAGGCCCCTAACAACGATACGTGGACGATCCCTTATCCTACAGTGGGCAGCCAGCCTTCGACATCGTCATCCATCGACTATCCCGCTCTTGGTATTGAAGCAGATGCCGGTATCCCGCTGCTGCGAGCAGACATCATCCCTCTGGGTACCACGCCGGCAAAAACCACCAATGTTTTAGGAGTCGATATTGCTGGTAGTATTTATGGATATCCAGTGAGGTGGCTCAACACGCAGATCAACCAGGTGGCCTTCAATGGTGTGACGCAAGAAGGGACAATCCTGCCCGAAGGAAATTACGCCGTGTTGCTGCGAGCGCTGAAGATTTTTGGAGACGAGGAAAACCCGGATGACTATTTCACTAAACAGACTGGCTCATTCAACATCAAGTATACGTCTACATAGGTAGGTATAGACGATGGTATATTGCCCTGACGTTTGTATATACGATATATAAGAAAGAAACAACACTGATGCTCATGTTCCTCTCATCAAGCTTCAGCTGAGCCCATTGACGGGTATTTCCGTCTTCTTACAACTAGCACTTGCTGTTCTGCATGCAAACCTCAGCGCCTTCTAGCTACATAATTTTGAATGTCTTTTTATCTTTGAAGTCAACGAACCAGCTGTCGAGATCCGCTCTGCTCACCTCCGTGGCAAGACCGAGTCGCTCATACGTATCCTCTGCCACGTTCGTTTGATGCAGTAACATGCATATATGCTGCCCTCCCCACACAAAGCCCGTCTTCATAGAAAAGATCCGGCTTCCAAATGGGATATGCTTTGGACCTGGCTGAATCAAAGGATAGTCATGATGAAAGGGCAGAGAGTTCCCGGCTACGCCTTCGAAACGTATGCTCTTTGTATCTGACAAAGCATTATGCACCTCTATCAAGGTGCCCGCCGCCAAGTAGCCTCGAACCTCCATAACCGCATCGGATATAGACGCAAATTTGTCTGGGCCATTTAGCTTAAAGTGAATGCTGAGAATTTCCAGATCATCTGGATACGTCCTTGGGCAGCCCGTCGCATAAGTGATGATGTTTCCCGTCGAAATCCAAGACCACGTCGGGCCGCAATAGAAATCAGGACGGTCGTGGATGTTCCGAGAAGCACAGTACCACAAAAGCTCAGAAGGGAAGCAATTTTCCCACATTCCCGCCACATATCTTCCTAGATCGGAGGAGTGCGCTGTTCCGTACTGTCTGGCAACACCCGAAAGAGCAGGAAGCCGGTCTGATGTAAACGAGATGCGCAGCCCAGAGTATTCTGCCACGATCTGGTGCCAGTACTTTCTGATCTCGGCAAGACTGGACGCCGCGAGACCTTCAGAATGATACACTTTGCGGTAGTCTGTATGTTCGCCTACGCCAGTACCCGCGCCATTGCTACCGCCTCCCCAGATCCCTCCAGGGATATGCTCACACTCGCAGATCTTGTCCCGACTGCTCCCTGCGCATTCGAAAGCGATTTCGTATCTTGTGAAGTAAACGATTCGCGGGGAAAGAAGACGCTCCTGGTAGACCCACGCTCTGCTCAGAAGGGGGAGCTCCGGGGTCATCTTCAGCACACCTGCAACGTCCCAGGTCGTGTGTTCAGGGACCCTTCGAACGAGATACGAGGCACCGTGTTGCCCAACAATTGCAGAAGGTTCTACCGTGAATGAAGGACTTTCCCTGAAAAGACCGACATCGCTATCGGCAGACCATGCCGCCGCAAAGGTCACGTAGCCGCCGGTGTAAATCTCACACATCTGTGCTGCCTGTTCTTTCCAGTCCTCGGCGCTATCTTGAATGATGCACAGCGAATCGATCCAGAGATACTTGATACCAAGCCACACGGCAACTTTCGCGGAGTCTTGAAAAGTCTTTGGTAACAGACTCCAGGGGATCTCCTCAAGATGCGAAGGCAGACTCTCAACAGTTGTTTGACAGAGATGTGTCGACGCTCCCCATCGGTGGCTTAGACACACATATCTCTCTTGCCCACCCACATCTTGAACCAAGCGAACTTTGATGTTATTCTCCGAATCCGGCGTCATTTCAAGGACCCTTTTGGGCAATTGTGCGGCTGGCCCAGCCATGCAGGATTCGTGCATTGAGTTGCACTCGTGAAGCCACTCGCTGATTTTCCTCAGAGAAGTTTCCGATCCCGTGTTGTTGAACGGCACCGGAGACTTGTAAGCGAACGGATGATCTGGTCGAGATTAGAATCTCGGAGTCTCAACGAACTCTATTAACTTTGCAGAACTTACAATTCTCTTCCTTTCGGTTGTCATCCGTTCTGTCAACATCAATCAATATTGTCCAGATATGGTATTGCTCCGAGCCGCGGTCCGGCGCCTCTCTCTTGCTGGTGTTCACCGTGAGATCAATTTTGAGATTGCTCAAGTCTCGATCGCGACCAGAGGGCATCGTCCAAGTAATCTGCACGTCTTCCTCCCAGCATTTGCCGTCCAAAAACACTCCATCATCTGCACAGGCAGACTCGATAGCCTTGACAATAGACTCGCAGCCACAACATCCACGTTGGCGAGATGCCTGGAATATGCTGAGTTTCGCCTTGATTCCAATCCGGAGGAATTCTCGCCAGGCCTCGGGTAATGGATAGGGCAGTTGCTCGTCTGGTAACTCCGATCGCTCCTCATCATGAATGTGAGAATCCTTGCGCCAAGTGTAGCTTCTGTGAACCGACGGCTCGACCAAAGAGGCGCATTCTTCATCCAGCTCAAAGTAGCAGATGCCACACCGCCGTTGACTCGTTGAAAAGCAATTACCCATAGTCCCAACACACATTCAACAGAACAGCGTGATTGAAGGAGACTTTTCGAAGTTGTCTCACGGGTTTATCTGCCCCTCACTGAATCGGCGGGTAAATAATATGCGCGAGACCAATCGGAGATCATCCATTGACAGGGAAGTGAATCTCGGAAGGATTCTCACTACCGAAGCTTCACACAAACATTCCCACTGTCAGTTCAGTCTCCGAGAAAATCTCAGAATGTAAATCTCGGACACCTTCCTCACAAGCCTCAACGCTTTTAACTCTGTAGACGAGTCTCAATGCTTTACTTTTGTCTCCGACGCCTTGTTCATCTCACAGACCCCTGCTCTTCTCTATGGCAAGACTCTGGCTATATAAGGAGGGAGACCCTCCCGCTTTGTTCTGTCTTTCTTCTCTTGTTTCCCCCATCCCCTGACCGACCCTATCCGATCTTCCTCTGCCCAGCGACCCTTCCAGCGATCTCCCACCGACCACATTCAGTCTTTACCAAACTCAGCGACCTCAGCGACCTCAGCGACCTCAGCGACCTCAGCGACCTCAGCGACCCCAGCGACCTCAGTAATTTTCCAGCGGCCCTCAGCGACCCTCCATGATTTCCCAGCGACCCCTCAGCGACCCCCTAGCGAATCCCCTCCCTCAACCATCCCCCCATAGACCAGCTTGTAGAAAACCACTTCCCCAGTAGACCACCCCGTAGAGAGCCCTCCCCTTGTAGCCAGCCCCGTAGACACTCCTCCCCCCCGTGTCCGACCCCGTATGCGATTCCCCCCCGTGTCCGACCCCGTATGCGATTCCCCCCCGTGTCCGACCCCGTATGCGATCCTCCACCACGCGGCCGATTCCATACGCGATCTGCTTCGTAGTCGACTCCGTTCACGGCCTTTCGTACGAAACCCCTGAGAGGACCCTCCCCGAGCTTTTCGTAATAATACATGCTCTTTTTCCCACGGAAGCGACCGCTGAAGCGAAGAAGAGTGACAGGGACTGATCATTGACCAGGAGTAGAGGTTGTGTACGGCGAAGGCGGATGCCTCGGGCTAGCCACATCCAATACACGTCTCAGTGGACGCATAATGAGCTGAAGTACCTATGCAAAGGAAGGGAGGTAAGAGTAGGAGGTGGCTGACTCTTGCTTTATCTCCAACAGCAAAGCACTTGGATGCAACTACCGCCTCCCGCGGTCCGTGAAAGATGCCCCCCTCTGGTAGCCACCTTATCAAGAAGTCATGGGAGATCAATACATAGAAGTGTATGATTCGATCTCATTGCACTCATATGATTGTGGAATGTCGAGTCCATCAAGCCGTTAAAAGTCAACTTTCCACGGGGCTGATAGTAGAAGCGCGTCAGATTGTAGATAGAAGTTCCACGATATTGGCGTGGCCCCCTGCTTGAGCCAGTGACAATGGCGTCTGGCCTTGGTGGTCTGGAAGGTGTATGTCGATCCCATGCCTTTCGAGCAGCAATTTGACAACTTCGACATGTCCCTCTTGAGAAGCCAGAGATAATGGCGTCTGGCCACTCACATCTTGGTGATTCAACCATATCCCGCTTTTTTCACACAGTAGCTTGACAACGGCGGTATGTCCCCTTCTGGCTGACAGGGACAACGGCGTCTGGGAGTTGCGATCCTGATGATTCAGGTTCATACTATCCTTGTCAAGCAGCAATCTGACAACAGCATCTCTTCTAAACTCGGCTGCACGCGATAATGGAGTTTGACCGTAAATGTCGTCGCGGTCTATCTCAATACCCCCTTGTGCCACTAACAGCTGGACAGTAGTTGTATGTCCAAGCATGGCCGCATGCGCCAGTGCAGTGGTGCCCCATTTGTCCTGGTGATTCAAGTCACCGCCGCCCTCCATGAGCAACAGTTTGACGATAGCATCATGTCCTTTTGCGGCCGCATGCCATAGCGCAGAACGGCCAAACGCATCATTGTGATTCAAGTCAGTGAAACCTTCAGCAAGCAATACGTTGACGATGGCTTCATGCCCTCCAATCGCAGCCCTTATCAGTGCATGTCCGGCGACATTGCTCGCAGCATTTTTCCAGACACCTTCTGTAGAAAGGAGTAGCTCGACGATGCCCCGATGCCCTTTATCAACCGCAGTGACCAGGACAGCTTTGAGGAGTTTATCTGTAACACTATTGAAAGTGTCCTCTGACGGAAGTAGTAATTTGACGACAGCTTCATACCCGTTCTCGGCGGCTGCATATAACAGCGTCTGATCAATAGTAACCTTTTTAAGCAACAACTTAACGATAGCTTCATGCCCGTTCTTAACAGCTGTATATAACGGCGTCTCGCCATAGCCATTCCCCAAATTTGGATCAATGGCACCCTGTTTAAGCAACAGCTTGACGATAGCTTCATGCCCGTTACAGACAGCTTCATATAATGGCGATGAGTTACCACGTCCCTGATTCGGATCAATGGCATTGTGTTCAAGTAATAGCTTGACGATAGCTTCATATCCTTTCCTGGCAGGTATGTATAACGGCGACAAGTTGTAACGTCCCTTATTCGGATCAATGGCATCCTGTTCAAGCAACAACTTGACAATAGCTTCATGCTCGTGGCGGGCAGCGTCGTATAAAGGCGATCCCTTATTTGGATCAATAGCATTATGTTCAAGCAACAACTTGACGATAGCTTCATGCCCATTAAGGGCAGCTTGGGATAACGGCGACGAGTTGTCATATCCCTTATTCGGATCAATAG